CGACAAGTGAAGACTATTCTTGAACCTTACCTTGCAGTTGTCTGTAAACAGGTACACTGAACTTCCTATACTCCACCAAATGATTCAGAGCATTCTCATGTTTTATCATCACTCTTGCTTATTTTCCCCTTGTTAACAGGTTTTGCTAGGCCTTGTGTACCTGCACAACGAAAGACATGTCATACACAGAGACATTAAACCATCAAACCTTCTTGTGAACCATAAAGGGGAAGTGAAAATCTCAGATTTTGGTGTAAGTGCAAGTCTTGCTAGCTCCATGGGACAGAGGGACACATTTGTTGGAACCTACAACTATATGTCGGTAAGAAAGCATTCCAAAATCATCTACATTGCAATTTCTTGATGTTGCAGTATTGTGAAACATACATAACCATGTCTCCTTTTTACTTTCTTCACTTCACAGCCTGAGAGAATCAGTGGAAGCACATATGACTACAGCAGTGACATTTGGAGTTTGGGCATGTCAGTTTTAGAATGTGCAATAGGAAGATTCCCTTACTTAGAATCTGAAGACCAGCAAAACCCGCCTAGCTTTTATGAACTCTTGGCTGCAGTCGTAGAGAATCCGCCACCAACTGCTCCTTCTGATCAATTCTCACCTGAATTCTGCTCCTTTGTATCAGCCTGGTAAGTGGCAACTCATTATTTGCATCTTCGTATACTCTGCATTGAAACACAGAAAGTTAATATTGATGGCTATATGATTCTTCTTTACATTAATAACAGCATACAAAAGGATCCTCCAGCAAGAGCATCATCTTTGGACCTCTTGGTAAGTAATTCCTACTCACCACTCTCTCTTTCTCTCTCTATCTCTCAGATTTGGTTGCTAGTATCTTTAATGAACTCTGAGACTATGTTTTTTTTTTATGTTCACAGAGTCATCCATTCATAAAAAAGTTTGAGGACAAGGATATTGATCTCGGGATACTTGTTGGCAGTCTGGAACCACCTGTTAACTATCTTAGATAAGTAATTCCTCTTCTTCTGCATTTGCATTTGGTATATGATATGATATGATAAGATACATGATATTGTGTAATGTGTCTCTAAAATATTATTACTTGACGATGAAAGTTGAATGATATGTATTTTATTATTCATTGTGTTCTTTCCTTAATATGTAATATACAAGGTTTTGGTTGAATATGTGATTAAATAGACTCGGTCATTTTAAAACCTCATTTTCTCCCAAATTATGACATTTTATAAAGGCCAAATTATATAATATAGTCTTGACTTGACAGAGATCCTATATAAGGAGAATAGCATGTGGAGATGAGTCATGGACACTCATTGACTTTATACTCCAAAGAAAAGTCCCTATGTTTTATTTTAATGAATCTCTTTGTTTCTGATTATCTTCGTGCAATGCATGAAAAGTATTTGGAATCTTTCTTGAAGAGTAATTTTGTTTTTAGATAGGCCACAGCTGTCGCCAACCAAGTCTACTAGAATCATCACAGTTTCAAATTTAGTAAGCCAATGTCAAATATGAAAACAGAAACAGATCCGTTTTCACAAAGTAGGAAGAAGAAAGCTAGAACATCAGTGTGATCTGTCTTCTAGAGAGACACACACACCAACACCATCACATAAAGAGGTTTTTAGTCAAACACTAACTGACATTTCTCTGAAACTTTGTACATAGACCGTAACGCCCTGAACCTGGTATCACATTGGTTTCTACATTTTGTAGAGAATGTTGCCTTCTTTAGACAAGCAGCGTTTGCTAGTATGTACCTAACCATACTCTTCTCATGCTTGGTCCCTGCGTATCCTCTCCATTTCAAGATCTCAAGATGCGTCGATAAACATTCAGGAACAATTGGTGGCTTTTCCCAGAGCTGGGTTTCCTGTAAATCGTCATTGGGTTTGGCTTTATGTTTCTGACACAAAAACAAAAGAAAGAAGGTTACGTGTGTTCGTGTTATATAGATAGTCAAACAAAAAATGGAAACGCATAGATGATTTTTAATGGTGTACTATTTTTCCATGTTTAAAGAAGGTGGTTCTGCGATGCTCATCTAACAGACTAGTAAAAACATAAAATAAGTGCATTCGACATACCAACTTTAGTGTAAGAGATCGAAGTTTGGGAGTATCATTGAGTATACACGCAAGTAAAGTCCGCCATCCTCCAAAACATGTACATAGCTTTAGATGTTCAAGAGAGGAGAAGTTTGTGCCTGTAGGATATGGAATCTGCAATTTTAAAGTTTTATGTTATTTTCAATAATGAGAATAATCAAAACATAAAAGGAAAAATCTTTTTACTGTTGGAAGTTAGAGAACAAAGAGAAAGATGTTTGATTGAGGTAACTAATTAAGACACCCTATGAACTTCTCAGACTGGTCACAAATAACCTCAATATAAGCAGTGATCACCTTCCTTAGGCATAGATTCAAAACATTATTACTGAATGCAACCTTATAATGTTCAAATACAACAAAGAAGGAGGAGCATTTACCAAAAACTCACGACTCATCCCAGCCTTACCAACACTCATGTACCAGGGTGTCCTTTCCCTGTTATGGATAGATAACCTTCTCAAAGTAGGCACATTGATTTTGGATATAAGCGAATCCTCTTCTTTGGTTTGGTCTACAACCAAATGTTCAAGAACAGGGAAAGTTCTTAAAAGACTTGCAACAGAGTCTCCCGAGAACTTAACCCTTAAAAGTTTCAGAGTTTTGAGTGATGGCAAACGAAACCAAAGGGGAACAACCTCAATACATAAATTATGGAGTACCAGTTCTTTTAGGGTTCTGCAAGTACTCAAGCAACACGGAAATTCTAGGGTTTTGCCAAACAAGGCGATTCTCAGCTCTCTCACAGACCGATAAACCCCGATTTGGACACAGAAGTTGATGTCTGTAACGGGATAGTTTTGTCTAAGCTTGAGATGCAAACACTCTAGGATTTGAGCATCGTTAGACATCAGAGATCCATATACAAAACTCATAAAAGTCGCAAAACTCTCGGGCGATCCATCGTCAAACATGACATTCGGATCCAGTTTCCAAGGACCTTCCCAATATTTTGATATGAGACGTCTTGCTAAAGTCTCTTCAAACAACGGAAGCAACGAGAATACCTTCAAGATCAATTCGTCTGGCAATTCACAGAGCCCCCGTTTCTCCGGTTTCTTCTTCTTGCAGCTTTTTCTCTTTTTCTTCTGGCAGCTGATCTCCATCATTCTGGTGATTTTTTCTCTGTTTTGGGACGTGCCGTGCAAAGGAAGAAGAAAAGAACCCTAGTCAAAATTAGGTTTCACAATTTTTTTTATTTAAATTAGTTTAATACAGTCGGGAACTGTTACAATTTAGTGTTATTAATTAGGTGTTTTTTTTTGCAATTTGATGAGAATAATCATTCTATTTTTTTTTATCACAATACGATTATAATTGGAAAAGAAAACAATAAAAGTGAGTTTCCTTTTTTTGTTTTTCGGCAAAAAAATCAAAAAAGGTTAAGTTTCCTACTGTCAGCTGTTTGAAAAATTGATTAATGTTTTGTTTTGGGAAAATTCCCCAAAAAAACATGAATTATTTAATATTTGCCAGAAAAATACATGAACTTTTTTCGTTGTCAGAAAAATACGTAAACTAATTTATAGATGATAAAAAATACGTTAACTATTTCGGTATTCCAGTTTCCCACATATAATGATCACGATTTTCAACAAAACTAACACAATCATAAACATCGTTTGCCTCTTTTTCATTTTTCCAAAATTTCTAATCATAACAAAAACTTAACTATAAGAAAACAAAGATTGAAGATAAAGCTAAAATATAAAGAAAGAGAGATATTGTTATGATTATGACTACGATAAGAACGAAACTTCTTCACGAGATTGTAATAGTAGCAATGTTTAATGTTGTCTTAGTTTTGTTGAAAATCGTGACCATTATATGTGGGAAACTGAAAAATCGAAATAGTTCACGTATTTTTTATCATCTATAAATTAGTTTGCGTATTTTTCTGGCAACGAAAAATGTTCATGTATTTTTCTGGCAAATATTAAATAGATCACGTTTTTTTTGGAAATTTTCCCGTTTTGTTTTTCTATCAAAATTATGGCATTTCCTAAAGACCAAATCAAAGGAAATTAGTGTTAATTAGGTTCCGCAGTAAGGAAACGTTATGAAAGAAAAGAAAAAATAGTAGCAACCAATTAAAGTTATAGTGTTAAATTTTTTTTTTATTCTAGTGATTTGATTGGACCTTAAACCTTGTTTGATTTTAATAAAACTAGTCCTTCTTTTAACAGATTCCTAACTTTTAATAAAGTTTGAAGACAAAGATATTGGCACTTTGGAACCACCACTTAACTCCAAGTCTATACCTCAAATAATTAGTAAGTTCTCTATTTTATATGATATGATATGATAAGATACATGATGTGTATAATGAAATTAGTTGAATGAGATTTTATTTCTTCATCATTGTGTTAAAACCTGGTTAAATAGAATCCGACCACTTATTTTCTCCCAAATTATGACAATTCATAGAAGACCAAATCAAAGGATGAGAATATACTATAGTCTTGACATGAGAGATCCTATCTAAGTAGAATAACATACATATGGTGTAGATGAGTCATGGACACTATGAATAACATATGGTGTAGATGAGTCATGGACACTCATGGGTCCATACTCCAAACTCGAAAGACCCATTCAATTATTTATTTCTTAGAATAAAAGTCAAACAATTGTTTATTTCATATTTATTAGTTTTTGGAAAACTCCCATTTATTTTGTTTTTAGAAAACTCTTTTTATGATTATCATATTGAAATGCATGAAAAGTATTGTTGATCCGGAGATTAGAAATGCATGAAAACTCTCTTTTATTCTTTCAAATATGTTAAACAAAGCTGCTATGTTTTCACAAATTAGAAAAGATCCGGATATTAGAAGAACCCATAAATTAAACACCAAAACTAAAGTCAAGGAAAAGGAAGAAGAAGGTTAATCAAACACAAGCTGACATGTCTTTGAAACTCTCCTCATTGGCTTTAACTTCCTTAACATACGGTGATTTTTGTTTCTACATCTTGTCGAGAATGTAGCCATCTTTAGACTACTAGCGTTAGATAGTATGTACTCAGCTACATTCCTCTCTTGCTCTGTTCCTTCATATTGTCTCCATTCCAAGATCTCGAGGTGCTTCGATAAAAAATCAGGAACATCTGTTGGTTCTTTCCAGAGGTTCATTGGATCACTGTAATTGGCACTATGTTTCTGAGACGAAAATAGAAACATTATACATCGTTAAATAAAAATGAGGAAACACAAAGACTTGAATAATAGTATTTAAGAACATGATTTTGCAATTTTGTTACCATCTATAACATTGATAAAGTTTTAATATCAGTAATAAAGTATATCCTTTACTATAATGTTCATCTAACATACCGACTTAAGTTTGAGTGATCGAAGTGCTGGAGCGGCATTGAGTATACAAGCAAGTAGATTAGCCCATCCCGCAGAACATGTACATAGCTCTAGATGTTTAAGCGAGGAGAAAACAGTGCATGCAGGATATGGAGTCTGCAATTATTTACTGTAGTGAGAATAACAAAACATCAAAGGATAAATTTTGACGTTATTGGAGTGAGAAAGTGTTTTACCTTTGAAGTTAGAGAACAAAGAGAAAGATGTTGGATTGAGGTAAGAGATCCTATGAAGTGGTCAGATTGGTCACAAATAACCTGAATATTCGCTTTGATCACCTCAGGCATAGATTCAAACATTACAAAGTTACTTAATGTATCCTCAAAGTTCAAATCTGTCAATGAAGGAGCTTTTATAACAAACCCATTACTTCCCTCAACGTATGTGCTTTTCTTGCGTTTCCCTTTCGATAAGCTCCTGATGGATAAGTTCCTCAATGTAGGCACGTCGATGTTGGATATCATCACATTCTCATTATTGGTTTGGTCTACAACCAAATGTTCAAGAACAGGGCATTTTTTTAACAGACTTGCAACAGATTCATCCCCCAAGAACTTAACTGATGAAAGGTGCAACGCTTTGAGTGATGGCAAATTAAACCAAGGGGGAACAACCTTGATACTCAAGTCATGGAGTATCAATTCTTTTAGGGTTCTGAAATTATGCAGAGCCAAATTGATTCTCAGCTCTTTTGTGGATCGAATAGATAAACTCCTCAGAGTAGGCACATTGATATTGGATATCACCACATTTTCATCTTTCGTTTGTTCTATAACCAAACATTCAAGAACAGGGCAAATTTGAAATAGACTTGCAACAGATTCATCACACCAGAACTTAACCGATGAAAGGTGCAACGTTTTGAGGGATGGCAAATGAAACCAAATGGGAACAACCTTGATACTTAATCTATGGAGTATCAACTCTTTTAGGTTTCTACAAGTCATCCAACTCGGGAATTCTAGGGTTTTGCCAAACAAGTGGGTTCTCAGGTCTCTCGTAGATCGGATAGATAAGCTACTCAGAGTAGGCACATTGATATTGGATATCATCACATTGTCATCTTTGGTTTGCTCTACAACCAAACATTCAAGAACAGGGCAAGTTTCTAAAAGGCTTGAAACAGAGTTGCCACCCGAGAACGTAACCGATAAAAGGTGCAACGTTTTGAGAGATGGCAAACGAAACCAAGGCGGAACAACCTTGATACATAATTCATGTAGTGTCACTTCTTTTAGGGTTCTGCAAGTACTCAAGCAACTTGGCAATTCTAGGGTTTTCCCGAACAAGTCTATTCTCAGCTCTCTCACAGATCGGTTAACAGCGATTTGAACCCAAAAACTGATGTCGGAAGCAGCATAGTTTTGGCTAAGCTTGAATTCTAATCTCTCTAGAATTCGAGCATCGTTAGACAATAAAGATCCATATACAAAACTCATAAAAGTCTCAAAACTCTTACGTTTTTTATCATCATCATCAAATATGGCATTCGGCGCCAGTTTCCAAGGACCCTTCCAACGTTTTGATATGAGACGTGTTGCTAAAGTCTCTTCAAACATCGGAAGCGATGACAATATCTTCAAGACCAATTCATCTGGCAACTCACTGAGCCTTTGTTTCTCCATATTTTTTACTCTTCTGCGAGTTCTGATCTTTCGAAAACCCAGGAACGTGCTGAAAGGAAGAAGAAAAGAACCCTAGTTAGTCAAATTAGGTTTAGCGATTTTAAAAAACAATATCACTTTAATATAAATATATTTTTTTTATACAAATCACTTCAATATATCTTAAAATAATAGTTTTTTCTAGGCTATGAGAACAACTCATGCGTGGGAAGTTATACAAAATTAAAGCAAAATACGATTATAATTGGAAAAAATTTTCAATAAAATTAGTCCTGCTTTAACACACATTCCTGATTTAATAAAAAGTTTGAGGACAAGGATACTTGTTGGCACTTTGGAACCACCACTTAACGCCTCGTATAAGTATATGAGAAGATACATGATGTGTAAATGTGTCTCTAAAGATTATTACTTGATAATGAAATTAGTTGAAATATGAGATTTTATTACTCACTGTGTTCTTCTTCCTCATGCAATGAACAAGGTTTTGGTTGAATATGTGGCTATATAGAATTGACCACGTTAAATTTCTCCTAAATTAGGAGTATATGAAAATTCGTAAAAGACCAAATCAAAGGATAAGAATATAGTAAAGAGTTGACTCGAGAGATTCTATCTAAGGAGAATAACATATGGTGGAGATGAGTCATGGATACTAACGGGTCCATACTCCAAAGACCCATTCCATTATTATTTATTTATTAGAATAAAAGTTCAAATAATTATTTAATTATCAATAGAATTATGATTATTGATTGATCAACAGTGACGATTCTTACACAATCTCCTTTCATATTACTTTGCACAAAAATAGTCTTTCATATCTTTATTAGTTTTTGGAAAACTCTATGTTCTGATTATCTTCTTGAAATGCATGATTTAACATGTAGTGTATACTTTGTTCTTTCAAACGAAACTGTTATGTTTTCACAAATTAAAAAAGAACCGGAGATAGAAAACAAAATATAATCCACATGCAAACACCAAAGATAAAGTGAAGGGAAAGGAAAAATTTTTTTTTTTAAAAAAAAAAAAAAAAAAAGAAAAAAAAAAGTGAAGGGAAAGGAAGAAGAAAACTTAAGAATATGTGTCACAGACAACACCATCCACATATAAAGAGTTTAGTCAAACCTAAGCTTACATGTCTTAGAAACTCTGCGCATAGATTTTAACTTCCTCAACTGGCGATGTTTTTTGTGCCAGCCACAATTCACCGAGAATGTCGCCATCTTAAAACAACTAGCGTTTGCTAATATGTACTCAGCCACACTACTCTCTTGCTCTTTGCCTTCATACTGACTCCATTCCAAGATCTCGAGATGCTTCCATAAACATTTGGGAACAGCTTTTGGTTTTTTCCAGAGGTTCATCAATTCATTTCAACTGGCAGTATCATTATGTTTCTGTGACAAAAAAAGAAAGAAAGAAAGAAACATTACGTGTGTTAGAACGATATATTTAAAAAACAAGTGGAAACAAAAAATATTATTTGAATGAAATTTATATGTACCATTTTTCTATGTTTTAAGAACATGATTTTGCAATTTTGTAATTCAAAACATGACAAAATTTTATGTAGCTACTACTCGTGACCTTGTGAAAAATATATTAGAAAGATAATCATTATATTTTCGCTTTTTTACACGGTACATTAGATTGATATTCGCTACGGTGAACTAACTCATGTTATTCACTGCATCCTGTTATCTACATTAATTTATAAACTTAAATAATCCCAAAATCATGACATTTCACAAAGACCAGATCAAAGGTTAAGAAGAACACAAAATACTATTGACTTGAGTTGAGACAGAGAGATCCAATCTTATTAAGGAAAATAACAATGTGGTGGAGATGAGTCCACTCCATAGACCCATTCATGTATTTGTGAATTAATTAATTTTCGATAAGTTAATAGTATCGTTTTAACCATTATAAATGGGCCAAGCCCACAAATTTGATAAACGCATGCTACGCTTTACTATGTAAGATCCACTATAATCACGTTTTTGTTTTTTTTTTATACACTTTTGACCTTTCTCTGGTTATTTAATGTTCATGAAAACTTGGAACTTCGAAAGAAATGTTTATTTTCAAAAAGAAACTATTATGCAATCCCATGCTATATAAGTCGTTTGAATTTTGATAATATGATAATATCTTTTATACTATTTCAAGAACAAAGCTGTATCGGGAAAAGGTTGTTTAAAGAAAGGACAAGATCCTTGGTTTTTAAGGATATAGAGTAATTATTGGTATTACTACGCATAAAATGTGAAGACTACTATAAAATAACATAAAGAGATATACATACGTTGTTATTTTTTTTCGATTTAAAACTTTTTCTTTATATTTCTCTTAGGGAGAAAAGTCGTTATTATTAGTGATGGGAACATAAAAAACTTCGGTCCAATTAACAAAAAAAAATGAAAAATAAAAAAAAGGGGTAAGGACTAAAAAAAAGGATAGAGAGGTGACGAGGACATGATGATGATTCGGATATGTTTTAAAAGAAAATGGTTCTTATCCCTAAGTAACAACAACACACCACCACCACCATAGGGAATTGTAAATTACTCTCACTCCCCTAAGCAAATCTATACCATATAGAGTTTTCATTACTACGTACTTCTGTTTTTATTTTATTTTTAATTTACACAAACCTAACCGACCTTTATTTTATAATATTTGATCCTTAAATCTATTTTGTTTATATCGTTGGTATAATCCCACTGGCACATCTGTATATATTAGTAAGAAATATATTTTTCGTTTGTTAAATCTTATCAAACTACTACTGATTGTGTGTATTCTTTGTAATGTTATGGAAGAAAAAAAAAAAGGAATAATAATATCTAATAAATAACAAATTAAAGCGAAAAAGTGAGTTAAGAAAAACCAAAAAAAAAACAAAAGCAAAAAGCGAAAAGCTGTGATATTGATGGTGACGGCCGATAGAATTAGAACCGCATAACAGGAAAACACAATAATAGTAGCAATTAACATATGTGATGAAGAGATAACAAACAATAATATTTGTAGATAAAAACTCTTTTTCTTACAAAAAAAGTTGAAGATTATTATTTAAAAGGGTCAACGTTATCCACGGCTTGCACGTAAGTAATACCCACACATATATTTATCCCTTTTCTTTTTTTTTGCTTTCTTTAATTTCAAAATAAATAAATAAAACAAATTCACATATCCCATCCATATATATTGTACAAAGATTGATGTCTATCTTCAAATAGAGAACTCATGTTTCTGTGTTTCCATTTCTAGAACAGCTCTTCCCCATCCTTTTGTCAAAAACAACAACTACTACTCTTCTTTCTTGTGTTTTCTTTCTCCTTTTCAAGAAGTGGTTCAAGAAGATGAATATTCATATGAATCTGAATCTAACACAAATGGGCAACATGATCTATCAAGATCCAAGAAAGATCCAACGAGAAGATGAAGAAGAAGAAGTTCTTCAAGGAGTTTCAACAACATTCTCAGAAGATGAAGATTCATCGTCTTGTTCTTTATCTTCCATGTGTTCTTCATCTGATTTAACAGATGATGATGATGATGATGACGATGACGTTTCTTCATCTTCTTCTAATGGACCTCTTGAAGATCTCTCTGACCTCATGTCACATCTCCCAATCAAGTAAGAAATCATTCTTCTTTATTAAGCTTTTTGTGATTTTTATACCTAAATGGATCGAAACGATTTGGTTCATCTCTGTTCTGTTTTTTCTGGTAATAACAAAAGTTTATTCTTTATTATCTCAGGAGGGGATTATCAAAGTTCTACGAAGGAAGGTCTCAATCATTCACATCACTAGCAAATGTTAAAAGCCTTGAAGATCTTATGAAGAGAGGGTTTAAAAATAGAAACTATGGAGCAAAAAGGAAGTCATGTAGGAGTACTGGAGGGATTATAGATCATAGCTACAAAAGGCTTTATAGTCCTAAACCTACCATCTCCAAGAAACCCAACAAAACACCTTCCTCTGCTCTCTCTTGTCTCGCCAGAAGAAAACATTAGAAATCCCTGAGAAACCCCACACTAGTCTTTTTTTGTTGGCCAAGTTTTAACCCTTTTTACGATTTCCCCAGAATCGGTTTCAGTAACATCTTTCACCCTAATCTAAGTCTGTAAGAGAGAGAGATCCCTGTGTCTTAATTGTGTAGACTAGACTTGTTGATACCTTTTGTTTGTTTTTTGGACCTTTGGGTCGTTTGGTTGTATGTATCAAAGCTTGTAAAGAGGAATGATTCCGAGAAGGTGGAAGCATTTCCACGTATAACTATGGCTGGTTGCTTCACATATTAAGATGTTCAGAACCTATAACCTGATAAAAGTTATATAATGAACCATTGTTTTAAGTTAAGAATCAGGACATTTGGTAGTTTGATTATACAAAAAAGATATGTATACCTGAGTAGAATTTGGTCTAGTATTCTGATTAGTTACTCGGTAACAAATTGGTACATACTTCCTCAACAATCTGCAAAATCATTCACAGCATTGATCTAATTGTATATGATATTTTTCATCGAAAACCAAAACAGAACTATCGACTAAATCAAGAAATGGGTAACCAACCTCGGTTAATCGTAGCAAGTGAAGTCCTAGATCATCTATGTATTTGCAGACTTTGTGATGATTGAACAGATCTGAGCATGGGTATAGAGAAGGTAAGCAGCCGTGCTTCCCTGCTCATGACATCTTATCAATAAGCACATTTCATAATATTTAAAGATCTAGATGGTTTCAGTTACCTTTTCATTTAAGCATATGATCAGAGGTAAACGTGTAATCTGTCAATCTGTTGTTCATCAAATCAGCATACCTTCAAAGCAGATTTAACGAAAGGGTTAAGTCAACATATCCATAAGAAAGATAAAAAATCTCACTATTTGAACTATTTTATAGAACATCTATCCAATTTCTACTGCCTTCGTTACAAAACATTTCAGAAAACAAATAAGTAAGTACTTACTTTCTTCGAGGATGGCTTATGCACTTACTTCACAGAACCATATCCAACTGCCTCAGTTGTTTGGTCAAGCTCTTCAGGAGTCCACTCTTCTTCCTTTCCCTGCACATAGTCAATCTCAAGGTTTAATAAATTCACATTAGTAACTGAACAAATGAATGATTCAAGAATAAGAAAATGTAAAACAATAACAAACCGGACTACCGGTCATAAGAACATCATTATTGTGAGCCTTGGAACATAAACATTAGTACATGCGTAGAACTTCAACTTTTGAGTACTCAAACATGCGAGCTAAAGGTGTCACCAATTAAATAGTTGATCGCAACCATGCATTATTTTTGCAGTATTGGAGGAGGAAAAATCAAAAATAGCTCTTTTAACCGAATGACTAGTTAGGAGCCCCTGTATGGCTGTATCAATACCATTGACAAGCATATGTTCGATGCTCTGCATTCATATTTCAAGCAACAATGTTAAACACATTTATGTGTGAGGACTCAGAAACCTACCATAGAAGTGAAAATACAAAAGGGAATACCTTTTAGCTGATAGTACAACGTTGACAAATCCATATTTCGCTACAGAACGTGATTCTACCATGTCAGAATTGGGAAGATATCTCTAAAGTGCCTACAAAAATGTCATAAAACAACAGGGTCTTCATGTGGCTCACATAAAAAAATCTGAGTACCCTCCTTTTCTTTGATATTTGGACCAGAAAACGCATGGCATGTTTACTACAAAACATAAAAGGGAGACAGGACATAAGTAAGCAAGAAAAAGAAAGGATTGAAACAAACAAAAGTAAGGGAAAAAGAAATGAAAAAACAGAGCACAGCATTGGTAATCGCCAAAGTTTTCGGAGCAGGATTCAACTAATGACTCAACAATACGTTCATCCGGCAGAGACGCTTCAAAGAGCTTACAAACTTCCGGATGGTTTCCAGTAAGTTCATCCTCCTGTCCCATAACCTCTAGCATAAGTTATAAAACTGAGAAACAAAAGTCAATCTATATATCTTGACTCTCTCCAAATTAGCATCGCTACTTACAATTGCCATTGACTTTGTTTGTTGTTGTCTTTTAACCTATTGACTGATCTATCATGCGTGAGGAGGTAGTTTAGCAAATGAAGCCCTACCTTAGTGGCTAGTGCTCATATATACATCTATCTTTCCTGTCTACCACAAAGTAAAGGAAGATGTTGAAACATTCAAGAGAACGAACATAAAATATGTAGACTCAAATGAACAATCGAAGTAAAGATTGAAATTATCGAGCCAAGAAAAATAAAAATTCTTAAGCTCATCTATGTCTTTGCCAGACTTTGTGATGATTGATTGATGAACAATCCCTTGAGCACCTTTACTTTCAAACCATTAGCCGCAAAGCCACTAATATTGTGAAGCAAACCGATCCCCATATACATGCAGGGTCAAGAGAAGGAAGTCAAACGGAGAAAAGCAAAGCCAAATAAGAGATTTCAAGGTGTCTTTTTGTTTCATTACTCTTTTAGTTACGCATATAAGGAGAATAAGTCATCCTAGTCCAATTTCCCATTTCTTATATTGTATGTTGTAAGTAGTCTTGATATTGGATTTAGTTTATACTTATAGGCAAAGCTCATTCGAATACAACTATTATATATTTGCTTCAAAAATATCCCATGTGAAAGCTCAAAAGGTGTTTTCTTTTTGTCTGCCCTCACTCCCAAAAAATAAAACAATATTACCAGCTTTAAATTGCTTTTTGATTAAGATTGTTTTTTTTTTGTGATACGACTAACCAAACCATTGTTAAACTAACCAAATAGTATTAATCGATATATTTACACACATCCACATAGATCCAACTTAATGGTATACAAAATTCCTCGGTTTCTGTTTGCATCGTATCTGCATTTTAAAGATTTTAAAGATTTCTATTCAATAAAACTGAAACAATATCAAAGTGAAAAAACGTAATAGACAAAGAACAATAATAATAATAAATGTTTATTGATATTCGAATGAGTCAAATTCAATAACGCGATACATAAAAGAGATCAAAGGTAACCAACATAAACAATCAACTACAAGATGTCATCAAGAACTGAAAGAGACAAACAAGACCGGACTTAAACATCAAATATCAGTTGATTTTACTTTTAAATTCAATTAAACATAAGAAAGCAAAGAAGAAACTTCTTAGAAGAGGAGCCCAAAGGCCATCACCGCTACGGAGGCCAAGAAAGTAGGGATAAACGAGGAAGCATCCGAGGTAGGGCTCGGCGCCGGAGCGTCAACCGCTGCAACCGTCTGCTGAACCATAGAGAACGCCATCATCGCAACCAAAACCGCCACGAAAAGCTTCATCTTCATTGCCTCCATTATTGCTTTAGTATTCTTTTGGATATGAAACTCACAGGAGAGAGAGCAATGGAGAGAGTTGATGAAAACGTTCTTGGTGCTTATTGTTGTGTTGTGTTTGTATTTGATGTGTGGCTTGTGAGTTACATTTGTTAGTGTTTATATACACGAGCACGCGCATGTAAGGCCAAGTGTGTACATGTCACTTTACACCAACGCATTGAATAATTTAGTTTTTATTGTTGTTAATACTTTACTATATATCCCACTAAAACCTTTAATATAATGGTAACAAAGTTATATAAGAAATGTGTTTATGTTGTACCATTGAATTGATTTATGACACGTAAAGGTTTTTAGTTCATCAACCATGTAAATTAATAGTTGGAAAGACCAATGCGCACTATTTTTGGGCGGTAATATAATGTTTATCAATTCAATTACGTTCAATTTTGTAATTATCCTTTTTCGTTAATAGATTCATCAAAGTTTGAAGAGTTAGGTTTTCAAATGGTCAAGCTGTGTGCTCTCATTCAGTGAATGTTATTTTCTTTCCCCGAATGATCTTCTCTCTTCCTCTAGTGGTACACTTCATCATTTGTCCATAATACAATGTTTAGTTTTGGGAGTAGAGATGTCATGAGAGAGAAGCAATGAGCTGTTTTAGTTGGTTTCTTATAGGTAAAGAAGATGGATGGAAACTAGATGATGGTTCCATGTGCTCCAAGTAACATGATTTGGCCTAACCCCATAATTATTATTCTTCTCTTTTTCTCACTCTCTTTTATTTCCCATTTTTGAAGTTTTGCTATTAATTGAACTTGTTACTTGATTTGGCGTATCATTTTTTCGGCGTATCAATATTTAATACCATCATTATTATGTGATTATTGCAATATATCTAATTATGTATATTTTCATAAGTATTTAGCTACTTTTTCTCCAAAAAAAAATCATAATTTTTTGGAGGAATTTATTCAATCCAATGATCCGTTTTTAGTCTATTGTATGATAGATCATACTTTTATAAATCACAAATTAATTTTTACAAATTATAGAAAATTTGTTTACATCTAAATAGAAAAATCTAACATGCATCATATCTTAGCATTTTACTCATTTACTATGACTAATAATATTTATTTTTCATGTCTGAATTTATTTATCTATTTAAAATAAATAGTTGGCAACTTAGAAATTGATTGAGTTTGAAGTTTTAACAGCTTAATAATTATTTTTGGTTTTAAAGAGTTTTCAGCTTTTCATTAACCCACTTAAAGTTGAAATGACATTTTCCATTGATTAACAGAATAATTTAGTTGGTACAATGAATCAGACCTCCATCATAAACCAAACGCACCCAAGGAAACACTCTTACACAACCCAAAGGTCCCGTAACCTTCTTTAACTTTAAAAGGTTATTCCTACAGCAGCTACAAGAGTGAGAGACTTGTCAAATTCTCTCTTTCACACTTACAAACTACAGACAGGCTTGGTCTCTTTCAATCCAAGTAAACAAATAAAAAACACAAAAAACCAAAACTATTACCTAATCAAAAACCTAAAAACCAAAAACGTAAACTAAATGTCTAGAACAAAACAAAAAAAACCCACATAATAAAGTGTAAGAAAAAATCAACAAAAACGATATTTTCACACTTAATCATAAACACTAGCAAAATAATTCCAGTACATGTTGTGTTCCTCTACATCTTCAGTTCTTCATCTTCAATCATATTCTTTATTTAGTTCATCCTCTACTGACATTTAGAATTTCTTCCTGGACCTCCGTAGTAAAAGAAATGTCCCCAATCATCATTCTTTCCAACCTCAACATCATAGCAATTCGATTTCTCAGTGAATGTGTTGAGCCCTTTTGGTTCTTTCAGATTATTAGAGCTGTCAACGACTTGAATGTTCCTAAAGTAACTTGCTTTCGTGAACCCTTCACCCGGAAATTGACCGCTTCCCATTTGCGTGGTTGTGTGGTGACCATCTTCTTCCATGTTCACCACTTCTCCTCCCCATTCTACTATCGATGCACTGTCGGCTAAGTATGAGAATAGGAAGTTTGGCCAGTATCCCAACACATACCCGTCCCCAAACTGCATCCACCAGTGCCCTTCTTTTGGATCCTACAAGGAAAATGTTCTTGAGTTATCAGTTTGATTCATCAGACACTCACAGATCTGTGAACTTACCATCACTGAGAATCAGACACAGTATCAGATCCATAAAGTTAGGAGTTTTCAAGTTAAAGCTGAGATTTTTAAGAATGCCCTGGAAAGAAATTGTACTCTGAGAAAGGCTTTAACAAATGAATCCTGTTCATACCTTCCAAATGGTAATACTAATATCATATTGCGGGTTATGGAAGCCAGATACTGGAGAAATACTCGCTCCCATTGCTATTTGACTGTTAATTTGTATAAAACCCGAACAGAGGAGATTGTAGCAGCCAGTAGCTTGATAAGCATCGCTCTGTTTTGTTCCAAGAAGACATATCCATAAAAATCAATAATGTTAGCCAGAAGCATATTATATACACTCAGGTCATTATATACTTAAGAGAAGTATACAGTTTTTTCGAGCTTACAGTCCAGTATGTGAACAGCCTTGTGTTGTTATCGCCATATAAATCCGGACTAACCTGATTTCGTACATACATATATGTCAGTGAAGGTAAGAACACAAGTGTCTTTGAGATTAAGTTAAAATGGTATGACTTTATATAGGTGGTTTACCTGCCAACCAGCTTCAATGCTATTGAGATCTTGACCAAAAGAACCTCCAAGAATCCATAACTGAGACAAGCTGAACTCATTAGAGTTTTGCACTTTGGGTTCCCATACGTTTATTGTTGCCTTTGCCCCGTAAAACTTGCCTCCTTCCACATAAGTTATCGCGTGCTACATCGCCCACAAATGTCAGATCAATAACAGATACAAAAGAGAACTTTTAGATCAAGATTTTACACCAATACATAGGCATATAGGTAGCTAACACTAAAGTCTACCTGATGACCACTTTGGTTGATGAGATCAGGATCAGCAGATCTAGGCAGAGGAACAGTACGGAGCTTCTTCTTACCATACCGTTTAACAGAACTCGCCCTCAAGACATCCTCTTTCTTTGTCCTCCTCACTGGTATTGTCCCTTCAGAACACACTCCATTCTGGTGCCATAACTGAGTTATTGGATTGACTCTTTCTTTTGTTTTCTCTAAGACTTTGTTCTCATCAAACAGCCCTTGTGGAGTGTAACTAGGTTTCATCTGTTTAAAACCCCCATAACATGTTACAACATAAAGCAAACTTGAAAGAAGAAAGAGAGTGACTTTGAGGCCAAATGCTAAAACAAATTACCTGAATCTTGTGATCTTTAAGGAAAGGATGATCAAAAGCCGGTTGCTTAGATATGTGAACACAATCTATTATGTCACCATCTGGACTCTGTTTGAAACAAAAAAAACAAGAGAAAATTGTAAAATCAATTTGGAGTCAAGATTGTCACATAGTAATCACAAGTTTACATCTTTCCTACATTTCTTTCTAACAACAACTAAGCGATAGAACCAAAGTTGAAGGATTCAAGCCACCATTGAACTCTCAGAAAGCTACAATATACTGAATCAATTAGGTTGGTAACAGCCAAACAAGCAAACAAACAGACAAAAACAAAAATTGAAAAATGAAGGGTTTAAGTGAGAAAAGATTTCAAAAAACCTGAATGCTCTTAACGGGTGGTTTATTCAATCGATTCAAGTGTTTGTGCACTTCAAAATTCTGCCTTGAAACACTGAGTCTCCCAGCGCATGTTAGAGAGAGCAGTCCCCAAACGAAGAACCAAACGAGAAACTCTCTGAAAACCCTCTCCATGCTAAAATGCGCAGCACCCATCTTCCTCACACCCACTCTTAAAAAGTCTAAAACCAGCAAGAAGAGAGACAGAGAGAGAGAGAGGGAGAAAAAGGAAGAAGCTTTTGAGCTTCTCACTAAATCTCTAAAACGAAAGGCTTTATTTGGTGTGAAGTGTGGTGAAAAAAGCTAACACCTTTATAAATTATCTTCTTCTTCTTCTTCTACTAGTAGTAGTAGAGAGAGCTCTTACTCTGTAACCCACCACCACTAACACCAGTGATTCTGCAGCGACATTGAAGTGGGTCTCTCCTTTGATGATGAAAAAAGACCACTTTTTGTCACTCTCTCTCTTTCTTCTCTCTCTCTCTCTCTCTCTCTCTCTCTACTTTTTAAATTTATCACTAAATAAACTTTTTCTCGGTAATTAAAAAGACAATTAAAGAATGAAGACTCGATTTTTAACATAAACCCCCTAAATTACAAGACAATTGAAGTTTCGTATATTTACGGCAAAAAAGAAAAGAAATAATTATGAAAACGAAACCTCTCCAACTTTTTTTCTAAAAAAAGTGTCAGCAATGGCTTTGATTAATAATAATGCTTCTTTTTTGAGGTAATGGGTATTCAAATGATCATTTCATAATAATACTAATAATTCACTTACAAGAATGATAAAATGAATCAACAAGGGAAAAAAAAAAGAGCTTAACTTAATTAATAACTTTACAACAATGTGAATCTTACAAAATACTGACCCAAAAAATAATAACACACAATCTAACACCCAATGAAGAAAAAAACATAAAATCTAAAATAAGATGCGATCGAGTGGAGCCCCATGAGTCATGGCGAGGTGGTCGATGCAACTTCTCGTGACAAAAAGTTTTCACGAGCTGAGCCAAACTTAACCCAAAACCATACATTATATATCTTTCACATGAATTAATATGGTTCTTGCAATGCATCTACCTATCATTCAGTTTGGTAATTTAGTGGACCTTAATACTAACGATGGAGAGGAGACACATAACATTTTTTAAAAAAAATTGCGTACATTTGAAGCATATATTCCTCTTTATGTATTGTTTTTTATTTTGATAAAAAATTATTCCTCCTTTACGTTAGCTAGTGTGTTTAAAAACTATGGGGTTTTGAAACGAATAAATTCTGAAACATCGTATCGAACGAGATGTCGAAAAATTATTAAAAGATAAGATAAAGAAACGAGAGAGAACAAAGTTCTCTGCAAAAAGTATCAACTTTATCAGTAGTCTTCGTCTTTCTTTCTTTTAATATTGTGTTTTTGAGTTTTGACCCATCATACTTACATTACTACTGGTCGAATAGCTTATTGCTTTTTTTTTTTGTTTTTGGTTTGCAACACAAATTAAACATAAACTAATGCTTAGCTTCTGTTTACCACCTAGAAGAGGCTATAGTTAAGATAGTTCATAGTTCAGTGATAATCGTTTTATATTTAGTCTACGCTAAGGAGTAAATAAAGTATTGTTGGTAATAGCTAGTTGCATCGTAATAATAATGTTTGTCTTTTGTTTGCTTACAATCAATGAAGGAAGTAAACTAGTAGTACTAGTATCCCTTTATGATGGGGAAGCAGACACAAGATTATGTCTCCCGATGGAGCTGTTTGGTCTTTCTTTCTTTCTTCTTCTGTTTCGGTTTGCTCGCCGTTATCACAAATGAAATGATATCGACGTTTATAGTTGGGACATCGACGGTGTATGGTTGTCTCATTCCGGTAGATGACAAGTGGACGGTGGTGAGCGTAGCATGATGGAAAGGGTAAAGACGGGAAAGAAAGGATCTAACGAACGGTGAGGAATCCAATGAGGTCAAACACAGTGTTGCAGTGTGACCATCATTATTTAGATTCCCACAAATAAGAGTTTTTTTCTTTTCTTACTTTAATGGAGTATATATACAAATATAACTAATTTATACATATAAGAGAAACCTTTAATTTAATTAATTTGAATGCTAAAACTAGAATAAACTGCTAGAAGAACTTTCAATACTGTATTTTTCTTTTTAAAAGTCAACAGTAATTAATAATATGAAGAAAGAAATCTTAATTTTTTTTTCCCTATAATCTTAATTCTTTTTTTTTTTCCTTTTTCTTTGGAGTAGGTAGGTAGTAGAAAAGATGAGCTTTCTCATGTTTTCTTTCTCATTTTTAATATTTGTAAAGTAAAGTTATATAGGAGTAATAATAATCTTTTAACTAATTGAGCCATCATCCTCGTTAATCACCACCCTTTGTCTTTTCTACTTTTTTTTATAAAATTATGTACACTCTTATTATAAAAAGTTTATAACGTGCGTGCACTAAACAAACAAGTTACTGATTATATTATTAACCCGAAATAATTACTATCAACGGTTAAGATAAATTCTTAAACGCTAATCGAACCGTTGGATGCATTTGGTGTCTTATATAGACTTGCCGTTTTTTTTTTTGTTTTTGGTTTCGATAATATCATTTTGAGGCAATTTTGAAAAATGTCTGCATTAGCTTTTTTAACACAAAATTTTTTTTGGCCTTTAACATTTTGGACATATGTATGTCCAAGTGGGGAGTGGGACGATCCTGAGAAGTGAGAACAGTAATAATGTTACAACGGAAAGTGAAAAAAAAAAACAGTCAGTTCCAAACAGTTAAGTAGGTAGGAGTAGGACTGGCCAAATCTATAAGAATGCAGTGTTCTTACATCAGATAATAGATTTTGTGGATCTTTCAGAATTTATAAAAAATTTCGTGACAGAATCTTATGGTACATTATGTTTTTTTTCTTTTTTCATCATTTCATGAGTCTGTTTTCGTAAGCACAAGAGCTTCTGAAGCATGCACATAGGATAGAAGTTTTAGATTATGTTGAGGTCATTGGATTGGACCACGTTCGTAAGAGACCTGGCCTTCTGGCCCAAATTTGATATGGTTTTTGGTAATCACTTTGTAGGGGTTTCCAATCTTTTATCGAGCTGGCCCAATTCAATTTTCTTTTTTAGCTATGAACACATAAGAAACCTGATTCAAACTGAAACTCACAATAACATTCCCTAGTTTTAGCTCATTTGTAGAAAAGAAACATTAGCCTTTACTTAGAAAATTAAAAACATCTTTTCCTATGAAACAAGAACAATTTTTAACTAAAGAAGATTATTTAGTAAGAGCCAAAATGTAATTCTAATTTAAATACATTGGAAGAAGACTCGGAAACCTTATACACTTTTACATTCTACTATTCTAATTACAGACAGATTTTTCTCCAAAGAAATAAGGACAAACATAATCTTGACTTGGATTCCAGAAAACTTCTCCAAATCTGTAGGAAAGAAGACCAGCAAGAACACTAATCAGTAGCAGACTCAGACTCTGATATCTCATCTTTGACAAAAACACATCATACATCCAAAAAAGCTTAAGACTCAAAGACTTCATCAGACACTTAGCACAAACGAAATTGAGAGATTTCATCAGACACTTAGCACAAACGAAATTGAGAGATTTGATCAATGTACATACCTTGCTTTAACCCCAAGAGCTTACGTCGTTTTGGTTGAGCAATATGTAACAGGGAAACTCTCCCCACCATAGCGACAAAATGATCTTATACAATCACACAAGACGAAGAAAGTACTTGAACTTTGATCATCCAAACCAGTTTCTGATAACATGAGAATATGCATAACAGATCATCACATCTAAGTATTATGCCCTGTAACCTTATAGGTCCTTCACAAATATAATTTATCAACAACAAAAGACTCAGATTCTAGCAAAAAAAAATTCATCATTATGAGCTCCAAATCCTTAATCTTCATCCTCCTAATTACAAATCCTTAAACTCGACCCTCCTAATCCCACTATTTAAACATTCCCAGGTCAAACAAATTATCCCATATTCCCTAAAACAGAATAAACTAGAATTGTACTAGATAATGTCCATCAATCAAAGAGCTACTCAGCTAGATTTGGACAAAGTATTAGATCAAAGCAAGCTCCTTTGAGTCTTTGACTCCCTTAAGATGATGAAAGCTAAAACTATATATGCATCACCCCAAATGCTCAATATCTTCTCTGATTCTATAAACGTGGATTAAACAGAACACACTCAGATTATATCCCACAAACCCAATAATCAAAACATGAACTTTCTATATACAATATTTTTTTTTTAAAAAGACCTTTACAATTAACAAATCAGAAAAATTCGAAAATTTGGTCACTCCAAATGAAGATGGTAGTAATTGTGATGAGTAACAATCGAAGAAGAAGAAGATGATCCATAACCATCATCATCGTCATCATCATCATCACGACCACCATCAAAATACAAAATCTCTGGAGGTGGAACACAGATATAGTTCCAGAACCAAAATACGAACCGACCCAATTGCTGAAGCGGGAAACAGCAAACGAGCTGTAACATCTCGCCGCTGCTGATTCGATCCGACGGCCGAATCAAGCGTAGTCGCTGAAAAATCTCAGCCGATAAATGAGCTACGGACATCACCGTGTCGCCCCGGAACACCATGTCTCTGCTGCACAAATCGTTCCCCTTATCTCACCAAAGCTTGGATTTTTTTTTTTCAACTTTTTTTTTCTTTGGCTTTCACAAATCACAATCAATCTCTTTGATTTGTCTCTGTGTGTGTGTTGTTAATACTATAGAAGCTGCGAGTAAAAGAAAACAAAAAGAAAAAGGTGGGATTTTTTATTCTTTTTCCATTAAAGATCAGATTTTTAAACCGATTCGGTTGAAATTCCAGTTTGGTTTAAATACGTTATTTTGTATGTAAATTAAAAACAAAACCATATCAAACCGAACGATTTAAGACCGGACCAAACCAGGATTAGAGACACTCTTGTTGTAGCTTTGACTCTTCATCGTTTCATCATCCTCTGTGAATTAGACAGTTGTCATAATCATCATCGCCCATAAGATGTGGGGGTTTCAATAGTTTAACACTTTATTATATTCTAGACACAATCAATATCATCTTGTTAGACACGATCGTTACACTTTATTTTATTTTATTTATGTATTTTGAACACGTATGAGAAGCCAAGACTAACTTTATAAAATCTTGACCATCCATTTTTATATTCAAAACACCCATTTACTTCTCTTACAAGAAACCATACCACAAACAAATATGACACGCCGGAGTAGACGAAAACTTAAACAATCCTATTACGGTTTTGATATCACCGTCGAAGAAACATTTGATATGATTTATATATGTATACTAAACATAAGAAACATTTGATATGATTTATCAAATTGTACAAAGGAAAGAGTCTAAACAGAGAGGGGAATTATATATTAAGATTTAAAGACATTCTATGTGATCTTTTTGTCTCTTTGAATCCTTCAAACAACAGCAAAAAAAGAACCAGCGAATTATGCTCTTATTACATTACATTTACAAGGTAACTTTACCAACAACAAACAGCAACATTAGGCTACAAACCTGCAATTTTGAAGGAAGAAGGAGACACGTTAAAACAAGAGAAAAGAGAAAAGAGTGAAGAAATGATTAAGATTAAAAAGGAAAAAAGGTTCCTTTACCTGCTCTGGTTTACTTCTTCGAGCTAAGTGCAGAGAGGACTTTTTTACCGTATGGATTGGTACGTAGAGATGGGATATGAAGCTTGATGGCATCAACCAAAAGACCATGCACGTTCCCCTGCAACAATATGATTTTTTAGAAACTGAATTAGAAAACAATCTGAAAATTATGGAACAATTGTGTTTTGGTTTATGTATACCTTGGATTGTCTAAGAGCTGCTTGGATGACATAGTTTCCATACGGATCAAGCATCACTTGATCTAGACGACCATAGTTTATCAGTTCTTTGATGATGCGAGCTCGGTGTTTGTCATCAGCTAGTTTCAGACACTTCTCAACAACATTGCTGCTACATTTCTGCATTGATAACTCTGTGTAGCTTCCTTCTAATTGCTCGAGGATTTTGAAGGTTGCCCATTGAAGTTGAAGCTCAAAGACATATTGAAGAACGTAGTTCCTGCAAAAATCAAGTTTTGCATCTCCCTTATTACAAGAACTAGATTGAAAGCTCAAAAGAGAGAGAGAGAGAGAGATCAAAAGCTATACCCAAAAGGGTCTTGGGAGAGGTATAGAGCATTGGACGCAATTTCAGATACTAATTGTTTCTTTTGTTCGCCTTCAGAATGGGCCAGACATTTTTGAAGAACACAACATCCATGTTTATCAGTTGCAAGGTCAACACAATGAGTAATTGCAGCTTCGAAAAGAAACTGAAGAGGAAAGAAAGTGGATTGAAGACTACAAATACCCAATTTTAATGCACTGATTTCTAATGAAACTTGTAAAAGAAAGTTGTTACCTTTCTGCAGTGAGGTAATAAATACTGCAAGCATCGCTGAACAACGTGATTACCGTTTACATTCTTTATCAAAGTCACAATGTCATGCTTCAAAGCAGAGATGATTATTGAAATCTCCTCTTGTCGCTTAACCGTTTCAACGATCTTTTGAACAGCTCTAGTCCTGTTAAAAATGACAATATTAGGTCAGGTAAAGAGCATAACAGAGATGTTCATATGGAACAAAATATTTTATGGTTTTACCCGTGCATATCGCAAGAGATTCTGATAAGCAGTCCTGGTTTTCTAGTTATGGAATGTACTATCCCTATCCTCTGCTTATCATTGCACACTTCGAGCAGCTTTTGGACCAGATAATTTCCGAATGGATCAATCATAAGCTCACTGATATAGTCAATGATCTCACTAAAGATGATCTCTATATCATTTCCATCATTCTCAGCAAATATTTTCTGCAAGAAGCGACAACCAAGCTGATCCTTCGCCAAGTAATATATCCTCCCCCTTGCCTCTGCAAGAGAGTTATACTTCTGAGGCTGCAGTGACAGATTTTTGAGGCTCATTGTGAGATCTTCATTAAGTTGATTCTGCAACCAAAGTCGTCCATCTTGTGAATCATCTCCAGCACCATACTTAATGACTTTAGCGGTGTTCAAACCGACCTGTGATTTCATCAAAATTTTCTCTGGATAGTACATCTTCCTTAACCCATCCATACTCCTCACTCTTTCATGACCATCTTCTCCATCCCAAAATAAGTTCCTGTTAGACTGTTCAGCTTGGCGATAATCAAAATGTTCCTGTCTTGGAGAAGTACGCATGCTCTGATTATTATTGTAAAGATGGAGGAAATGAGAGTTCATTGACGAATACTGTTCTTCTTGCAGTTTAAGCCTCTGCAAATTATCTTCTTCAATATTCCTCCAATTCATATGAGACTGATCGAACGGTGGATAATGAGACAGAGGCTGAGAGGGTGGCAGGTAATGCTGCGGCTGAGCAGGTGAGATCCCGGGGGAGTAATTAGGAAAACATCCAACTTGTTGCAGCTTCCTAAACATAAGCTGATCGAGTTTTCTTGAATCAAATTTGTCATAAACACTTGGAGAGTGGTAGGAAGGACTGTTAATGAACATAGGATAGGGAGATTCTGGAGTTTGATTTGGGAATCCAAAGTTTGAGTTTGACTCAGGAAAAGAAGTGGTAAATGAGCGGTCTTCAGGAACATACTGTTCTTGGAATTGATCCACCTTTTTGATAGGTTGTGATGACGATCTGCTGGAGCTCAAACATATAGGGAAATGGTTATAGTCATTTCCTGAAGTAACTTTTGGGATCTCACCAAGAAGCTTCTCTAATTCGTCACACTCTGGCTCATGTCTTCCTCGATCCATCTTGACTAATATATACACACACTCACCAAAGGGGAAAAAATGCAAACTTTCACCTCCAAAACTGTGATGATGATTCACACTAGACAACTGCAGCAAAAAGAAGAAAACAACATAAGCTTAAAACAGAATAAAGATCGTAGTGTCACAAGCTGGTTGTTCCTATTCCTGTTCAAGAAGACCTTATAAAAAAATATTAAAAAATCTTTCTTAAATACATCAAAAAGAACCAAGACATCGGGATAAGAATCCACCACTAATCAGCTCAGCAGCAACAAAACACTAATCTTTTTCTATTACTTTTTTTTTTTTTTTTGTCTCTTACTTCAAATCAAGAAAATACAAAAATCAAAAAATCACTGCAACAAAACATATGAACAAATTCACTATAAGCTGAATCACTCAGGAACACAATCGTACACATTTACATTGTGAGATCAAACACACTATATAACATATGATTTCATGAGTCTCATGAGACTCATGACCCAAACACAGAGCCAAATCGAACAAATCAGTAGATCAAAGTGTACGGACGATGAAAAAAGAGACAGAATCGAGTGTAAATCTATATGATCATACAAACAAAAGCTTAGAAAAGACAAAAAAAAAAAAAATACAAGTTTTTGAGAAAAGAGAAAAGAACCCAGATGATAATGTACGACGATCAGCGACGAAAAATCTGATCTTCACACATCTCCGATCAAATCTTCATGCTTTTTTTATTTTCTAGACGAAACCCACTAGCTAGAGAGAAAAAAAAAACACAAAATCTCAGTGACGACGATAATGAGATATATACAAAATTTTGTTCCCAGAGAGAGAGAGAGAGAGAACAATACCAGTGAGGTAGAAGAAGAAGAAGAAGCGGCATTAAACATATAAAATCTCAAGGGAAAAAAAAGGTGATGATGAAATAGGAGAAAAATATCTCACACACGCAAAGAAGAAGAAGAAGAAGAAGAAGAAGAGAGATTTAAAAACCAGAAAAAGGGCAAAAGATTAACAATTTTTTTTTACCCAAATAGGAAATAGAAAAGATAAAGAGAGAGAAATTAATGAAAAAATTTCCAGAGAAAAAATCAGAGGAAAAATGCAAAGAGAGTGCGAGAAAGAGAGAGAGAGAGAGAGAGAGAGAAATATATAGAGACGAGTGTTTATATTTGGTAGGCGGCGTGAAGAAGAAGGAGAAAAATTATACTTGTTGAATAAAATTGTTTTTTTGGTGGGATGTTGAATAAAATTGTTAAACAGCCTTTTAATTTCTTTTACTAACAAAAATTAATTTGATTTTTGTTATACAAAAAAAATCGGAACTTTGATTTATTTTTTATTTGTTTTTGGTTTATGAGAAGTGGAGAATTTAATTAAATTAAAATGGAAGAAAATAGTATATTTAAAAAGAAAAAAGAAGGGATGCATGGAAATGGAAAGGTCTTTTATGAAATTTGGTGACAAACTTATAAGTCTCTCTCTACCTTCTTTTGGTTACGTTTCTGTCCAATTTTTTTTATTTCTTTTCTTTGTGTGGTGGTTTTTTGATTAATGCTTCTGTTTTCTTCTCTCTCTCTCTGTATATTTATATTACGCGTTGTTGATTTTGTATGTATAGACGTGTTTTAAGTAACGTATGTTTCTCTACTAATTAATTATGGTCTACTCTTTTAATTTGTATCGTGTGTGATTAAAAGTTTATCTTCATTACCAAATTATCTTTTGTGGGTTTGCTATAGACTATAATGGTCGTGTATCGTTAACATAATTCATGTAGTTCGTACCAGTGCTTTTTTTTTAACGTAAAACAATTATGTAAGTCATACAAAGTATAATGTGTCTCTATTCATCCGTTTAAGGATAAAAAGAAACACTTTTTAGATTTGACTATCATGATTCAAGGGTTATAAATTAAGAAAATTATTATTTTTTTTAGTTTTTTACCCGTTATAAAATTGGTGAAAAAAATAAATAACTCGAATAAATGTGATATTTATTAGAAAAAATTTACATATATAAAGATACATCAAGTGATTTTGAAAGATGTGATGAGTATTCACCTTTTATTTGATGGTAAGTGTAAAATGAAAAATGGTTAAATTTTTTGATATATTATTTTTTTGTTTGCCTATAAGTTCAATATATGAATAATACATTGTTTATAATTATATATAATGAAAACATAAAGCTATTAGGAAAATGTATCTAGAACTTAATAGATTACAAACGTACTTAATACTAATTTATGCATACACGGGATATAAGTAACGTATGTTGTATCGTGATTAAAGTGATCTTCATAACCAAATTTTTTGTGGAAACTACAATAGTGGTGTATCATCATACATTCATACCAATGTTTTCTAACAATTGTGGAGGTGATACGAAGTAGTATATACTGTACGTCAGTTTAAGATTAAAAACAAAAAATTTCCATTTTTTCCACGACAAAAAAATGATATTTAAGTGAGCATCATGATTCAAGAGATACAAATGTGGCATTATAATATAATTATTTTTATATAGTTTTTACTATCGATAAATGACTCTGAAAGAAGTGATACTTGTATAGGATGTGTTATCACATCATCATACTTTTTTAAAAACTATTTAAATTTGTGATATATATTTTATCCTTTACCTAGGTATGCAAATGTAACTTCTTTTATTAACAACATGCATTGTATAATTTTATTAATTATTTATATGTAGAAGAAGAAAAGAAAGAGAAAAAAGTATATAACAAAACATGTCATTTAATTATTTTTGGTAGAAACAAAACATGTCATTTATAAGCTATAACTTAAACATTTTAAAATTTGTAGTATAAATGTATAATTATAGAGTTATAGTTGAAATGGATCGGATGAACTTTGCTAATTGTTAATACTTAATAGAAACCTACGTAATACTAATTTCCATCTCCATTCAACAAATATTTCTCCCGCTTTGTATTGCATTTGCAACCATTCAAACCATTTGTTTGGTATATTATGTTTGAATGTCTCGATTTCAATAAAATGACTCGTAACAAATTGCTACGCACTAATAAATCAAACGTTGAAAAGAAGTTTCTAGGAAGACTACTAAATTGTTGTCTTTTACCATAAATTCTTTATCAACTTGGAGCATCTTTACTTGTAGTGTTTCCCTCTTTTGAGTAATTTATGAAGAATTCAATATTTTTTTATATACTAATTTGTAAGTTCTAAGAAATAAAATAAAAATCGTAAACATCTCTAAAAATAGTACAGTAAACTCTTGAGAAAATCTTTTGTTTTTGTTAATTGCTTAAGAAAATTACTTAGGAATCTATATATATATCACTACACTACCCATTTTTTTGTGTTTTTCAAATATTAAATTATTCGAACCACAATATTCGAACTGACAGATACCTTTACAGTTGGTTAATTAGAGATATATCCTTCAAGTAAATATAAATTATTTAAAAATCAATCAAATCATTCAGCCGTCAAAAATATTTCAAGTTATTTAACAACAAAAATAAAAAAAAATTCTTTATCTTCTTAAAAAAGAAAAAAAAAATATAGCCAATGGTGACAAAGCTCACAACTGGAACCCTAATTTTGCATAGCTCACAGTGAGACAGTCTATCAAAATTTATTGCAAATTGCAATCAAACATCTTCTCCATTGTCACGTGATCTACAATCTACTAACAATGTTTAATGCAATTCTTCAGTTCTCAGATCACTTGTTTCGATCTTGAGAACACGACCAAACTATATGTTTGTGTGTACCCAAATCAGATTCTAACTCTATCATCAAGTCACGCCACAAGAAGAAGATAGAATTAAGAAGCATATAGTGCAATCGTACATTATTAAGTAATACTAGCTAGGTGTTTTAGATCGGACATTATTGAAGACTTAAGTGGTGGCTTTTGTCTCTTCACTCATTATAATTCTCATTGCTAATTTAGAAGCTATATATAATAACAGAACCGAAACGGGTTTGCTCCTGCAGGATCTACAATACATAATAAATCTTATAAATCACACTAGTTACGAGTAGAGTCGTTTAATTAGTAGAAAAACATGTGGCTTAAATCGTCTGATACCGATCTTTGCAAAAATAGTAATAACTTTACTTGCAGTTTTTGAAAGTGTGACTAAAACTTTGAAAATGTTTCAAAGACTGTAGAATTTTTGTTCTCATCAAAAAGACAAATACTCTTTTTGGTAGATTGAAAAAATAAACCAAAAGAAATTTCAATGAAGGTTACTAAAGTAGCTCTCTATCTCTCTCTCTCTCTCTTTCAGTTTGATTCATCATCAACTTTAAAACTCTAAATTTTGGTTTAGAAAAGAAAAAATATTATGAACAAACCAGAAAAAACAAAAGGTAATGAAAGAGTGAGTCAGAGTTATATAATGGAACCCACTCGTAGCTTTTAAAGTATGATTGACTTTGAAAAATTTGATCTTAGGAAAATTTTCTATCGTCGATTTTAATTACACTTTGTATAGATTGAAGAATAAACCAAAATAAGTTACAAGGCAATTACTAGGATCATCATTTACTATTTTTTCCTTTCTTCACTTTGCTATATATAGTTAACTTTGAAACTCAACAAATGTGGGTTTATATATTCAAAATAAAAATAAAATTATCAACAAAACCAAAGTAAAGATTATGATGAGGATTATAAGTTTAAGTAGTTAACGTTGATCTTAAAAGTCACTAAAATTTATTTTAGAAAATTCTCATCAATAGTTACTTAGTCGATCTATCTATAGTCAGGTAACTAACCAAATAGATTATCATGACTACGATTATCAGGTAGCTAGGCTCTAGCTATATCATGCACATTTTGAATGAGATTAACGAACAATTATTAAGATAATGGCTATTGGAAGCCACTAAAACAATCCCATAATTTTGTATATTGCTCATTTGCTTGTTGTTACTAATCAAATCAAATTTATATTGACCATTGCGAAGTGCAAACCATATAACTCTTCAGTGAAGTTATGATATTGAATGACTTGGTCTTTGAAACAGAGTACACAAAGCCAAATTATATGTTCTTTCAGGTCACTGGAAAAACATATAATTTACATCGGAATAAAAGATGTTTCAGATCATGAAATAAAGAACTAAGTCGTCGTGGCTTTTGCTTCTTCAGAGACTACTCTGTTCTCATTGCTAACTTAGAAGCCGTAACCTGAAATCAAGAGAGGGGATTTTAGAAGAATGAGTTGCAGGATTTGGAGGATTCAAGAAGAAGACCTAAGACAAACCTGAATTGCCCATAGGGTTTCCAGCAGGAGCTGCTGATTCAGGCTCCTTGATGTCCACAACAACACAATCAGACATCAAGAATGTCTTCGCCACAGATGAAGCATGCTCTAAGCAACATCTCACAACCTTGAATAAGAAATCACAAGTTAGCATCTGAAACAGCAGATATCAATATGTGAAAAAAAGTAAGCAACTTTGCTCACTTTTGTTGGATCAATGATTCCTGCAGCCATTAGATCTTCGTATTTGCCAGTTGCAGCGTTGTAACCGTGTTTTGGGTTGTCACTAGAGAGAACCTGTCAAAGGAAAAAAAAAAAGCCACTCACTTAGTTTCTATATCAAAGACTCAAACTTGCAATCCAGGGAGATTGATTACCTTCTCACTGACGACACTACCATTGACACCAGCGTTCTTGGCAATTAACTTCAGTGGGTAGCTCAATGCTTTCTTAACAATATCAGCTCCAACCTGGAGGTTAAGATGATTTGTAGAATGCCGTTATAACCCACAATCTCATCATTCATGTTTCTATTTCTGCTGTGCATCTCTTTTGGACTAACCTTTTCTTCATCGTTTGCTAGAGTCTCTTTAATGGCATCCACTTTCGATGCAAGTCTTAGCAGAGTGCATCCTCCTCCAACAACAATACCTTCTTCCACAGCAGCCTAATTTAAAGGTTCAACAGATTAGTGTCTACCATATGAATGAAACATATCAAGACTCTGCTTAGAGAGGATATTACCTTTGTCGCATTAAGAGCATCTTCAACTCTCAATTTCTTCTCCTTAAGCTCTGTCTCAGTTTGTGCTCCAACCTAAAGCGTACAAAACGTTCAGATCATTGTTATTTTCACAAAATTATGTTTTTTTGCATCAAGACATCAATGTGAACTTATAATCTCACCTGAATTACAGCAACACCACCTGATAGTTTAGCAATTCTCTCGTTAAGCTTTTCCTTCTCATAGTCTTGTTCAGCAGCCTATAAGAATCCCAAGAACTTCATATATCCGTAAGATAAGCAAATTTGTAGGGAATTTGTGTCTTTCAATGTACCTCGATAAGATTTTTGATTTGTTCAACTCTCTTCTTCACAACTTCTTCAGTACTTCCATCACCAACGATTGTCGTAGTGTCTTTTGTGAGAACCACTTTACCGGCATTACCCAAAACTTCTGGTCCAACTTTCTCCAACTGAAGTCCAACTTCTTCCCTAATCACAGTGGCTACAGCGAGGAAAACAAGCACCACAACTTTAAAGCTAAATATGATTTTCACATGAAGAAAATAGTATTATAAGACAGTTAGTATCTTAGTCTCACCTCCTGTAAGAGCAGCAATGTCATCAAGGTACTGGCTTTTCCTCTCTCCAAATCCAGGAGCTTTCAAAGCAGCAACCTTTATGGTACCACGAAGCTTGTTAACAACAAGAGTCGCTAATGGCTCTTGCTCAATATCTTCAGCAATAATCAAAAGCGGGTATCCACCTTTGATCGCATCTTCCAGAATGGTGATAATGTCTCTGGCATGTGTTATCTTTTTGTCAACGAGAAACAACTGTAAAAAACAGGAAGAGAGAAATAGTTAAAATCTCCAGCTGCTTTTGATCAGCTAATAGGATTTTTCTGATAGCAATATTAAGACCTTGCAGTTCTCGTATTCTGCAGACATTTTCTCACTGTCGGTGACAAAGTAAGGAGATATATAGCCACGATCAAATTGCATTCCTTCAACTACATAAAGGCTATTCTCAGCGCTTTTTCCTTCCTCGAGTGTGACAACACCTTTACGACCAACTCTTGCCATTGCTTCTGCAATCATATTGCCTACTTCGTAATTGTTTCCTGCACTAACCGCTGCAACATCTGCAAGTTCACTGTCTTCGACCTGCAATTCAGGACAGAGCTACAATCAAGAATCCTCTAAAGTACATGAATCTACGATCCAGAATCTGGTTCAGTCAAAGTTACCTCCTTAGACATTTTCTTCAACTCGGCGACAAGAGCCTTGGTGGTTTTCTCTATTCCTCTAGTAATCAAAACTGGATTTGCACCAGCAGCCACCACCTGCATATTTCAATTTACATCACATCACAACAACCAAACATTTATTTGATTCAATTCACAAAGAAAGAGCATAAAAGTACAAACCTTTACACCTTCAGCGATAAGACCTTGAGCAAGAACAACAGAAGTCGTTGTTCCATCACCAGCTAAGTCATTAGTCTTGGAAGCAGCTTGTCTCACTAGCTTAGCACCAATGTTCTCAACCGGATCCTCAAGCTCAACCTAACAAATAGCAAAAACATTTCAAATCTACAAAGCAATTGCACAACAGATTACACATTCGATACAACAGGAGATTGCTTTCAAATCTACAAAGCAATTACCTCTCTAGCCACTGTTACACCGTCATTTACAATTCTAGGAGAACCATATTTGCTCTCTAAAACAACATTCCTGCCTTTAGGACCTAGAGTAACCCCAACTAAATCCGCAAGTTTATTCACACCAGCCTGCACAATGAAATGATAATACGTTATTCAATAGTGAACCTAGAAAGCACAAAAACTCCGTAAAGTAGAAAAAGAAAAACAATCATTTGACTCACTTGAAGCTTCTTAATCGCAGTCCCGTCCTTATTGAAATGTAATTGCTTAGCCGCATAGATTTTGGGAAACCTTGCTTTCCTCTGAGCAATACTCTGACTCCTCCCAAAGGAGCTTGAAGAGATCGAAACAAAAGACGACAATTTATTCGAAGGAGGAGCCAACAAAGAAGAGCCCATTGAAGACGTTGCGCTAAAGGTTGAGGCCATAGTTTCTCACTCTCTGCAAAAACAAGAACAACAAACACATCAAAATCATTACTTTATTGTTTCATTGAGTCTAAACAATACCTTAAAACACAAACCAAATTAGAAGACTTTGTAATCATCGACACAAATCAAACAAGCGTATCTGAAAGCAATCAACTTTTACACCTATACTTGATTGAAATGAAAAACCAAAAAAAAAAAAAAAAGATATTAAACAAACACTTACTGAGAGAAGCGATCAAAGAGATGGATCAAAGGGTTTTAGCGACTCTGAGAGAGTTTCTTGTGAAGAAGAAATTCGATTTATGCGACTGTAAAGGTATGATTTTTATTAAATTTATTCGAAACTAAAGTGTATTTGGTTGCATAGTGCAAAACGGACTGGTGAAGTTCGAGGATCGCGTCTTCATAAGCTTTAGGTTAAACCTGAGCCGTTGGATTGATGAATTTAGGAAGAATCTCGAAATTTTAAACCCTAAACCCACCTACTCCTACTCTCTTTCACGTGCCAGCGAGTGAGGCTTCTTGTAACACTTTGATCATCTAATCATAATTTGACACGTGTTGATCATCCACATAACAGCAAATACGACATCGTTTCACTTGTCCTAAATGAACAAATATGCTCTGTTCTTCTCTCATATGCGAAACAAGTAACAGAGCAAATAACAGAACATAAGGTTTAAATTACAGAATCATAAGGACCAAAAACATGAATTAGGCACTTACACGAGTACAAACTCTAGATTCTCTATAGATTTTACCTGGCCGACACAAATAACCTTTGTTAGGAGCACAATGAGAATCCTCTGAACAAATACACAACCCTTCCAACGCACATCCTTGTTTCACAATCGTCACGTTTCCTTTCAAACCTAGAATCTGATCGGTCCATTGCGTAGAAAACAATCCTAAAGAATCAAATCTCTCTTTCACTTTCAAAAACGTGTTTGCGTTCTTGTACTTTCTAATCGCGCCATCAAACGCTAGGTTCCTATTCTTCCCCCAATGTGGTAACGCATTGTATTTAAACATCGCCATCTGCTCGATCTCTTCGATGTAATCCTCGTATAGACGCGGTACCAAGGGATCTTTTTTGTTTCTGTAGTAAGTTAGGTCAAAGTCTAAAGCTTTTTCCTCTTTCCCAAGAAAAGCAGTAGAGGATGTGACGTAACGGATGAGAATACCGTTGCTGCCTTCAAGGACGCATAGAGATTTAGGTTTGATCTTAACTAGTGCTTTGATGTCGTTGATGAAACTTTTGACACGAGTGAGAGGAACACTGAAGGTTGTTTGGTGAAAGAACTGGCCTTTGATCCGCGGATCCCACGGACAAGCAGTGATCAGTCCGTCATTACGACTGTCTAGACATGAACCGGAAGACATCATACGGTTTTGCATTCCGATGACCGGATAGCCTGTGAATATTATGCCTGCCCATAGAATTTTTGTGTAATGTTTTATCGAAACATTCAACAATGTATAAGCAAGTGAACAAATTAATTACCGTTGTTAGTCAAACCGTATGATATTGAAAACATAAACGACGAGACTAGCTCTGCTCTCATACACTTTATGTTTGCATCTTGGAGTGACTCGTCAATCTCCTCTTTATAACATAATCAACAAAGGTATATAAGAAAACATTATAACTATGCAAGATTAGTATATTAAGATCTTGAGAAATAAAGAATTCACCTAAGGATCTATCAGTGGCTAACGCTAGCGAGAGTTGTGAACGGAATGGGTAAAAATTGAACAAACCACTTCCGGAAGTGTTTACCGGAACGCGATCATCAATTCGATACACCACTTTGCCTTGGCTCGGTAACCATATGAAATCTGCAAACTCATGTTTTTCACCAAAAGTCACGGCTTGATCTCCGAAATCGGAGTCATCTATCATAACATACGTTAACGATCTCTTGAACATGGGTTGCAATTCGAAAGTGACTTGAGAGATAACACCAAGAACGCCTAGAGAAACTTTGGCTGCGCGAAATTCCTCGGGATCGTTAGCCTCGCTAAGAACCCGAACCTTCACATACCCATCAGAAGCCAAACCAGGACTCACCAATCTTATCTCGGTCACATAATCATGAACCGCACTTCCTTTACCCCAAAGTGAACTTCCATGAGCACCTGTCCCCATCAATCCTCCAACCGTAAGTCCCCACCAATACGGTGCATATGGCAAAGCCAGGTCCAACTTAGCTGCTTCTTCGATCAGCTGCCTTAGCGTCACGCCGCTCTCAACCGTCAACGTCTTGGCCTCCCGGTTGGTCCGCACCACATTATTCAAGAACTTGGTGCTTATGAGAACCCCGTCTTTGCCGTCAGTGCAAACCAGTTTCGGGAGACTATGAGAGTACCGAGTCACGACCCGCATCTTTTGGCCAGCTCTAGTGGCGGCAGCCACCACAGATACCAGCTCTTCCTCGGTCCTTGGGTACTCCACCTTAGCTGCTTGGCATATAGAACGGTCAGGAAAGGACCCGTACGAGTTCGTCACCGTGCAAATTGTGTTTCCGGACTCACACTTGACAGGATCATCCGGTGGAGTTGAGGAAGCAAATGTGAAAAGGCAAAAGATCAAACTTAGCCAAAACGCCATTTTGTAAAAGAAACCTTTCGATAATAATTGCAATGGAAATGTTTGTTCATCCTCTCATTTTTTCTATATTTCTTATAAGTTATAATGTATCGTCACATCAATGTGATACACATGGTTTATCAAATGGATATTAATAGCCACCTGAAAAATTCACCAAAAAAAAGAGGAAGAAGAGGAAGAATTAAAATCATTAAATGAAAGTTTCATCAGGGGGCAACTTGTGGACATGGGACATAGCTATATTACTGATGCTTGTATATATCAAGTCTTTAGAACAAAATATGAGATTTTGTGACTCACATTACTTGCTTACTATATTAGAAAAAGATACGAGATTTGACTCACCATATATTAAAATTGATCCAAGTCTTCTTAAAAAAACGATTTTTTAGAATACTTATTAGGTAAATTAAATAATATGGTTTCTTGGTTGGGGGTATACACTATTCTGAAAAAATTGAAATTTACCATAAACTTCATAGCTCATCACAAGTTCACATTATGACGCAGACGAGGGACAGCTTGTAGGTCTATATTCGTTAGGCTTTCATTACCTTACTTTTTCGGTTGGTCAAGATATTACTCTTTGTATTAATTAGCAATGGTGTTCGTTTGGTCGGATAATTAAACACAAATAACTAGCTACTATTAACCACAAACATATCAAATTCTGAAAAAGGCAAACTTTGGTGTGTCCAAAGTCCAAACCAACAAATCCCGACCATTAGTTTTCCTGTTTCTTAACACACCAAAATTTTGCCGCATGTGTTTCTCTCCATATCTCCATGGTCGTAAGATAGTTTTGTCAAAAAAGTCGTGTATGGAATTATCAAAGCCTATTAAATCAACTAACCACACAAAATGTTTGTAGTTTACATGATCTAAGCATCAACGGTTACATATTTTTTTGTGCCTAACCAAAAAGAGGTAAAACTATGTTTGTATTTCTCTATGCGTAGTGTGACCTATCTAGTTTTTATCTTCTTTCATTGTGTGTGTGTGTTTTTATCTAGTCGTTGACCAAGGAAATAGTACTAGTAACTTATTAATTTTCTTAGTCAATTCTGTGACCATATTCTGTAAATTAAGTGGATCCCTAATAGTTATATTATCTCTCTTTAGATTGATCTATTTGCCAAAATAAGAAAAATATGATTCATATTCTCATTTATGTGTTTGCTATACCGTATAAAACTTTGAATAAGCAAATCTTAGGAGTAATTCAAAACCGATATTTAATCAAGTACATTATTAAGAGTCTTCTAAAAAAAACAGAAAAAAACACTCAGTTACAATGTGACAAAGGTTCAAAAACTCTGTATTTCACTAGAAGAAGAAAATTCACAAACCTTTGTATCTCTCTTAATCTGTATTTAGTCAACAAAATACACATAACACAATCTACTTTCCACTTTTCAAATTGTATATTAAGGGAAAAAGAAAAAGAAAAAAAAAACCAAGTGATCAATTACAATATGAATTAGCATCATCTTAAATAACATTCTTCACCACTTCAACCTTCTTCGGTTCTTCAAGTTTCTTCAATCCATTCTTAGGCATTTCGTCGATAATGGTAATTACTGCTTTCTGAACAGTTGGGACGAGTAAGGCCTCTTCTTCTGTGGCCTGAAGAGGCTCCAAAGAATCTACAATGTCCCGCATCAAAGGTCGAGCCTTCGGGTTTCTGTTAAGGCAATGGTAAGCTAGCATTGCAGCCTTTTGAACCGCTTTTACCGGGTATTCACAGTTCATTCTTGGGTCTACTATGTTCAAGACTTTCTTCTTCTCCTTCAACAATGGAAGAGCCCAATCTATGAGGTTTTGCTCACGAGTAGGCCGTGACTTGTCTAATGATTTTCTTCCTGTTAGAAGCTCTAACAGAACTACACCGAAGCTATATACATCACTTCCCGGTGTCAAATGACCTATCACCAAGACATATAATCAGAAAGAATCCAAATGCAACAAACTCATTGTGTTGTCCTTTAAGCTTTATATAGCTAAAAATGTCAAACTTAGGAAAATTATATTTCAAAGAGCTGAAGTAGAAGCTGTAACAAGATACACATTACATTCTAAAATAGTTTAGTTTGCAAGTTTGGCAGACTTTTTTTGTTTTTTGTCGACGTTTGGCAGACTATATTACTTACCTGTCATGATGTATTCAGGAGCTGCATAACCATAAGTACCCATTATGCGAGTGGAAACATGTGATTTATCTCCTACAGGACCGTCTTTAGCAAGTCCAAAGTCAGATAATTTGGCATTGTATTCCTGTTACAACAGCAAGATGAAACCTCCACAATTGTATCAATAGAAAAGAGAAGACCTAATGTGATGTAATACTACTATCACAACTAGTACTAACCATATCTAGAAGAATGTTGGAGGTTTTGAAATCGCGATAAATGACGGGTTTCTTTGCTTCGTGTAGAAAGGCAAGTCCTTTTGCTGCTCCAAAAGCAATCTTCATTCTAATTGCCCATGACAGAGGAAGTAACACTCCTACCAAGTAATACACATAGCTCAGACTTCCTTATCCATTCAAGATTAATGTCCAACAAGAAGAAAAATGACTGTAAGAACTCTAAAACTCACTTGAGAAAAGATTATTCTCCACGCTACCACGAGCCATGTACTCGTAAATTAGCACCCTGTGAGTATCCTCACAGCAATAACCAATCAATTTCACTAAGTTTGGATGTGAAAGCTGCCCCAAGAATATCACCTCTGCCTAAACACAACATCGAGACAACATAAAAGAATTTCAAACCATTCTCGCCTCGATTGGAGTCTTAGAGACCGCTGCAAACTGTTATAGAGCTATGAATAAAGCTTAATCAAGAACTCTACTTGACTCCACATGATCAGATCTATCCACATTCCTTAGGTTGAAAAGATTTATAATAGGTTGAGAAACTTGGGAGACAAGCAAAAGACAGAGAGAGACTGACCAGCCATTCTCTGTGACCCTGAAAGCTATTATCTCCGTCGTGCACTTTAACGGCAACAGGAAGTGGTTGAGGAACATCTTGATCACCCAAATCCTCTTTTATGAAACCTTTGTAAACACTTCCGAAACCACCACCACCAAGAACTCTGTCTTGTCTGAAATTACCTGTAATGTTCTTAAGCTCATCGTATGTGAAAGCTATAAGAGGATTAGTTGCTGAGTCACGCCTTAGATCCTCAACTTCTTTTGGGTTTGATGGCAGCTTTTGAGCTTCCTTAATATATTTATCTTCTACTGTTGGACTCTGTTCTTTTGGTGACTCTACAAAGAGATTAAGAAACCAAATGTTTCATTAGTTCTTGATTTTATGAAAACTGAACTGAAGACTATGTGAATTGATTGGTTTAATAGAATATTCTTCTAGGGGGTCTAAAAATCCAAGAACATAGAATAATATGATTAAAAAATGAGACTTTGACCAATTTAGAAGAAAACAAAAACAGAGAAAGAGAGAGAGATGAAATGAAACGGAAGACTATATAGCAAGAAAGAATCAGTAAGTCAAAAATCTCAACAAATGAGTCCAAACTTATAGAATAGAGAGAAAACGAATCTAAGTTTATCCCAAATAAAACCCAAAACTTAAACTAATTTAAAAACAAGTTTTAGAAACCCAAAAAGAGGAATATGAAAACAGAACATAATCATCAGAATAAATCAAGAAAAGTAAAAAAGAATAAATCCATTGAATAAAAATTAGGCAATTAACCGACAGATATTTCTAAGTTTTGCCAAAACAGTAACATTAAAAAAAAGTAACAAGAAAGGAAAAAGAGAGAAGAGAAACCTGATTTAGCGTTAGCAGAGACTCTGTGGTTTAAGGGCTCAAAGCTACACCAACAGTTACCCATTATATTCCCAAACCAACACACGCAGAGAGATAGAACAAATATAGATAGATTACTATATATATATATATATATTGTAAAAATGAAAAAATGAAACAAACTTTATTATGTAAGTTACGAATTCATGCCCATTAAAGAAAACACCAGCTCTCAATTTCTCTTCTTGTTAGGAGTTTTTCTTTTTCTTGGGGTTTCTTTCTTTCTCTTTTCTTCCCAAGAACCACCAAAAGGTAAAGACTTAAAAGAGATGATGAAAGAGAGAGACACAGAGACTAAGGAAATGGTTTTGTTTTCTCCTATTAGAGAGAGAGAGAGAGAGAGAGGAGAGATTCGTCGGGGGCAATGATGGGTATGAGGGAGAGGTATGAGGTGGGAGAGAAAGAGGTCTTTGGCTATGGCGGAGATGGACCCTACTCTCTCTCTCTCTCTCTCTCTCTCTTTCTTTCTCTTTTTCCACTGACAAATCAAAACAGAAACTCTCTCTCTCTCTCTCAATTCAGAAGAGAAAAAGAACAAAACCCGATAAAGACATCAGTCTACTTTGGTCTGCTTTTCTTTTGGTTCTTCCGGTTCGGTCTGGTCCAGTCCGGTTTAAAATCTCTCTGGTTTAGTTTCCCATAACCAATTTCTAATCTCTTTCGATTTTTACTCAATAACTTCAATATTAATCCTCGAACACTTATTAGCTATTTGTTAGAAAAGAAAAGATAGAATCAACACACTTTGGTTAACTTCAATATTTGATTGAACCAAGGACAAATTATCAAATCCAAAATTATACCAAGAACACCATTCTCTAACCAATAAATTGTTTATGTTTTTTTTGTTCGTTTGTTTGGTTTAATAATAGTGCGCATGAAAGAAGCGCATTTTGAGACCACATTTTTGTTCCTTCGCTTTTTTTTTTTTTTTTTTTTGTATTTTCCTTTTTTATATTTTTGGTTCTAAGCTTTCCTTTTTGTCTAAGCGTGCGTCTTTGCCTTTTTCCAATTCTTTCTTATTGTCCTTTATATAAAAAAAAAATATGTTTTATCGATTTTATGTTCACATTTCCTTTTTATTAATCAAACACAACTATAATATGTTGATGACGTGTTAGTGCATAATCTTACCAAAGTAGCTCAACATTTTTATATTCGACTAATTTCAACAAAAACAGATGTGCTCATTGGTCATTTACCCATTACTAGTGATTTACTCACAAACAGAGCTGTCGACGAACTTATTTTTCCTTTGATAAATAATAAGAAAATCCCAATCCATTATTATATCTAAACTTTTACTACTATGCATTAGGCTTTCCAAGATTTATTTATTTATCAATTATCATATCTCTCTCTCTCTCTCTCTCTTTAAACAACAGCAAATGAACTTGAAAATATGTAACAGTTTGAAAACTGTAATAGTTATTGTGTAAATGTTATACGTAAACCAAAAAATAATAATAGACTGGTTATAGCGATTTGCACTATTACATAACGATTATAGATTTTCCATTGTCAAACAAAAGAAAATTATGCAGTAAACACTATTACCCTCGTACGTAGAATTGGAAAACGAGATTAGTGGATGAACTAATATATATAATTAGATGAAAAATATCCTATAGACACCTTACCTAACATTACTAATATATACACTTATTAACTACAGTCAGTATTATTAAAATATACAAACGCACAAGAATCTTCAAGATTAATGTTCCACTTAAAATCCAACCTATATAATTTTTCCTTATATGTCATCACGCACATTACTCTTTTAGTAGTATTTATTATCGCTTATTATTGTATACGTGAAATCCGTTCCATCTATGTTATTATACACAGATCATATGTTGTAAGTTGTAACGTTATGATTGTATATTTTTTTGAATAAGTGAAGCTGAAGTTATTAGGTTCTTTTTTTATTCGAATTAATACTACTATAGTATTGTATTTTAAGTTTACTCATGTTGAAATGCACGAAATACAAAATTTGTGTGTGAAAACAATTAATCAAACGTGTGCGGGTGATCTAATAAGTGGTAGAAAAAGTTGATTCAACAAGAGGATATAATTAAATTCAACACACCCACTACTACTAGTTTGTTTCTTGGATCCCATTTCTTATCTCCTTCTCCAGGTGTTAGCTCGTCAGGCTTGACATTTCTTTTTCCATTATTTCACATTTTTCTTGTTTGTTTTAACATATATTTATTCTCAACTAATCGAAAATTTTCTAAATTCTTTTAGGTTACAGAAGATACAAAAAAAGGTTCTATGATTCGTTGATGTAAAAGTTGATAATAGATCATTCCACACCCACTTGTTTCTTTTTATCGCTTTCTATTTTTTCTCCTTAACTAAGAAGAAGTCTCCTAAAGATATTCCTAAACAATAATCTGTCTTATACTCCTTTAGTAAAGGAGACTAATTCTTTACATTTGAATCACGGAACGCCACTTAGGACCACCATATATGTAAAACTGTTTGAGCATAAAAAGAAATCAAACTACTATATAAGTTTTATTTTTAAGAGACCATAACAAATAAAAGAATAGTAAATTATATCTGAGTTACTTAAAAAAAAAGTTAACCATATAAAAATTTAGATTTCTTGATCAACCAAGGATTTTCTTGTCGGGTAAGAAGCAATAACATAATCTTTAGTATCAGAAAAAAAAAAGAGACAATAATATAACTTGCATCTTACGGTTACTGTTCTCGTATATTAAGGATTGAAATGATGAACATTTCCCGTGGATTGTGCGTAATACCAGCCAAGAATATCAAGAAAATTAACATTTCAGATATGTCAATTGTTCAACCAAGCCGGTGAGGCGGTGGCTCTCTACGAAACTTAATTAGCAATATGAACAGTTATACTATTGCAAACTTTATGTTTTAAGAAAGACTGAATCTTATGGAAATGCATCATCAACGGTCAAAATGTTATCACTGATAAAATACTATTAATTTTTGCAAGTGTCAAATTGACGTCATGTTGACTTGTTGAGTGCATAGAATGTTTCGTTTAGGGGCGGCAAACCAGAGTTGATCAGATAAGTCCAAATCTCAACCTAAACAACAATCCAATAAATGAAGATTTTGAAATTGTAAGAAACATCCAAATCTGAAGTCTTTTGACCTTAAATAAACCTTGTTGTAAATTCATACCCAAGAAAAAATGGTTTGATTCTTTTTAATTCAAGAAAGGCTGGGAAATATTTATCACTCAAAGATACGCAAAAAAGAGAGGTTATATTGCTACTAAGTTCTCTTATAAAATTACACAGTAATTTACAAATTAATATTGATTTGAAGCAACTAATATGTTTCCTAGTGGAAAGTTAAGTTAAAGTATATTTACATATATCCAAAACCTGATGCACTACGGTTTTTTTTTTTACTCATAACTGTGATAAGTTCTAGTTTCATGCTCTGATACACGAAAATTTGTATTATGATTCTTGCATAGATAGGCTGTACTGGTTTTATTCTCAAAACAAAGGAACAGTTGATTAAATTAATTATAATGGGCCGTAAACGTTCAGTCCAAGCCCAAACTTATGTATCATAGTTCTCCAGTCTAGTTCTAATTCTAATTCAGTAATTACAAGTTTCGCAGCCATCATCTATTGAAAGCTTACACCTTTTCATCTCCCCTTTATCTAGTTGTGGCTTTGAGTTCGAATTCACGCAAGGAACCAACCCATCTCCATCAGATATCTCTGTCTTTGTTTTCTGTGATTCTAAATCGTCGCTTGAGGTTTTGGTTTTCTCTTTATGGGAATTTCTAGGGTTTTCTTGATTTCCCCTGTTTCTTTGGAATCTACGAGTTGTTGCTTTTGGGGGTAATCGTTTCCTCCCCACTATAATGCCGGATTGAGTAGTTAGAATCGAGCCCATTTTCAAATTTGGTGTTTTCCGTTCAAAGATCGAGGCTTTGTGTCTTGTTCTCTCTGTTTGTTGACTGCATTTTCGAAGATGTGCATTTCTAGAGAAGACGAAGATCCATCCAGAAATCGAAGGAATCAATCGCCATTATCGCTTCCTCAAACTCTGAAACATTTCCAGAAAGATTTGCTTGCTGGTGCTGTAATGGGAGGCGTTGTTCACACGATCGTAGCTCCAATCGAAAGAGCGAAGCTTTTGTTACAAACCCAAGAGAGCAACATAGCAATTGTTGGAGATGGAGGTCACGCAGGGAAGAGAAGGTTTAAAGGAATGTTCGATTTTATCTTCCGTACTGTTAGAGAAGAAGGTGTTTTATCTTTATGGAGAGGCAATGGAAGCAGTGTGCTTCGTTATTATCCTTCAGTGGCTCTCAATTTCTCTCTCAAGGATCTGTATAGAAGCATTCTTAGAAACAGTAGCTCTCAAGAGAATCATATCTTCTCCGGTGCATTAGCTAATTTCATGGCTGGTTCTGCAGCTGGTTGTACGGCTTTGATTGTTGTTTATCCGCTTGATATTGCACACACTCGTTTAGCTGCTGACATTGGGAAACCAGACGCTCGTCAATTCCGAGGAATCCATCACTTCTTGTCGACGATTCACAAGAAAGATGGGCTCAGAGGTATCTATAGAGGCTTGCCTGCGTCTCTACATGGTGTGATTATTCACCGTGGCTTATACTTTGGGGGATTCGATACGGTTAAGGAGATTTTCTCAGAGGATACAAAACCAGAGTTGGCATTGTGGAAGAGATGGGTTTTGGCTCAAGCTGTGACTACATCTGCTGGATTGGCTTCTTACCCGTTGGATACAGTTCGTAGACGGATAATGATGCAATCTGGGATGGAGCATCCGATGTACCGTAGCACATTGGATTGTTGGAAGAAGATATATAGGAGTGAGGGGTTGGCTTCTTTTTACCGTGGAGCACTCTCTAATATGTTTAGAAGCACGGGTTCAGCTGCTATCTTGGTTTTTTATGATGAAGTGAAGAAGTTCCTGAATTGGGGAGGGATCTAAGCACTAAGATTAACAAGCTGAGAGGTAAGCCTTGTCAATCCAAATTAGAGACAGAAGAAGAATGATTATTCATTTTTGTTACTAAACCTTAACAAGGAGACATATGTAGAGAGAAAGCTTTAGGTGATAATATTTGTTTTTGAGGATTTGGCTGGAATACTATGCATCTTGATTCTTTTCTGCTTGTTATAGACTTTGTGTGTATGAGGAAAGAAAAAGAAGGAATCAATTTTGTAAATAAAAGACATGATTGGTCTAGTCCCAAGTATTGCATTCATTTTCGATACTTTTTGTCATCAATCTGAGTTTTCGTTATGGATAAGATTACAAAAGTTCCAGCTTTGATCTACTCTTGTTTTGTGGATACAAAAGTGGATTTGTCTTAGACATTGTATGATGGTTCCTCCTTTTTAACACGGATAATGTGGATTATATGCTTGGTTGTTGCAACCTTTTTGCTATTCAGCTGTTCTTACGATTCGGAAACTAGCAAGACAATTCTAAAAATCTTCCACACGACGTAGGACTCTCTCTATCTTTCTCATTTTCTTTGTGATCTCTCTGTTTCATTTTTGAAGTTAGGACTTGGGATGATAGGCGTTTGTACAGAAGAAAATCGAGCTGCATGATTTAATATTTCATCTGCGATGATGACTTAGTGACACCAAAGTTAAAAATACTCTGCCTATCTTGGCAATTTCGACTGAGTATCCGAAACGAATCACTTTACGGAGGTTGAAAGCACTCGATCAGGTTAAAAGAGTGAAATTGACATAACAGTTCGTTGACTGAAACAGCCTAACTAGCTAGGTTATTTCAGTCACCATAACTTCATTTTTCTGTAAATTTTGAAAATCAAAATCTCATACTCTTTTTTTTTTTGTCAAACAATCTCATACCCAATATATATATTTACAATAAAAGATTATAAAGTTCAATAACACGACTAGTGCAACTGGTATAGTGTGAGATCATGGGCCAATGCAGTTGTTACCAGATGTATCTATATTTATAATCTATGGCAGATCCGTATTGGAAAACATTGAAATGTCATAACGTCATGCTTTACTCATTCCTAATTTTTTTATATATTTTTTTTATTTTTATTTTATTTTTGTGTGTATGTGTATGACAATTTTGGATAAGTGAAAAGTAAAAATAAAAACAAAAATATCTAATTATGTAATCATCACATTGGAGTTTTTAATATTTTGAACAACATTCTAACTTTTTTTTTACTAGAACACAAAAAAAAAAGTAGACAAAAATTCGTTTGGATACTTATCCTAATTTGTAATTAAGTTTTCAAATTAGGATACGTATAAATTCTTTTCAAGTCACTTCTTCAAATCCAAATCTACTATGTACTAGTACTAGACTGGTACAGTTGTAAGGTTATCAATATCTTTTTATTAGTTATGTGGTTTATTAGTTAGGTTATCAATATCTTTATGTTTCAATTATGTGGTTCAGCAATTTAATTTAAATTTATATAATTTATGTGATAAGTGAAAAATTACAACTAATTTATATAGTTTATAAAATTAATCATTCCCATTTATACAACATTTACATTGTATACAATACTTATGTTGACATATACTTATATAGATTATATTTAATATTCTTTACTCCATTGCAAAGATTAAGAATCATAGACTGAATCGTGGTTATGCTCAAGTTCCGAGAGATGATATTGGGTTTGTTATCAAAGCTCCGTCCTTAAATTCGTCAACAATTGCTACTGAGATTAGTTGGTATTATTCACTTGTGACTATGCACTACCTTGTCAATGCTGATATCAAAGTAAGACAAGAAAATTCAAAGAATTTTGAGGCGAAGCTTATCTTTTACTTTTGTGATATAACATATTCTCTTTGTCATTACCGAATCGTTCAACTGAATTATGATGCCACTTGCAGGATTCATGTCTTATAGGCGATTTCAATCATCTCATGTTTCTATATCTTTGTACGTGCTCTTTAGATTGGTGTCATCTTATACTGAGACATGTACTTAAACTACGCGGTCTTAGATTCAAGCTAAAATAAGTAAGGTTGATTCCAAGATCAAATGATCCGTCTATCCAGACTCAGTGAGAGCAGTCGAGTTATGTTCATGAATGCTTGGTCTCGAGTCTTGTAACTGTTGAATGGGATTGATTACAAGGGAACACAAGTAGAGAAAGAAGTGATAACATATTTGCTAGAGAACTCTCGACGACTAAAGACAATATCCATTAGATCATTGAAATCGACAAATGACAGCGAAAAAACTCAAAATGCTCAAGGAGTTGTCGACTACGCAAAGGAGTTCATCCAAATGTGGGGTTCGTTTATTTAAAACCCCGTCGGATCTCTGAGATATATATATGCATTATTAGTATTTATATATTGTTTTGATAATTTTTCAAGTTTTGACAAACTTTGAAGGGAAGGGCTTTATTATAATCAAAGTGACTTGTCTAATTCACAAAACTTCTAAAGATGTGTCCAATAAAGTCCTTACCTTATGCTTAAAACCACAAAATTTTAAAAGTCTTTGGTGATTGATATTTTCTTCTGTCATAACATTTATTATCTTGCACTTAATTAGTCCTAGATTTTGTTAAAATTTTGCTCTCATGTCAGTCTAGAAGCCATTGCTTCAAACAATTCTTAAACAATTAGTTGACAGATAAACAAATAGTGTATGTAGTTGATAAAATTTGATGGATTTTTATTTTTTAATTTTACTAGGTTTTTTCATCCTTTTTATTTTGTTTTATATAATTAATGCATGTCATGTCATGTCCAATTATTAGTTAGTTATAATTTTATTATTTAAATTTTATATTAAATTAAGGGTATCGTTGCTTTCTAATTATATAAAGTTTAGATGATTAGATTAAAAATTATCTTTTATTTCCAATTCTCCCTAATAGATATACCAACCATTAACTCTTGGAATAGAAGATGGAGACAGAGCCGACCTTTAGCACAAGCTCATGAAGCATGAGCTTGCGGCCCGATATGTATGTATAGTTTTTCGGCCCTCAATTTTTGCAAAACTCCTGTTAGTGTAGTGGTAAGAGTGTCCTAAATAAATCCTATAGCCCTAAGTTCGACCAAAACTTACCATTATTTAGTTTTTATTTTTGTAGCTTATTAACAAGATTGGCCCTTAAACTGATTTGGGCTGGTGGCCTTATTTTTCTTTGCGACGGCTCTGGATGGAGAGACTAGAGAGAGAGTTTAATATATGTTCCACAGGTTTGGGTATTTATCTTTTCTGGATGAGTTCGAAGTGGTGTTTAAGCTGAAGCAAGTCTGCAAATTGTTTACATGAGTGCATGCTCCTTAGAGGGTTGCTTGGCTTGAATTCTAATGTTTTCAAGGGCAAGACTTTCTTACGCTGTCAGCTCAAAGATGGTGCATCATTTTGGTTTCACACATGGAACTGATTTTGGACCAACCAGAGATCAACAAGACGGGTTCCATCATCTTGCATTCTCTGTTTTTCGGGTACAGAACTACATCACCATCTCTTCTTTTGACTGTTGAGTTTGCTAGAAGAGTCTCTCGCACCAAACTGCATCAAAGATTGAGCAAAACCGTCCTCCCACGCCTGCTGCTGTTACTTGTTGGATTTCTCAAAACCCAAGGAGACCTCGGATCTCATAATTAAGTCCATTGTTTTGAAGCCCCTCTTGCAAGAAATGTAACTGGAGGGTTCTCTGCAGCTACCAACCACTCCATCGCGTATTGTGCAAAATCGACTTGTCTCCTAATCTTCCTCGGATCAGCGTTCGTATCCATCACTCATATTAACTAGCTTTAAGTTGTAACTAATTCTCAGAAGGTTAATCTTTACATTTTATAACCAATAATAATAATTAGAAAGAAAAAAACGTTATGTTCTATGTCCTAAAAGACCAAAACAAATAAGCTTCCATTTTTTTTTTAACTTTCTTAATATAGACCTGATTACAGTATTCTTTTTTTTAACTTTCTTAATAAGCTTCCTTTTTTTCCTTTTTTTTTCAACTTTCTTAATAAGCTTCCTTTTTTTTTTTTCCATTTTTATTCCCTCTTCTTTTACAGTTTCTTCAGTTTTATAGCGGTGATGCTCTTCAAGTTAAAATAACTTGTCGGATCCGATCATCGCTTGGGTATAGCAAAACGTGGCTAAAGTGAAGAACTTTGCAGCAGGTTTATCTCGTGCTGTTCTGTAAACTTTATGCTAAGTCCCATAGTAAACCGTTCTTTTTTCACTTTTCAGTTTCTAATTTCATCGTATAAATATTCTAATCAGGATTTAACGTTTAGGTCAAACTTTTTTCTTTCATTACAACTTTCTTCGCACGCTAGGGTTTTGTGAAAATTTTAATGGCTTGACAAAGCAAGACTATCTAACCTTCTTTCTTACTTGTTTTTGGAAGCATCGCCAACAAAATCAACAGAAGCGTCGTCCGGTTCCAATGGATAGGATAAGTCTGTTGTCAGATGATTTGCTCTTGAAGATACTGTATTTGGGTACAACTAAAGATGCCGTGACCACAAGCCTTTTGTCAAAACGTTGGTGTTCACTTTGGAAACATGTCCCAAAGCTTACTTATTGGGATTTAAATACTAGTGAGTACTGGAAAGCTTCACGTTTTGTTGACAAATTTTTGCTACTACACAAGGCTCCTGTCCTAGAAACTATGAATCTCTCACTTTGTCGAAATTGCTGTCCTACAGATATTCAAACATGGATAAATCTTGCAGTTTCTCGTGGGTTGCAGAATCTTATTATCCACCGATATAGACCTGGTTCAGGGTTCATACGGTTGCCTAGGAGTCTGTATACATGTGGAACCCTTGTGACTTTAAAGATAGCATCAGAGTTCATTGTGGATTATGTTCCTTTGACAATTTCTTTCTGGTCACTCAAGGTTTTGGCCCTGTGTTTTGTAAAATTCTCAAGCAATGAGCTCGTTGATAGGATTTTGTCCGGTTGCCCTGTCCTTGAAGATCTGAAAGTGATTCGAGGCAGCAATGACAACGTGAAAACTTTCACAATCGCAGTTCCTTCATTGAAGATCTTAACCATCATAGAGACGACCTGTGGTTCTTATATTTGGAGAGATGGTATTAGGTTTGTGATCAACACTCCTTCTTTAAAGTCGTTAACGATTGCTAACCAATTTAGTTGGTGCGATTCATTAGTGAGTATGCCCTACCTCGTCAATGCTGATATCAAGCTTAGACATGGCGATTCTAAGAAGTTTGAGGGGATGCTTATCTCAGCCAAACACATATCCTTATGTTTACCACCACCAATGGTAATATATATTACTTTTGCTTTTGTGATATATAACATATTCTCTTTGTCATTACAAAATACTTCAGCTAAATTATGATGCCACTTGCAGAATTCATGTCCTATAGGTGTCTTCAATCAGCTCGTGTCTCTAAATATTTGTACGTGCTCTTTGGATTGGTGTCGTCTAATACTCAACCATACACCTAAACTCCGACTTCTCAGATTCGAACTAAAACAAGCAAGATTGTATCCATACAGAGATCCGCTCCAGAGATGTTGCAGCAGTTCTGTATATGTCCAAACTCGGTGGGAGCAGCCGAGCTCTATTCTTGATTGTTTGATTTCGACTCTTGAGACTGTTGACTGATTGATTACAAAGGAACACAAACAGAGAAAAAAGTGGTGATGTATTTGCTAGAGAACTCCCGACAGCTAAAAGCAATGTCTATTAGATCCTCTAATTTGACCAGTTGTGTTGAGAAACTCAAGATGCTGCAAGAGCTGTCATCTACGCCGAGGACTTCTAGCAAATGTCGTGTTTTGTTCATCTGAAGTTCGGTCGGATATTGAAATAGTCGTTTTCATCCTCGGAGCATCATTAGTAGTTATATTGTTTTGCTAATTTATACAAGTTTTGGACTTGTTTTCATGACACTTGTGCTTTTACAAGTTTTCACAACTTATTAGTGGTACCATTATGATCATGATAAAGCAGACTCTGTCTTTGAGATTTATGATTGAATAAATCGTCTTTTTTATTTTTTTTGAATATATAGAGTTTTACCCAAACAAAAATATTGTTTCACTATATATAATATTTTGATAAAATTTTGTATTATTATTAATCAAAGGGAAAGCTCAGCTCTTGACTCTGTTGAGAGTAAATCAATGACTGATACAGAGCTTGTTAGGCTTTTCTGGCTTTTATCTCAACATTAGAGACAAATGCCAATTTATTCATTCTCTCAACGTTCACTAATTTGGAAAAGAAACGCTTTATGTTGTTGATAGAGTCAGGTTGGTTAATCTCTATTGTCACTAAAAAGTTTCACCAAATGTCGGCTATGCAGATCAGGAGTTGTAGCAAATGTCGGCTTTTGTTGACCTGAAGTTCCACCGAGGTACAGAACTAGTCAGTTTTCATTCTTGGCGCATCATTAGTAGTTATATTTTCTTCTCAAGTTTTTTGGTGTCATTAAGATCATGAGAAAGCAGTCTTTGCAATATTTAGATATTTACCCAAACAAAACTAATAAATGTTTTCTTATATTTGATTTCGGTAAATTTTGATTATCAATCAAAGGAAAGCTTAGCTGCTGATTCTAGTTATCTTTGAAAGAAATTGCCAAGAATTAACCAATTTTACTCAATGGTAAAATGTAAGAACTCTAAACTTTAGAATATACAATTGGATCAGAGATATTTTGGATTTGCATTCAAAGTCTATTGTTTATGTCCGGTTTTTGTTATCTTGTTTTACATAGAAAAGTATTGGGAGATAGAGCACTGGAGATAGACCGAGATCGACGGTTGAGAACATAAAGTGAAGTTATGAAAATAAAAAAAATATTATTCTAAAAGATATGTGATAAATGTTAGGTTAGGAAGATTAACATTATCTCAAGTTATATTATTTACATTTATGTTTATTTTCTAGAATAAATCTAGATCTTAGTTTATCTCCGGTTCTCCATCTCCTAATAAAAAGAGAAAGTGATGACTTATATATTTCAAATTAGCTAGTAACTAATGAATATATATATCAACAATCGAAACCTTATATATATATACATATATTTCTATACAAAAAAAGAAAAAAAAATCTAATGAAAACCTTAGTAAGAAAAAGACCAATTAGATTGATTCAATCATAGGTTAAATAAAAAACGAAAATTGTCAAAAAAAAAATTAAAAAAAATGGAATATTACTGAATTAGACGGTGCAATTGCAAACGTTGTTTGGTTTACTTAACCTTTTCCTTTGTCTTTCTTTCTAATTAGCAATTAGGGTTTCTGTTCGACAAAAAAAAGGCCACGAAGTTAGGGTAACCTTTCTATTTGACTCTCAATTTCTTCGTACGTAATCTTCTGATTTGATTTGAACGAGTGCGTTCTCATCATTGCTAGGGGTTTTTTTCTTCTTCTTCTTAATAGTGTCGGCAACAAGATCAAAACTCGTGAGATTCTGAAACGTTCGTTTGCGATGGATAGGATCAGTCCGTTGTCAGATGACGTAATAATAAAAATATTGTCATTCGTTGGAACAAAAGTTGCTGTATCCACTAACCTTTTGTCCAAGCGATGGCGTTATCTTTGGAAACATGTGCCTACGCTTAAGTATCGTGATCCATCTAGTGACTGCGAGCATTGGAGAGCTTCGCGTTTCGTTGACAAGTTTCTGCTACTTCACAAAGCTCCAGTCTTGGAATATCTGAATCTCAAACTTAGTTGGAATTGTCCTCCTGTAGATATTGAAACATGGATTGATATTGCAATTTCTCGTGGTGTGCGTGAACTTCAAATGATCCGACATTATCCTCCTTCAGGGACAATACCGTTTCCAGTTTCAGGTCCCATAACCTTACCTAGGATCATGTATACATGTGAAACCCTTGTGACTTTACACCTTAAAGTAGGTAAGATCATTGTGAATGATATTCCTTCAGCAATTTGTTTTCGGTCACTCAAGGTTTTGGTCCTGTGTTTTGTGAAATTCTCAAGCAATGTGCTCGTTGATAGGATTTTGTCCGGTTGCCCTGTCCTTGAAGAACTGAGTGTGGTTCGAGTCAGCAATGACAAGGTGAAAACGTTCACAATCGCGGTTCCTTCATTGAAGAAGTTGATAGCCATAGAGAGTGGCTATCAAGATCCCGGTGATGATGTTCAGTTTGTGATCAAAGCTCCTCGTTTAAAGTCGTTGTTTATTTACTCTCGCTGTAGTGGGTTGCGTTCACTAGTGAAAATGCCAGACCTCGTGAAGGCTGATATCAAGCTTAGACTTGGTGATTCTAACAACATTATGGGATGTCTTACCTCAACCAAACGGCTTTTCTTATGTCTACGACCACCAATGGTAAAGTCTATATATGTGTTGAGGTTTTTCTGGCTATATATTCTGGTTCTGATTAATTACATTTACTTATGATGTCACTTGCAGGATTCATGTTCATTAGGCGTCTTCAATCACCTCGTGTCTCTAACTCTTTGTACATGCTCTTTAGATTGGTGTTGTCTTATACTCAACCATACACCTAAACTCCGAGCTCTCGGATTCAGAATAAAACAACGAGCAAGGTTGCATGCTAAGATAAAGCCTCCACAAAAATGTTGCCGCAGTTCTCAAGATGTGCAAACTCAATATTGGGAGCAGCCGAGTTCTGTTCCTCAATGTTTGATTTCGAGTCTTGAAACTGTTGCCTGGATTGATTACAAAGGAACATCAGTAGAGAAAAAAGTGGTGATGTATTTGTTAAAGAACTCTGGAAAGCTAAAGAAATTGGCTATTAGATCCTTGAAATGGACCAGTGATAAAGAGAAATTCAAGATGCTCCAAGAGCTGTCGTCTACACGAAGGAGTTCTACTAAATGTCAGCTTACGTTCACCTGAAGTTACATCGGATTTCAAAGATATTAATAGTCTTTTTTATTCTAAAAGCATCATTACTACTTAATTATGTTGTTTTGATAACTTTCTAAGTTATGTCATCAAAGTGACAGGTTTGATTCACATTACTTCTCAAGTATCTATATTCTCTTGATCATGAGAAAGCAAACTTTTTCAAAACTGAGAAATGAATATGTTTTGTAAATGTTAGCTAGCTTATATACACCTTAGTTCTCGCAAATGCTGGCTTACATGCACCTGAATTACGGTCGGATCTCAGAGACTATTGGTAGACTTAGAAAATTGTAACAAATTTGAAAGGAAAGTATTATGATTATGAATCATGATAACGTTATCATCTTGTTTGGGGTACACATTTCTCCTCAAAATACTTGTCATTATGATCATGAATGATGAATGATGATAAATGTTATAACCTCTTCTTTCAGAATTTTGACCAATTTTGTGAAAAGGCTGATTAAAACATCTCTAATGATCACAATGTGGTCTTGAGAAGCTTCTGATATATGTAGCCTCCGCTAAACACCTTACTTTATGTTTAAAACCACAAATGGTAAAAACTCTGTTTGCTTCTATGGTTTAAGATTCCTTGTGTTTAGTTATCACATGCAGATTACAATCCTCCAGGCGACTTCAATCAGCTGGTGTCGCTAAAGTTATGTAAGAGATGCTTGCATACATATTGGTTGAATCATATATACTCAGGCATTCTCCTAATATGAGAACTCTTAGGTTCACACAAGTAATTTCTATCTGTACAAACCCAAATGTTGTTGCACTTCCATTATTTTACTGATGACGTACTAATTCCAACTGTTTTGTTCGTTTTTGTAAACTCTTTGATCTCAGAAGGCGATTCAAGAGATGTCCAGATCAAATGGGAGCAACGGAGTTTTAGTTCCTAAATGTTTGAAACTGTTGAGTGAATCGGGTACAGAGGAACAGAAGCAGAGAAAGAAGTTGCTATCTATAAACAATATGACTTTTAAAATTAAATCCACACTTTTCTCTATGTTGGAGTTTGAGTCAAAGCCAAGGAGTTCTAGCAAATGTCTCATTTCGTTCATTTGAGTTTCTCTGGCATCTCAGAGAGCTAAGATTTGAGCTGCCTTGACATTTTATGTTTTGACTTGATTTGAACTTTTATTTTTCCTTTCACCTCTCTAAAGTTACCAAACTTATATATTTTTTTCTAATCAGTGACTTGTCTCAATTTTTTTGTGGTATTTAGTTGAACAATTTTCCTATTTATTATCTACCTTCTGAAAAATATTTAAAATTCTATTAGAGCGTGGGCAATGCCGTATACAAGCCTCGTCCCTTCCTTTTTTAGTTTAAAATTAGATGAATAATCCAATTATTGTGTGTATACGTACTCAAAAACGGGACGGTCCCGTTTATTGTTGTCCACTTTTCGCGGGCCCCACTGACACGTGGCGGCCCGCGATTGGTCAGTTCTTTTTTTTTTTGTATAATCATAAAAAACCATATAGATTATTAGCTCAATAAAAAGCTCGAGATCCATGCTTGGAACTTGCTTCTCGTGAGATGAACATAATCAAATCTGAAATCTCCATATAAAATAAACTATCAAAAATATCATAAATTAATAATCAATATATACAGTATATACAATATGAGTAAATATATACGTATATATATAAGTAAATATATTATGTATGCTTTTATTTTTTTTGTAAAACTGATTTTTTCCTTATTTCTATAAAATAAATTATGTTATATTTTAAAACTATAATATTGTAATATACTCCATAACTTATCATAGAAAAAGCAAAAATATCTTTATGTTTTTAATTTCTAAATATGCATCGTATTTTTTTTTTAGTTTTATAAGATGTTAAAATATAACGATTGAGATTATTAATTAATCACAAATTTTGAATTTATGTATATTATCTGTATAAATTTAATATTTTTAATTTATTGTCTATATTGAATTTCTAAATATAAAATTTATAATGCGGTCCAATATTATTAGTTTAAAGATGTTTTATTGTAGCTAAATAAAAACTGCATGATTAGTTTCGATCCAAACAGAAGAGCGTTTTTGGTTCTTGCAGCAGTACCAGCGAAATAACAAAGGTTAGTCCCTAGCAGCTTTTTATTTTTTTTTATCTCTAGGGGAAAATAACATTAAAACGAAATCTATATATGATTAGGGTTCTTTGGTTATTCTTCTTCTGATTTCAAGTATTTGTGCTTTCGAGACTCTCCTAGTTTATCTCCGTCTTTCAAATTCCGATAGAAGAACCAAAGTTTGTTTTCGACATGGGAAATATAAGTGATCTGTCTAACGATTTGCTGGTGAAGATTTTGTCACTCCTTCCAACAAATGTTGCTGTGTCTACATGTCTTTTGTCCAAACGATGGGGTCCTGTTTGGAAATTGATTCCGAAGCTTGACTATGACGACTCATGTAGTGCTGCTGCACCCTTAGGGTTTATCGAGAATTTTTTGCAGCTAAACAATGCTCCGTTTCTGGAGTCTTTTCATCTCAAACTTCATCCCAAAATTACGGGAGATTATGCACCTGAAGATTATGAAAAATGGGTTAAAGCTGCGGTTGCTCACAATGTGCGTGATCTTGAGCTTCTTCGTTTCTTTATACGTTTCGTTCCATTACCTAGGAGCTTGTACACACTAGAAACCCTTGTGGTTTTACGCCTCAAGAAAGTGAGCATTGAAGATGTTCCTTCGACAACTTGTTTCCGGTCCCTCAAGACTCTGTCTCTTCAACATGTTTGGTTCTCCAGCGAAGAAACAATTACTAGGCTTTTTTCTTGTTGCCCTATTCTTGAAACATTGGTGGTGCACCCATGGGGCGGGGACGAAGTGAAAACTTTCGCAATTTGTGTGCCATGGTTGAAGAGCTTAACCATCAGCGACATGGTTTCGGGTTATCACGATCCAATAAATGATAATGGATTTGTGATCAATGCTCCTTCTTTAAAGTACCTACATATTGTGGATCATTTTAGTGGGTTTTATTCATTAGTGAATATGCCCGAGCTATTCAAAGCAGATATCCACATTAGACATTGTGATTCTGAGAAGCTTTTGGGATGTCTTACCTCATCTAGAAACCTTTCCTTATGTTTAAAACCACAAGAGGTAAAGTCTCTATGTTTCTCATGTGATTAGGATTCTATAGAGTTAATATTTAGATTCTTCCAATTATGCTGTCACTTTTGTAGGGTGCATATCCTCATGGAGACTTCGACCAGCTCGTGTCTCTAGACCTATGTGCTCTGTGCTCCTTAGATTGGTTGAATCTTATCCTCGAACGTTCACCAAAACTTCGAGCTCTCAGATTATACCAAACAGTAAGTTTTGATCCAACCCCATATGATGTTGCATGTTCAGTATATAGTCTTGGACCCTTGATGGTAACTAATCACAACTCGTTTTTCTTTTTGTTTAACTGTTTTATCTCAGAGAAACTGGAGCTGCAGGAATTCCAGAAGTGTCCGTACTAAGTGGGAGCAACCGATGGCGAGTTGTGTTCCTGAATGTTTACTTGTGAGTCTTGAAACTGTAAAATGGAATTGTTACAAAGGGACAGAAGAAGAGAAGTCTGTAGTGATGTATTTGTTAAAGAATGGAAACTCTTTAGCGACTATGAGTATTCAATTCTTGGGATCCATTACGTTGGAAAACAGAAACCAAATGCAGACGGAGTTAGAGTCCATGCCAAGGAGTTCTTCCAGATGTCAGCTTTCATTCACATTCACCTAAGTTTTGTGGCATCTCAAAGCCAAGATTAATCAAGCAGCATTAATATAAGTTAACGTCTGATTTTATTTGAACATGTTATTTTTTCCACCTCTCTAAGTTTCCAATCTTCTTTCTTCTGGTTGGTCTCAAAGCTTGTAGCTAGTTGTACTCCAAAGTATTGACTATGAACATTGAGAGCCAAGGTTTGAGCAGCATTAGAAATTACTGTTTGATATTTTTTGAACTCGTTTCTTCTCATATTATATTGTCAATCTTATCATGATGTGATCAGATTTTGATTATTGCATTTTAAGTTGGATGTAATCAATTGGGGTAAAAACTGATGTGTGGTTTTTTTTTTCCAACTATATATGCAATAGATTTTACAGAGCCAATTTTAAACGAGATCTACATAATTGAAATGGAGAAAAGAAAATGAGAAGAAGATGCAGAAAAATTTGAACCAATTAAACACAAATATGTACGTGAATATGATAAATTGATAATCAATAACATTTCTCGTTAATGAAAGAGAAGTCGAACTGTGTAATTAGTTTGTGTAAAAGCAAAGGAGCTTATTTAGGAGGGATACATGAGTAAACAAAAAGGTTTGGTTTCCTTTTACACTTTATTTATTTTTTCTCATATTTTTCTAGCTAAACATTACTTGATTAAAAAAAAATTTCCCCTTAACTCCTTAGAAACTACAATCCAAGTGATTAATATTTAGATATATTTTTTGGTTCATTTTATATTTACATAGAAATTATATAGAAAAACAATATATATATATATATATATATATATATATATTGATTTAGCTATTTCTGTAATTTCTATAAATTTTAAATAACATAGCAATTGATGTCTAGGAGATATGATTAAAAATTCATATCTTCTATTTCATTACAGATTTATGAAATTACTAACAAATATTAGATTTTAAAATAATGACCTTTAATTCTTTCCACATTCCAAGATAATATCATTTTTATAAAGTTATTATTAAGATTTATAATAATCATGATAAAGTTAAATATGCGCAATAATTTAGAAAACAGAGGAACATACAAAAAAAAAAAACAGAATAACTTACAACAGAGGAACAACAAAAGGTCAGGCCTTTCTCTACGAACTTTTTGGTGAGACTTCTTTGTATCTTCTTTTGCTAAGTCTGTGTCTATTTCTTGGTGCATATAATCCTAGATTCGCCTAGGTTTGTCTGGTTCCACAGTGATTTGTAATAAAATGTTCTCTTGTTTATGAGTGTATTCCAGAAACAACCAAAGGAGCTTTCAAGGATTGTTTAAGATGGGCCATATCAATGAGTTGCCTGACGATCTACTCCTGAAAATATTGTCATTGATTCCGACAAAAGAGGTTGTGGCCACAAGCCTTTTGTCGAAACGATGGGAGTCTCTCTGGACGAATGTTAGGAGACTAGAGTATGATCAAGAATACCACTATGATAAGAGAACTGGATTCTCAAGATTTGTTGACAAGTCTCTGCTTTCTTATCAGTCTCCGATTCTTGAAAGCCTGAAATTCAAGTTCAAGTCAAGGTATGGTTATGGAGACATTGGACTGTGGATGAGAACTGCAGTCAATCGTCACATACGTGAGCTCACACTCGAATGTGGCGATGTCTTGATCAAGTTACCGCTGAGATTGTTTACCTGCAAAACACTTATGGTCTTAAAACTCAATGGTTGGATCGATCTGAACATTCCTTTGACGGCCTCTCTCCCTTCCCTTAAGACTCTTCATCTTGTCCTCCTGAGGAAATCAAATTATGAATCTTTTTCTAGGCTTTTGTCAAAATGCCCTGTCCTTACTGACCTCATGGTTGAACAAAGAAAAAGTAATGCTATGTCGATGCTTAATATCGCGGTTCCTTCGTTGCAGCGATTGTCCATTAGAACAGTAATTGATAGTGACAAAGAGTTAGGGTATTTCAATTATGATAAGGATATTCCAAAGGTTGTGATCAATGTTCCTTCTTTGAAGTACTTAACCATTGACGACCGGGGGAACGATTTTGATGTCATTGAGAACTTGTCTCAAGTTGTGGAGGCAAGGATCAAAGCTAATGAAACGTCTACCAAAGTTTTCCTAAGGTGTATTAGCAGCTCGGTGAAGCGTCTTTCGATATCTTCATTGAAGTCAAAGGTAATATATAGCTCAGTCGCATTAAGCTATCGGTTATTTAAGTCATCAAAAGTTTAGAGAATTTGTTTTTCTTCTTTTTTTTCTTTATTGTAGGATGTGTATTCTACTGGTAGTTTCTTCTGTCAACTTGAACACTTGGAGCTATACACTGATTCCGCAAACGGATGGTTGAAGTTACTTGCACACATACTAGAAAGTTCCATTAATCTACGTGTTCTCAAGCTCTTCAATGTAATGCAGCTTCCCCCACTTTGGACTGAGGCCTCTTTCCTTTCTATGTTATTTTAGTTTTGGTGCTCAGTGATCTGACTTATATAACGTTTTCTCTGGTCTTAGAAACATTCTAACTGGCGGATGCATCCCTTGGATCGCTGGGACATGTCAAGCAGTACTGTTCCAGAATGTATTGTTTCCAGTCTTGAAGTTCTACAGTGGAGAGGGTACTTAGAGAGAGAAATAGATAAGGAGGTTATGAGTTATCTCCTGAAGCATTCCCTATGTTTGAAGACGGTGATGATCACCCCTAATAGACCCGATGATGTGGAAGAAATAAATCAGATAGCCGAGCTCTTTGCTTCATTTCCAATAGGATCAAAGACATGCAAATTTGGGTTTAACTTGGATACTTGAAGTTGGTGTTTGGAAATAATATGTTGGATTTGGACTCTCGAACTTAAGTAGATTACTTTATAATGCAATATGCGTTTTAGTGGTCCTCTAAACTTATTATGATACTGTAATTTTTCTTAAATTGACTCGAAAAGAGTCAATCCAATAAGCATAGATATAGCTAAAACAGAGGGAGATGCCTTATTTACCTTGCTAAACAAGTCATCTCACAAATCTGTTGTGACTCATTTCCCCTCGAAATAACTAATCTTTGTGATATCCAAATTTAGATCCCGAACAAATGTTTTGTATCTACTAGGATTGACGATCTCTGCCATGTTAAGCGTTCGTCTAAAAGGGGGATAATAGACAGTTCAACGATGTCGAGGGCATTGCTCACAGAGTCACAGTCAAAGAATAGGTTAACTGGTCTGTGCAAAGATCTTGGGAGATATTAGATGTCATAGTTTTCGGCAGCAAGATAGAGAGCTCGAGTGTGGTTGTTGGTAGTTCTGAGGATCCCGCTGTTTAAGAACTCGAGTTGTATATGAGTATATCATTGTAACACACTCTTCTGGCAGCAGAAGCTAATTAATACTACTGTTGTAAACATACGTTTAAAATAAGACCAAAGAGTGACTTTATATCTTTAACCATTCGTTTATTTAACACACATTCAGATTTAAATCCCGAAAAAAGGAAAAATGAACAACCCTAAATATTATGTTCCCAAAACAATCAAACAATAAATAAAGCATAGCAGAGGCTGGATGATCGAACCTTTTTCACAGATTAGTACACAAAGCTATAGCTTGATATTTTAGGAAATAAAGAGCCATAAAATCGCGAATATTTTAGCGTGATATTTTTTTTTTGCTTCCTTTCTACAATTTTAGCAATAATAATATCTTGGACATATCACATATATATAGCTGTAAAAATGTTTAAAGGTGCAGTGGAATCTTCCATACTTATCTGTATAATCTAAAGACGATCCAAAGATCTCAAGCTTAAGTTGATCCTGTTTCTCTACTGTCTAAGGCTAACACACATATGTAATGCATCTAAGTTACATTTGTGTCCAATACAAATGAAAAACTTAGATGTAAGTAAAGTACCAGCCTGAGTCTACTCCTGAATGTTTTATCATCCCATCTCGAGATTTTGGAGTGGAGACAGTACACAGCCAAAGAAACAAGTCGTAAAGTACATCATATCTTCAAAGACCTCGAGCTGGGATGACAAGCATTCTGGGATAGAACTCGGTTGCTTCCACGAAAATCGTTGATAATAATACTTCTGGATCCAAGTACATCAAATTCAAGAAATGCAAAAAATTTTATAAAAAAAATAAAATAATAATAACAGCTTTCGTATATGCATGGAGAGTTACTTACAGAATGGATATGGAGAAACCGTAGTTTGGGAGAGTTATTGAGAACTAGTAGAAGTAGACTGGACCAGCCTTTAGAAGTTGTACGCATCTTGAAACGTTGAAGCTGAGGGAAAATAATGCCACTGAAATTCACATCCTGCAATGACTGAAAACTAGCATATATAAAGACAGTGTGATCACAGTAACGACCAAGAGAGAGAGAGAGATTAAAATTGGTACCACGGCAACTTTTAAACATAAAGTGAGAGACGTGACCAAGGAAAGTGAGCTGCGAAACTTTTGATAATCGTGACAAAGAACTTTAATACAAGGACTTCGCACTTTTTTGATCGAGAAAGAGTCTTTCCAGTTATCAGCGATGCTGAGGCGAATGGTTGACCGAGCAAGATCAGAGCAACTAGATAAAAGCCTAACAAGAGAATCTTCATCTTTGTACTCGACCAAAACGAGCAACAGCTTTTTGAGAGACGGGAGATAAGCTGAGGAAGGAACATCCACAAGAATATCGTTAGCGAGAGTCAATTCCACAAGCGTTTCGCAAGTGTAAAGACTCTCAGGCAGCTTGCTAAGAGTTTTGGATTTATGTAACTTGAGCTCCAGTACGCGCATACAAGGAAGTTGCACTTTCTTGGTCGAAAACGTGTCTTTCAAGTTATTACCCATGCTGAGGGGAATGGTCGATGGAGCAAGATTGGAGCAACTCGATAGAAGCCTAAAAACAGAATCTTGGTTTCTGAACCTCACCGAAACAACTAACAGCTTTTTGAGAGATGGGAGATAAGCCGAGGAAGGAACATCCACTAAAATACGGTTAGAGAGAGTCAATTCCACAAGTGTTCTGCAGGTGTAAAGACTCTGAGGCAACTTGGTAAGCCTTTTAGAGCTAAGTAGATTGAGCTCCAGTACGCGCACATGGCGATCAACTGATTTTTTAATCCACATGCTGGTATCAAGCTCTCGATTATCGAGATGGATACGGAAGGTTTCTAAAACAGGTTCCTTGTTAAGTTCCATTGACTTGTCGATAAATCTACAAACATCTTCGATGTTATCACTGTATTTAATAGTGTACTCGAGTTTAGGCACCATTGTCCAGACATAACGCCATCGTTTTGACAAAAGCATGGTGGCCACTGCCTTTCGGTCGAGACATGCGACAAAATCTGGAACAGCATATCATCAGGCAACGCACTGATCTTGTCGCTAGAAGACACATCTTCTTGAGCTCGTCTACGACGTTTGGCTCTTAGTGATGATGACATATAGACCTAAAACTTCGTAACCAAGATAAAGAAATAAACGAACAGATGCAGTCAGACGTGGAGTAGGACAAAAACTAGAAACTTAACAATGAATTATTTTATGATTATATATGACGCAACCTAGAACCAATTATAGCCCTTTCCCATTTTTAATAAACCGAAAATGGTCGAATATACTTAAACCACACAATTATAATTATTTAAAATATATTTATTATTGTTTGTTTAACACAGCGGTCTACTTAAGCTACCGTATTTTATAAAATTTAGTGTTAACACTAAAATCTCGAATATGCGTCTTCATTCAGTAAGGAAAATCGAACACAATTAAAATACTAGAATTCGACCCAAAAAAAAATTAATCATGCAACATTTTCAAAAAATGAAAAAATAAAAACAAAATCAGCACTTTTCCCCGGCGTTGTAGCGCGGGTCAGAACCTAGTAAACTAATAAAAGTATAAACCTGGAAAACGAAACCGGTTTGTCGGTTTAATCTTACTATGAATCACCTAATCTCTTTTGCTCAATTTATTTTACAAAATATGGGTTGCTCAATTATGGATCGCTTCTTAGTACATTTGCACTAAAACTGAAAAAACAAGAAACATTTGACCCAAATTCATACTAAAATCTAATTTTGAAACAAATTTTAATTATTCTACATTTTTAAATTCTACTTTTTCTTTTGGAATAATTTTTTGGTTTGATTAAAAATCGTTCCAAAATCAAACCGGCCTTTAACCGAACCAACATCATGTAAATTAATCGGATTCGCTTTTTCTTAATTTGACTATGGCTCTTCACATCTTCTCGCACAACTTGAGATAGCGAAACCCCAATTCGTCACGGAAAGCAACAACTTGGCTACAAAATCGTAAGCTTCTGCTAGTTCATTAACGTTTCTTTTCATGTGCTTTTGAATCAATCGGTGTGTCTTCTCGTGGAATTTTCCAAATTCGATGGATTTTTAAGTATCTGGGTAGGTGAATTGATTTCAAACCCAAATACGAAAGAAGCAGTTTCGTTGTCATTCTGAATCAAATCAATTCCAAAACTCGTTCCTTTCTCTGCCGCTGAACTTGTCGTAGGGTTACTTTTGTGGGTTTCCATCTTCTCGCGGATCCAATGTTTGTTTATGGTTTATGTTCTTTGATAAAAATGAAGATACCCAGAAGTTGAAGTTGAAGTCGTATGCTCTTTTATATTGCAGGAATCAGAGAAATTTTTGGCGAATCTAAATGGGTAGTTGTAGGGATAGGCTAAGTCAGTTACCAGATGATTTCCTCTTACAGATATTGTCATGGCTTCCAACAAAAGATGTTTTGGTGACGAGTCTTTTGTCGAAACGATGGCGGTTTCTCTGGACGTTAGTTCCTAGGCTCAACTATGATCTCAGGCTTCATGATAATACATATCCAAGGTTTTCACAGTTTGTTGATAGATCTTTGTTGCTACACAAGGCTAAGGCTTTGGAGGGTTTGAATATCAGGATTGGTTCTAGATGTAATACCGCAGAGAACGATGTTGGGGTATGGGTTAGAACTGCTGTAGACCGCTTCGTGCGTGAGCTTAATATCAGTTATTGTTCTGGTGAAGAGCCTATTAGATTGCCTAGGTGCTTGTTTACTTGTACAACGCTTGCTGTCCTGAAACTCGAAAACTTAAGTCTTGTTGATGTCTCTTGCTATGCTTGCTTCCAATCCGTCAAGACTTTGCACCTCCTAGATGTGAAGTACGTAGATGACCAGTCACTTCCACGGATTATATCCACCTGTTCTAGTCTTGAAGATTTGGTTGTGCAGAGATGCCCTGGTGACAATGTTAAAGTCGTCACTGTTACTGCTCCGTGTTTAAAAACTCTGTCCTTGAATAAATCGTCACAAGCTTTTGAAGGAGACGACGATGGGTTCTTGGTAGATGCCCCTAAATTGAAGCGCCTAGACATTGAAGACTATTGGGGTGGCTTTTGTTACATAGAGAACATGCCTGAGGTGGTCGAGGCGAATGTTGATGTTATTTATAAAAATACCGAGAAACTTTTGGGATCTCTCACTTCAGTCAAGCGTCTTAAACTATGTCTGATCACTTCAGATGTAATTACTCTTTCTATTACCTGAACAGTAGAAGTCGGTCTCCTGTAATTTGATTTATTTACATAATGTTCTTTAAATGCAGGCTGCTTATCCCGCTGGTACTGTCTTCTCTCACCTTGTTCATCTAGAACTATGCACATGTGCGCCACGATGGTGGGATTTACTTACCAGACTGATTGAAGATTCGCCTAAACTACGAGTTCTTAAACTCCGCCAGGTATGTTAACACAACCCAGTCTCTGTTATTCCTTAAGTTTCTTGTTTGGTTTCAGTTTTTTGATTGCACATATCATTGAAGTTCTTATAGCTCTTTCCCCAATCTTGATCCCAGAAACATATTCGACGTGCCCCTAGTCCCCGGGCTAGTTGGAAGCAACCTGTTTCTCTTCCCAAGTGTTTGTTATTTCATCTTGAGACCTTCAAGTGGGAACTATACGAAGGATCACAAAAGCAGAAAGAAGTAGCTACATTTATCTTAAAACACGCTATTCGATTGAAGACAGCTATTATCTCTCCAAAACCCTCCAGTACTCTGCTAGAGAAACATGAGATGCTCAAGGAGTTGTCATCCTCGCCGCGTGGTTCCAGTACATGCGAGCTCTTATTCGACTGAAGAAAAGAAGGAAGAAGAAATTAACTTAGCTTGTCCTGAAAAATATGTTATTACATCTCTAGTAAACATCTTGTGATTGTTGTCTCTATTGATGTAAGAGTTAGAACCTCATCTGCATTTGGTTCTTATTTTAATATAGAAGAAGAGCATATATTAAAAAAAACTTTATCATCTACATAAAAAGCTTCAGACCTGCTTCAAAGCCTAACTAAGAAGATTACAAAACCATCTTCTTTTTATCGATCTGCTAAATGAATATAGATCCACTATCAGCATTGCTTTGTAAGAACAAGCTTGTTTCTGGTCCACTTCTGCGGGTTTGGATTACATTCTCATCCGTTTGGGTTTCCAAAGAAATTGACTAGTATTCCTCAATGTTTGTTCTCAAGAGTCTCAAAACTTTCAAATGGTCAGGTTACCTCTCTATAGAAGGGAAAGATCGGTGACATATATCTTTAGAATATTCTTGCAACTGCAACAATATAGTTCGGGCCATGGCTGGATCCACAAAAGAAGCTTGAGATGGAGACCGAGGTAAAATTAATCTTTGTTCCCGTGGTTCACCCACATTTGACCTCGTATTCGATGAGCATTGGCGGTTTGATTTGAAAGACATCTTTGGATTTGATCTTTTAAATAAAGATTTTGTTGCATTTGATTAAGATGATTTTCTATAGCTAGCTGTCTAACAAGTGTTAGACTACAAAAGACATGTTTAATTAAACTATATGTGGAAGTTGCTTTTGCAATGAAAATTGCATCTGTCTATAGGTTTATTTTTCATTGCGAGTTTCGAATGAAGTCTGTTTTGGGATATATTTTCTCTTTTTGCGCTTAAAGATTTTCAGAGACCAACAAACCTTAACTACACCGTTGTGTTAGATTCACAATGTTTTTGGTTAGGACTTAGGTGCGTCAATTTGGGTCAACTTTGGTTAGGACTGGATTATGTTAGATTCAAAAAAATTTAGCTGTTCAAAGTAAGCATAATCAAGTCTCGTTGCATAATTACATAGAAAACTCAATGATTATGTTTTTTTTCTTCACTCATTGACTCTTCCGCAATCACTCGCAGAAACACAGACATGCTATTGCGTTCGAATGCAATAACGTTTTGTACCACTTCCGCTCTGTAAAGAAGTAGTTCCTTTTTAATTATGGATATATAAATGTTTATATTTATATTGACAATATTGACTTTACATAAATTGCACATTGAATCAAATCATTTACTATGATTGATCTTTTGATATGAAACAGTGTACGTCTCAATACCCATATCCTTCTTCTTTTTTTTACTTCCGTTGCTATAGGGTTTTTGACAAGTTGAAGATTTTCTGTGGTTTTGGTCCATTCCTCAGGTTTTATTAATCTCTGCTTTTGGTTGTTACTATTCTTCGGTGTGGGTAAAACAAAAACTCAAGTCTCTTTTTTTTTTTTAATATATCATGGACAAGATAAGTGGGTTTTCTGATGATGAATTGCTTGTTAAGATCTTATCTTTTCTTCCAACAAAAGTTGCGGTAAGCACTAGTATTTTGTCCAAGCAATGGAAGTTTCTTTGGATGCGGGTGCCAAAACTTGAGTACGATGACGTTAGCATTTATACGAAACGAATTAAGACTCAACGTATGCTCTCCAAAGACGGTAACAGTATTAACGAATCTTTACTTATGTCGGAAGAAAGCCAGAGGATGCAGAGTTTTATCAACAAGAATCTGCCATTACATAGCTCTCCGGTCATAGAGAGCTTGTGTCTCAGATTTTCTACTGCGCCATTTCAACCTCAAGATGTCAAATGGTGGGTTGAGATTGCAGTTTCTCGTTCTCTTCAGGAGCTAAACCTCAATTATTTAGTTCCTTGTAATGCATTGCTGCCGAGTAGCTTGTATACTTGCAAATCACTTGTGACATTGAAACTAAAAGGCCGCGTTCTTGTGGATGTTCCTCAAGTTTTTGGCGGGCCTCCCCTCTTTGAAAACATTGCACCTTGAACGTGTGGTATACGCAGATGAAGAATCTCTTCAACGGCTTTTATCTAATTGCTCTGTTTTGGAAGATCTGGTTTTGAAACGATGTGCATATCAGAATGTGAAAAAGGTTGTTGTTATCATCCCGTCACTGCTTAGTTTATCCTTGGAGATATCAAAATTTGCTCCTGAAGCGTATGTGATAGATACTCCTTCTTTGAAGTATTTCAAAGCTACACATAGAGATACTCCCTCATGTTTGATAGTGAATATGCCTAAGCTGGAGGAGGTAGAGATCACTACTGGTCTTTCGTCAGGTATCAAGAACCTTCTTGAACATGTCATATCTGCCAAACGTCTTTCATTGTGCATAATAGACCAAAGTGCAGAGGTAATTGAATCCGTTGATAATCTTAAGTCTTTATTCTCATTATATCACTTTAGAATATTTAACCATCCTTTTTACAGGCTGTATATGGTGATGGTATTGTCTTTAAGGAGCTTGAACATCTGAAGTTTTGCATAGTTAACGCATATCGTTGGTCCAAGTTACTACTCTGGTTACTCAAAGCTTCTCCTAAGCTACGTGACTTGGAGTTCGATGTAAGTTTCTTCCAAAAGACTATTCATTTTGGTCAAATTCACTGTATCGTGCCCTTTCATCTAATTCCTATTGTTTTTTCTAATCTAAGGATAACTTTTCACGTGAACGTATGGATAACCTGGTTTGCTGAAAACAACTGACTAATGTTCCTCAATGTTTGTTGTCGAGTCTCCAAACTTTCAAGTGGTCAGGTGATCATGCCTCTGTAGAAGGGAAATATATTGCTACACATATCTTGAGAATTTCTTGCCAGTTAAAGACTGCAACAATCTCGATTGGGCAAGGATTGGATCCACAAAAGAAGCTTGAGATGGAGCTGGAGGTGAAAGATTGTTTCCGTGCTTCACCCTCATGCAACCTCGTATTTGAGTTTGATGATTCAAATTTTGAAAGAGATATCTATCTTCTTGCATATGACATCTTTTGTTGCATTTGAACTAGATGATTTTATAGCGGTTCTTCGATTAACTTTTCCAAAGAAACTTCCTCCATTTCTGTCACATGGCTTTCTTTATACATATTATGGAACTGTAATGAAGAGGTAATCATTTTCCATTTATCATCTTAATAAGTTTATAATCGCATTATAAAATTTAGTAGACGACGATATCTATTATGTTGTCACATGTGCAGTCTGTGTATCATGCTGGTCTTGTCTTCAGTTAGATTGAGCTATGGATAGACTACTATTATCGGTTGAAGATATGCTTTTACGGTTGTTCAAAGATTTCCTGAAACTGTGAATCCTCAATCTCTACGTCGATGCAAGTTTATTCGTTGACTCCTTTATTTGGTCTAAAATCATTGTATGGTACTAGTATTTATGGTGTAGCCTTAACAGTTTAATAATCACAATTACAAAGATTATAGTTTTTCTATGTTTTCCAAGAATATACGACGACGAATCAATACATATATTATCAAGTTCGAAACTAAAGTGATATTAAAAAAAAAAAAAAAATCGGAAGGCAAGCATTAATTTGCATTTGTTCATTGTTTTTTTCTCATATCCATAGAACTAGAGTTTGCTGCCACAAAAATAAAATAAATTAGAGTTTGACCACTTTTCTGACCTTATTCAAAAACGAAAAATATATAAAATACTCAAAAGATTATGTATTGGCACTTTATTTGTTTTCTTACGATTGAATTATTATCGATCGCTTCACAAAGTTAATTTTTCTATTTTTATTTAGCTTGTAAAATGGAAATATTAACAAATTAATTTATATAATTAGCACGAAACCTATTCCCTTTATTCTAAAAACTTATCATCCCCCAACCTTTAGATAATTGGAAATTTCTAGGGTCTTGTTCTCTTCTATATATTCCTCGGCTCTTCCTTGTATTTGTCTTGATCAGTCATTAAAAAAAAAAAAAAAAAAAAAACTCAAGTCTCTTCGCTTCTAAGGCCCTTGGTGTTGTCGCCGGTAGAATATTTTTGTGGTTATTGGAAGAGATGGACAAGATCACTGGGGTTTCCGAAGATGTATTGCTAGTGAAGATTCTATCGTTTCTTCCAACGAAAGATGCTGTAAGCACAAGTGTTTTGTCCAAGCAATGGAAGTATCTTTGGAAGCGGATGGTAAACCTTGAGTACGATGACACTCTGATCAAAACTAAACCAACTATATACCATAAGAGGTTCCGGCGTTTTGTTAAAAGAAATTTACAAATAGATAGAGAATCTGACTTAGAAAGCTTGTCTCTCAAGTTTAGTACTATGCCTTTTCAAACAGAGGATATCGAATCGTGGGTTCGATTCGCAGTTTCTCGCGGCGTACGTCACGTGAGTATTGCCTATTCTGCTGTTAAGAAGTGGCATACATTGCCGATGCCGTTTCACTTGTGTACTTGCAAAACGCTAGTTTCCTTGAAACTAGAAGCGGATATTTCAATATTTCATTATGTGGTTTGTCTTCCCTCTCTCAAAACTTTGCAACTTCAAAGTGTGAATATAGGGCAAGGTAGTCTTCAACGACTTCTATCTAGTTGCCCTGTTCTTGAGAATCTGACTTTGAGATTTATTCATCAAAAATGTTACGGCTGCAATGAAAAGAATGGTGTTATCGTCCCGTCTCTCCTGAGTTTATCCCTTGAGATAATAAATGATGTCACTGATCATCGATATGAGACACGTGGTCATTATGATGGATATGTGATAGATACTCCTTCTTTGAGGTACTTAAAATTTAATGATCGTTATAATCGTGCCTCTTCTTACCTTGAAAACATGCCTAAACTGGAGGAAGCATATATCGATACTGTATCCCCTAGCACCAGGAAGTTACTCGAACCAATCGCATCCGTCAAGCGTCTTTCATTATGCTTAACAGTCAGTGCACAGGTCACGAATCTTTTACCATCTTCAACAGATATCTAGAGCTCATTTAATTTACTAATTCTTGGTTTTTTTTTTGTTTTTTTATCATATAAGCAGGATGTGTATTCGGGTGGAATTGTCTTTCATCAGCTTGAACATCTTAAGCTATGTACATGCAATACATATTGGTCAACTTTACTTATCCATTTGCTCGAAGATTCTCCTAAACTACGAGTCCTCGAGCTCTATGTCCGTGTGAGTTTACTTAAATCATCAACTATCTTCTATTTTGGTATTAATTCACTCTATGTTTTAGCCTAACTCTTCTTTTTTTTTTTTAATCTCAGGATCATGTACCTATCAGTATGGCTCCAAAGGTTTACTGGAAGGATCAAGTGAGTTGTGTTCCTCAATGTTTTGCGAAGAGCCTCGAAATTTTCAAGTGGACAGGATACGAAGGAAGACAAGAAGAAATAGATGTGGCGGCATATATCTTGAACAATGCTCATTGCTTAAAGACTGCGACAATCTTGGCTGATGAGTTAATAATTGATCCTCATACATATAGGAAACGAAAGATGATTAATGAGTTGCTAACTTCTTCCCTCGCTTCAGCCACATGCAAGCTCACGTTTACTAAATGTGATTAGATGAATGACTCATTTGAAGAATTTGATATGGAATTTGCATCTACTCTCGATTGTTTAATCTCTCATTTGATATTTTACTTTTCATTGTCAAACCTCAGATTCGTTTTATTTTTTCAATTAATACAATTTTGTATTTATAGTTACTTTATTTATTATAAAAGTTTTAGTTACTAGTATTATTAAATAATAAATTATAATTATTAGATATGCGATCAACTATAAAATTATATTTTTTAGATATGCTATATAATAATCAAAAACACTGCTTAAATATTATTTATTGAATTCGAAATTAAAAGAGCTAGATTAATTAAGAAACCATTAGATATATGCTAGCTATAAAAATATAAGTATGTGATATGCTATTTAAAAACTTTTCAGTTTACTTTCTCAATAAAAGGTAAATTAAAACTGAAAATAAGATGTGCTAAGTTTTTAGGGGAATTCTCTTTAATACCACTAAAATAAGTATTTTCCAAAAATACTATTATGAAGTTTATTTTCTAAAAATACCACAAATTTATTTTTTCCCCCAAAAATACCACAAAATTATAAATTTTCAACATTCAAAACTAATTTATAAAGCCTAAACACCACGCCCTACCCCTAAAAACTATACTTCTACATCTTCAAAAAATCAATTTTTTTATGTTTATGGTATTTTTGGAAGTATAAAACTTTTATAGTTTTTTGGAAAAAAACAAATGGTGGTATTTTGAAAAAAAAAAAACTTAAAACATGCTATCCAAAGGTCTCAAGTTTTTATCGGTTTGGTTTATATATAATTTTTAATGTTAATTAGCCCCAAAAAAAAAAGTAGCAAAAACTTGATATATGTGAAAAAATATATTACTGATTATTATATTTTAATGTATCTCTTCTGAAATTTCGTCTAGTATATAATAATTTTCACAATGCGTTAGCCGTCAAAAGCACATATATAAAGATCAACTTGCGTTATCAACAAAGAACGACAACAAAGAAGATTAGGGTTTATATATCTGCGACGATGCAAAAGGTGAGTGCCAAACCTTTTGAAAAAGAACAATCAACGAAAGGTGAAATCCCTTTCTTTGATCATCCGATGATTTTGTTTCCCCCTTTAACCATCGCCAATCTTATATTACAGCTTTTGCTAAGGTTTTTTTTTTAGTTTTCGTCTCCCTTTTTTACATTTATCAGCTTTGCTAATCCATGTCTTTGATGTTCCAATGAATTAAAATTCCGATTCATAATTCAATCGCAAATCTTGGTTTTCTAATTTCGATTTTTTTCTTTCCTTTTTTCCTAGGTAAAATTCAGCTGAAAAAATCAGCAAAAATCTTGAATTATCAGATGGATCATTATGTCAACATCAGTGATCTTCCTGAAGATCTGCTCCTAAACATATTGTCTTTACTTCCAACAAAAGATATTGTTGCCACAAGTGGTGTATCGAAACGATGGAGATATCTCTGGAAGAAGGTACATAAACTCAGGTTCAATGATCAAATCTACGAAGGTAAAAAGTACGAGACCTTCCTTCACTTTGTTGAGAAAGCTTTGTTATTACATAAGGCTCTTCTAGCAAGCCTCACATTCAGAGTTGGTCCAAAGTGTACCGCTGATGATATTGGATTGTGGATTAGACTGGCCCTGGATCGAAATATCAGCGAGCTAATTATCAAACGTTATCGGGATCATGGACACATCACGTTATCTAGGAGACTATGCAACAGCACAAGCCTTGTTTCCTTAAAACTCAAGAATGCTATTCTCGAGACTATTTCTCTCCCAGCATGTTTCAGTTCACTCAAAACGCTTCACCTTGTATATGTGAAGTATTCAGGGGATGAATATGTTCGTAGTCTGTTATCAAGCTGCCCTTCACTTCAAAATCTTGTCGTGAAACGACACAATGAAGACAATGTCAAGAGATTCATTATTATAGTGCGATACTTACAGAGTTTGACGATGTACTTATCCCCGCTACATTATGTGGCGGATTCAGATGTGTATTACATAAACACACCTAATTTGAAGTACTTGAACATTAAAGATCATTGCACTGAGCAATACTCTTTTGAAGATATGCCTTACCTTGAAGAGGCTTACCTCGACGTTGCCTTCACCCATTCTGAGAAGTTTTTTGAATCTCTTTCCTCTGTCAAGAAACTTTCGTTATGCTTAAAGAAATCAAATGTAATTTTAGTAGCTTAAGCCATATAATTTTGTTTAATTGATTATTTTTACATGTTCTTAGAAATGCCTATGTCATGTGCAGGATCAGTATCTTGAGGGTGTTATCTTCTCTCAGCTTGTTCATTTGGAGCTGTGTACATGTGATGATTCAAAGTGGTTGAATCTACTTGCGAAGTTGCTTCAAAATTCTCCTAAACTTCGAGTGCTCAAGCTTAACGATAAGGTAAATTCAATTTTACATTACTTGTTATCATTTTGGTTTGATGATCTAAAAACCGACCAAGTTTTCTGTCCTGTCTATATTTTTCAGCAGAACCATAACGTTGGCAAGTATTGCTCTTCTTCGTGGAACCAGGAACCTAGTTATGTTCCAGAATGTTTGACTAAAACTCTTGAAGTTTTCGAGTGGGGAAACTATAAAGCAACATTCAAAGAGAGAGATATTGCGGTGTATGTCTTGAAGAATAGTCTTTGCTTAAAGAGGTTGGTAATCTCCCCCAAATTAAACATTTCAGAAGGGATTATTTGTGATCATCAGATTATCAAAGAAGACTTAGCCTCTCTGTTCCTTGGCTCGAGTTCTTGTGAACTTAAATTCGTCTGAGAGTACTCAACATGTTTCTTTCATAAGTATGCTGTCTGGTTCCTTTGTTTTAATTTTAGTATGTAATTACTCTGCTTTCAACAGTTCTCTGTTTTGTTTCTTGAGATAATCATTAATCCATAGAGATTGAGAGTTAAAGTATGACGCAAAATTCTGGATCTTCAGTCCCTTTCTAGACTTTGTTGTGAATAAATTATTTCACATTTCTTTTTTTCAATTCAATTTATGGTTTTTTGGATTTTTTTTTTTTTTTTTGTATTTTCGTCTTCTCCAAGTATAATATATTATTAGGATCAAATCAATAATTATGTATTTTGGATCAAATTAATAAATAATATAATTATTTTGGATTAACTTTTTTTTTTCTTCTCCAAGTATAATTTAATTATTAGTCACAAATCAACTCTTTTTTTTTACTACCATATAATATTAGATTCTTGTCCCATTTTACAAAATTGAGTCCATGAATTATATATTTTTCCTCATATATATTATCTAATCATCCGATTGCCACACTAATTATTGAATTTATAGGTATAAGATAACACTTATCTTAACTATCATACATATTATGATAAAAGTCTCAAGATATTATATGAATAATTAGATGATAATTGATATTTTACTCTTCTAATCAAGAAAAAGAACGTCTACTCATAATATTGTATGCTCTTCATGCGTAATGGTCAAGCAATTTTACTTATAAAGAGGCAATTAATAAACCTAAGCCTAATCAAACATATATTATTTTTTCACTTTGTCTCTTAGGAAGTAAATGGAGAAACTCCAACCAAGTTCACCAGAAGCTGAAACTTGTTGTGGGTGGATTGAAGATAGGATCAGTGTATTACCAGATGATTTGATCGTTGAAATATTGTCGCTTATCCCGACCAAAGATGCAGTCACCACAATGGTTTTGTCAAAACGATGGCGATCTATTTGGACGATTGTCCCTAAAATAGTGTGCATGGAAAGACATCATGATGGATGCAAGAGCATTTCACGGTTTATTGACAAGACACTGGAGCTTCACAAGGCACCTATACTTGAAACTTTGTGTATCCAACTCGGTCCACAAAGTCCTGCCGATACAGAAATTGGAAAGTGGGTTGAAAACGCGGTTGGTCGTGGTCTGAAAGAGCTTGAAGTCGAGCTCCAATGGACCTCAGAGCCGACCAACTTTCCTAAGAGCCTTTACAACTGCAAAACGCTTGTGATATTGAAGCTTTCGGACAAGATTCTCGTGGATGTTCCTTCCTCGGTTTGCCTCCCATCTCTCAAAGTTTTGTCCCTTGTAAGTGTAACATATAAAGACGACGACTCCCTTGTTCGGCTTTTATCAAGCTGTCATGTTCTTAAATATATGTATGTGAAACGACATGAAAATGACAATGTGGCTAAGTTCGTTGTTGATGTTCCTTCTCTACAATTCTTCACATATGAGAATACCCCATTGACAGATGAAGGTGTAGGAGAACACGTTGGGTCCTTGTTCATAAATTCCCCAGCTCTAACGGATTTTAACATGCGTGATGTGTCGGGAGATACTTTCTTGGTCGACAACATGCCTCACCTAGATGTGATGCTTCTCCAAGTTTATTCTTACCTTGACAACAAGTTTCTGAGATCTATTTCCGCAGTCGCGTCTCTCACGTTCTTTTTAATTAAAGAAACGGTAATGATATATATATATATATATATATATATATATATATATATATATATTTGTTTGTTATTGTTATAATTATATTTTCTCGATCTACTTATATGTTTTGTTGTATTCATCGCAGGTTGCAAATAATATTAGCACCATTACTTTCTCCCGACTTATAGATTTGAAGCTATATATCTTTGAGTGGTTTGATTGGTTGAAACCAGTTATGCTTTTTCTCAGTAATTGTCCCAATCTTAAAGTTCTTAGGATTAGTTTTGTAAGTACCATCCTTACTCTTTCTCAAGTTTTGTAGATGCAATTTTGGTGGACTAACTAATAACTAAAGTAAATGTGTATGTATCACTAGTTTGCTTCTCAGGGACCGTCGTTAATGTGGAACCATCCGAACCAACCAAGTTCTGTTCCTGAATGCTTTTTGTCCCATCTCAAGATATTTGAATGTGTCGAATATAAAGACATAGAAGAAGAAAAAGAACTTGTGACGTACATCATAGTCAACTCAAAGTGTTTAGAGAGGGCGACGATCAGTGTGGCTACTACTCTTAGCCTTGAAGAGCAAGTGAAGGTGAAAACGGAGTTAGAATCGATGTTTAGAGTTTTAACACCTCATTTTCTGTTCGAGTGAAAACTTATCGTTGGAGTCTGCTGTATGCTAATTGATGTTTAAGATAAATTCTAACTTATGTAGTTATATATATGTACATGTATAAAGGCAATATACTGTATGTTGCTTTCATCAATCACACCTACATCAAAATCCAGTTAATAAAAAAAACAAACTTGTTCATAGTGTATTCCACCGTCCTAGTAGTCTAGTACATTTAAGAATTAAGACTATGCACATGTGAAACAGAGGGGTTGAATCTACTTACGTACTCAGATATTCTCCCAAACTTGACAATGTACATATATTTCAATTTTTCAACCCAAGTTCTTCACCTTCTTTGACATTATATTTTGTGTCCCATGCGCACAATATTTTTAACTTTATCTTTTTTATATAAATGGTTTGCTCTGTTGGTGATTAAACACCTTCTGCTCGGGGGAGAGGGTTCCATTTAGTTTGATGAAGTTTTGATATGATCTGTATGATCAAGGGATTTCAATTAAACAGGATTCTCTTTACACATCCAGAATTAAATTAAATAAAATGCATAATCGAATATTAGATAATGAATTTAATATTAAATTAGGACATAATGAAATTTATATATATATAAAGTTTAGCTTTTTTTTTGGTAATGTATATAACGTTTAGCTAAATTTCCCTATTTATATTTATAATTAATTTATGAATGGAGGAGTTAGTTTGGATATTGTTTGTTTTTAGGTTATTATCTCCTGAGATTCTTATATTATCCCTCATTCGTTTTTTTTTTTTTTTGTTGTTGTTGATGTTTTCATACCTTTATCTCTCCGGATGCTGAAAGCTCTTGAATTATGGACAGGTTAAGTTACTTGCATGATGAGGTTCTTTTGGATATATTGTCGTTTCTGCCTAGTGCTAAAGAGGTTGTGTCCACAATGGTTTTGTCAAAACGGTGGCGATTTCTTTGGAAGATGGTGCCAAGGCTTGTGTACGATGATAGCTATCAGACCACTGAGAAGGGAAATTTTTCGACCTTTGTAGACAGGTCTTTGGTGTTGCACAAGGCTCCAGTTCTAGAAACTTTGCATTTCAAACTCGGTAAAATCTCTGGTTCCGGATATACTCTGGTTAGTGCTGCAGATTATAAATCGTGTGTGCGCGAACTGGTTGTAGAGATTGATATTTCTCCTAGTAGTAGTCAGACTCCAGTGGTGGTTCCATGGAGCTTGTATAGTCGCATTTGTACAATGCTTGCGAGCTTGATACTACATAACGTGGTTCTGGTGGAATTTTCTGCCCCAGTTTCTTTTCCATCCCTAAAAGAGTTAGAGCTTAAATCCGTGAAGTACTCTGGTAATGAGTCTGTCAACAAGCTTATATCCAGTTGTCCTGTTCTTGAATACTTGGCTGTAGAACAATGTAAAGGGGACAATCTCACCACTTTGAGAGTTAGAGTGCCATCACTAAAGCGTTTATCCTTAATAGAACATGAAAACAATGTTGTTCATGAGTTTGTGATAGATGCTCCTTCTTTGGAACGCTTGAAGATTGTTGATTATTCTCTTGGGTCTCGTATCGTTGAGAGTAATATGAGCAGGATCATCACCGCAAGTATCGACTTGTGGTCTCCTCAAACAGAGCAGCTTTTGGATTCTCTAACTTCAGCCAAAAGTTTTTTTCTCTGCCTACCAAACTCAAAGGTAACATGTTGTTTACTACTCATTCACTTTATTTGATATGGTCACTAATTAGTGATGGAACTATCATGCAAGCACTGAAATTATGCAGGATGCGTATCCTGTTGGTAGAATATTTCGGTCTCTTGTACATTTAACTATATGCACATGTGAGACAGAATGGTTGAACGTACTTATACGTGTGCTGAGAGATTCCCCTAATTTAAAATCTCTCAAAATTCAAAAGGTATGTACATATATTTCACCTCAGTTCATTCAATGTCATTGAGATAAAGGTTACTTTTACCAGTACTATGTCGACTGATATATATGTTGTGATGTACTTGTATCTGGTCAGTACCATTGCTTTCGGAGTGGCGAGAGGCGCCCGTGCTGGAAAGAAACGAGCTTGGTGCCTGAATATCTGTTACCTAGCCTTGAAACCTTTGAATTGGTAGATTATGGAGGAACAGAAACAGAGAAAGAAGTAGTAGCATTCATCTTAAGAATCGCAAGCTGTTTAAAGCAGGCCACTATAAAGACCTCTAAACCCATTGACCACGACAAGAAACTTGAGATGCTTAAGGATTTTCCAGTATCATCTAGGCGTTCACCAGCTTGTCTGCTTGCTTTCAGCTGGAGCTGTGCTATACCTTAATCTTAGATGAGCAACTATAACTTGTTATATTTATTTATTTTTAGAGCGTTTTAATTTTTAAGCGTCTCTGCGTACTAAAAAAAAAAAAAACATCAAGATCTATCTTCTTTACGTTATATATTACACTCTTTTTGTCTCTTAATATTAGGAAAAGGTTCTTGGTCCTCTTGAGTCTTTAGCTTCGGGGTTGCTCTCTTTGTTGGTGATGTAACATATTAGTTGGAGAAGTGGTTGGGTTCGTTTAGATAAAGTCCACGAACTTGTTATATGTTTATATTTTTCTTTATTTTGGCTGGCTGGTTTTTTTTCAACTTATTGCTTTGCATGCTAGAAGAAAACACAAAGGCCTCGATTGGTAACCATGATTTAGGAAAAAAATGAGAAGGAATGTGACATTCCTCTTTATTCCTCAATTTTTTTACCGTTTACAAGCAATCATTTTTCCACATCATTCCTCTACATTCCTCACAAAATGAGGAACAATAGAACAAAAATGTTCCTCCCCAAAATTGATAAGGAACAAATGGAACAAAAAAAAAACAAATATTAAAATTCGTTTTTATTTTAAAATAAATAAAAAATTATTTATTAATAATATTTTAATCTCATAATATAATATTTTTCATATTTTTATCATGTATTGACATTAAAAAATATTTTGATATGAATTTCATCTTAAAAAATCTTACTATACATTATTTAAAATTTGTATGGATAGTAAAACATATTTAAGAGATGTTTATATCATAAATAACAAATAAAAAATTACTATAATCTATAATAGGTTAATATAAATTATTAATTTTTAACATTAAATATTTAAATTCATTCAAAAATATATTTTCAAATTAGTGTCAAATTCATTATATATAAATTATATCTAGTATTATTATTAAAAGTTGATTTATTTAATCAAATATATTATAAAAGATAGTGTTATTGTTTGGTTACCATTTATTATTTTGTTCTTCTCTGCATGTTTTCCTTTCATTCCTCAAAAGTTGTTTATTCCGTTCCGTATTGTTCTTTTTGTTCTTTTTCCTTTTGTTCCTCTAATGGTTACCAGTAGAAGCCAAAGATATACTCCATAGGTAAAGTTTCCCATGCTGGAGGAGTGTGTTCCATGGGTAGGTCTTTTGAGTTAACATAAAGTATACATTTCAGAGTGACATCAATGTTTTTAATATTTTTAATATATAAATTTTTGGGGGAAAAAACTTTAAAATATCTCATCTGTTAATTTTTTATTTGGAAGTTTAATATCCACACTTTCAATCTGAATAAAATATTTTTTTAGTATATTAATTCATTGTTTATATATCTGTTGGTTGAATCATACTCAAGCTAAGTGTATATAAATGGATCATCTTTGATAAAAACAAATTAATATGACAAGTGTATATAAATTGATCATCTTTGATAGATATATAAATAATAAATTAATATGACAGAAAATAATAAACAAGACATTTTTATTCCAATATTAAACTCACAAATAAAAAAATAGATAGATATTTTTATGCTTTTTCCCTGTCCAAAATTAGACTGGTTTATCAAAGAGCGAGTTAATAATGTGATATTATTGTGTTGTTTGTACTGTGTACAAGAAGAGGAAAGGTCTTGTGGACCTTGTGGTTGTTGGATATAATTAAGGAGAGTTAAAAGAGTCATTAATTTAATTTTATCTGTCTACCGAATATGAATCGACGTTTTGTAACCCTTGTTTTTTTCTCTTTTTTTAGGCAAGGTTACATGTTCTAGGTTAATCTCTTTTGTATTATCCTAAACTCTTCATATTAATATGATATTTACATGTTTATCAAAAAAAAAAAAAAATGAATCGACATTTAATTTTTGGAAGTTATACCGCTCAAAATCAATTAGGGTTCGTATTTGAAGAGGAGTTGGTGCCATAAACAAAAGAAGCTGCTCCTCTTTCTTCGTTGAAAGAAATACACCGGAGGGGTCTGATTAAGGTATTTGCCTTTTTTGTGATATTGTTTGATTTTGTATGAGTTAGGATTCATCTGACTCGCTTTCTGTTTGTGAGTTCTGTTCTTGGGTATAGTTTTGCTTTAACCATGTCTTTGCTATTTATAACTGTCTGTTTGGTTTCTGGGAGAACACACAACACTTAGAGTTCACATTGTTTGTTCGTGTTTATGATGTATTTTAGGCTTATTGGTGTTAGGGAAATCTGAAGAAGCTAAAAGGTCAGAGATTTGAAAGGAGAAGGTCGTATGGATTTGATCAGCCAGCTACCTGACGCGGTGCTCTTGGTAATATTGTCGTCACTGCATGCCAAAGATGTTGTGGCTACAATGGTTTTGTCTAAACGATGGCAGTTTCTTTGGATGTTTGTGCCAAGACTCTTATACGATGCTAGTTATCAGAATATTGAGTATGGAAGATTTTCGCGCTTTGTAGACAAGTATTTGCTTTTGCACGAGGCTCCGACTCTAGAAACTTTGCATTTTAAACTTGGTGAAAGGTCTGGAGCTGTTGACATTGGAGTATGGACCAGAACTACAGTTAGACGCAGTGTGAGTGAGCTGATTATTGAGATGGACTGTTCTTCCAGTAAAGCTCCAGTTATACTTCCAAGAAGTTTGTATGCATGCTGTACAATGCTTGTGACCTTGAAGCTAAACAACGTGATTCTTGTGGATTTTTCTTCTTTGGTTTCTTTCACATCCCTCAAAACTTTGAGCCTTTCATCTGTGAGGTATCCAAACGATGCTTTTGTCAAGAGGCTTTTATCCAATTGCCTTGTTCTTGAAGCCTTACTTGTGGAACGAGACCCCAATGACAATGTGACCATTTTCACTGTTGTGGTGCACTCTCTAAAGAGTTTATTCTTACGTGAGTCACCAAAAAGTGTTAATAATGATGCACGTGGGTTTGTCATTGATGCTCCTTCTTTGGAGTGCTTCGATGTTCTTGATCATAACGGTGGGTTTTGTGTTATCGAAAATGATATGCGTAACATTGTAACAGCAAATGTTGATGTCACTTACATTCATCCTGGGAAGATTTTGGGGTCTATTACTTTTGCCAAGCGTCTCTGTTTATGTTTATCAACTTCAAAGGTATTTCTTTCATTTTATTTTTGGAATCACTTGTTAAACGGCAATGGAAACAATATGTAATCTCTTGTAATAAAACCTGTTGCGGCTACGGACCTTGTGTACTAATTATTCTCACATTGTCTCTTGTGCAGAATGCATATTCTGATGGTAGTGTCTTCCACCGTCTTGTAAATTTACAGATATGCACATGTGAGACAGAGTGGTTGGATCTACTCATGTGTCTGCTCAGAGATTCCCCTAAGCTACGGGATATCAAACTTCAACAGGTATATATGTATTTCAGGCTATAATATTTAATTTCCTTGGATCTACTCATGTGTTTGCATACATGCTGTACAATGCTAGTGACCTTGAAGCTAGTCAACGTAATTCTTCAAGATTTTACTTCCTTTGGTTCTTTCCCATCTTTTTAAAAAATGACGCTTATATCCATGAAGTACCCAGGTGATGATTTTGTCAACAGGCTTTTATCAAGCAGTCACATTCTTGAAGACTTAATGGTGGAGCAATGTCTTGATGACAATGTGACTGTTTTCACCGTTAGAGTGCCTTCTCTAAAGCAGTTATTCGTCTGTAAATCACCAGGCAAACATAGAGATGCTGCAGATGGGTTTGTGATAAATGCTCCTTCTTTGGAGTCATTGGAGATTCTTGATTATACGGGTGGGTTTTGTGTCATTGAGAATGAGATGCCTAATATTGTAATAGCAGATATTGACTTGAATCATAGTCAGCCCGTGAATATATTGAGTTCTGTTACTTCAGTCAAGTTTCTCTATTTATGTTTATCAACGGCAGAGGTATTGTTTCCTTGTTCATTCAAGTTTTTGTTTCTATCATTCTACCATATGCACCATTGGAAATACTTGGTATTCTTGTGATCAAGTATCTTGACACTAATATTGCTTGTAATTATTCTGTCTTGTATGCAGGATGCATATCCTGTTGGTAGTGTCTTCCATCATCTTGTATGTTTAACGGCCAACACAGTCGCACGATCATATACCGAACATGGCCATTGTAAACTTTAGAGACCTTTAGATATCTATAACGGTCTCAAAACAAATAAGAGGAATGAGGTTTGACATAAGTCTTTGCTTTTTTAGAGGTTCTGTACTGTGCTGAGAAGTGAGAAGTGTCATCTTTAATCAACTATCAAACTTTCTTGGACCTACTACTATATTCAAAGTATTATAAGAATCATTTAAAATTTCAACTAACATTTGTATATTAGTATAAATATCTTTAGATTTATATGAACTCGCATCTTTTTAGAAAGAGGAAGCCCACTAGTGATTGCAGTACTACATCATATTTAAATATACATCCAGCTTTACTCTCTTATCCCACCATCGTCCTTATATTTCGACGAAATTGTGTCTCTCTAACAGATTTAAAGATTATGTATTCGTTTTTATTTTCTTTGTTTGATCTAAGAGGAATCTGTTTATAGATCATAAATCTATTTGGTTACTTCTGATTTTGATGCGTCAGGTGAGTTTTGATTTCTTTGTCTTCCCTCTCTGTACTTTTTTGTTTGCATCCGGTGTTATTTGTGAATCTCTGTTTCTTATGAAATTTTTCACTTCTCAGTGAGCTTTGAAAGTGAGAAGAGACAGCTCAAAATTTCATAGACACTAAAGGATAGTATCAGGTTTTTTTTTTTTTTTTTAACAAGCTCTTTTTCTATAATGGATTTTATAAATCAGTTGCCTGAAGCGCTGCTCTTGAGAATATTGTCTTTACTGCCAGCCAAGGATGTTGTGGCCACAATGGTTTTGTCTAAACGGTGGGAGTTGCTTTGGACACTAGTGCCTAAACTCATATATGATGATAGTTATCAAAATATCGAGTATGGAAGCTTTTCTCGGTTTGTAGACAAGTCTTTGCTTTTGCACGAGGCACCTGTTATAGAAATTTTGTGTTTCAAGCTTGGTAGAAGGTGCGATGCTGCAGATATCAGTGTATGGACCAGAACTGCAGTTAAACGCTGTGTACGTTGCTTGATTGTTGACATTGATTGTTCTTCAAGTAAGATTCCTTTCATACTTCCAAAGAGTTTATATACAGGCTGTACAATGCTTGTGACCTTGAAACTAAACAGCGTGGTTATTTTGGAAGTTTCTTCCTTGGTTTCTTTTCCATCCCTCAAAACTTTGAGCCTTTCATCTGTGAGGTATCCAAACGATGCTTTTGTCAAGAGGCTTTTATCCAATTGCCTTGTTCTTGAAGCCTTACTTGTGGAACGAGACCCCAATGACAATGTGACCATTTTCACTGTTATAGTGCATTCTCTAAAGAGTTTATTCTTACGTGAGTCACCAAAAAGTGTTAAGAATGATGCTCGTGGGTTTGTCATTGATGCTCCTTCTTTGGAGTGCTTAGACATTGTTGATCATAAGGGTGGGTTTTGTATCATTGAGAATGATATGCCTAAAATTGTAAAGGCTGATGTTGACGTCCTTTATGTTCATCCTGGGAAGATTTTGGGGTCTATTACTTCTGCCAAGCGTCTCCATCTGTGTTTATCAACTTCAAAGGTATTTCTTTGATTATCTTATTTATTAAACGGCAATGGAAACAACCTGTAATCTCTTGTGATAAAACCTGTTGTGGCCACAGTCCTTCAAGTACTTAATATCTCTTATTCTATCTCATATATGTAGAATGCATATCCTGTTGGTAGTGTCTTCCACCGTCTTGTGCATTTAAGGCTGTGCACATGTGAGACAGAATGGCTGAATCTACTCATGCGTATACTAATAGACTCCCCTAAGTTACGGGAGCTCATCCTTGAAAAGGTACATATGTATCTATTTCAGCCCAAATTATTCAGTTCCCTTGGATCAGTATATATGTTGATCTAATACACTGTACTTCTGTCTCATCAATTTAATTCAGTACCATGAGCAGCCATATGAAGCTAGTCTATGCTGGAGTGAACCTAGCTCTATCCCTGAGTGTGTGATATCAAGTCTTGAAACTCTGGAATGGGTAAAATATGAAGGAACTGAGGAAGAGAAAGATGTATCGACATTTATCTTAAGAAATGCAAAATGTTTAAAGAAGGCAACTATCTCCTCCAACTCCAACGATCCCAACAAGAAACTTCAGATGCTCAAGGAATTGTCATCGTCCCCCAGACGCTCACCTACCTGCCAGCTTATATTTGACTGAAGCTATTAAGGTAATATGATCATCTGTTGGTATGTCAATGTTTGACTCGAATCTTAGTTATGTTGAAAGGTTATGTTTGAGCTATTTGAATTTCTTATGTTTTTGGCTTTATGCTCTCTGAGAGACTTACGGAAGAACCATTGTCTTACTTGGTTTATCAGCATTAAGCATTGTTTTGGTCTTTTCTCCTTTTATGTAAATGTAGTGTAGCTTGGTATTTAAATTTCTTATGTTGTTCCTCAACCTCTCTGCTTACTAGAAGAAATATACATAAGAACTATTATCTTACGTTCGATTTTCTGCAGCATCATTATTCATCTTATGAGTCTTTTTTTTTTTTGTTGAAAAAGACATCTTATGAGTAGTTTCTCTTCTTCTGTAACATTTTTTTTTTTCAATTACGTATGGTTGGACTTAACCTTTCACAAACTTTGCTGGTTATGTTAGTGTCCCATTTCCTAGTTTAAAATAACTGTTACTGAATTTGAACCGATAGCTAAATAAGTTTGGTGTGGTGGCTCTTTTTGGAACAGGCCAGTTTTTTCTTTTTCGTTTTAGACGTGGATCCATGTTGCAAAACACAAACCTAGCTCCAATCATTCAGATTTTTATTTTACAATTAATGGTTTAAAAATTACCCAATAATTTTTTTTTTAAAAACGAAAGGTTTTAGACATTGTTTTATAAAATGATTAAATGAATAAACTATTAAATATATATATATATATATATATATATATATATATTATATCTAATTGAAATATATTTTATATTCTGTTTCTTGGTTGCAAAGAGAAAAAAAAACAGGGGACGTTAGGGTTTTATAATTATCACAAACACGTTATACGCTAACGCAAAGAGAGAAACAGAGAAAAGTTAAGAGAGTAATTAAAATCAAACAGCCGAGAGTTAAAAGGAGCAAGAGAGTTCGAGTCTTCTTTACTTTTGTGTTCTTTGTGTGAGACTTTCCTACTAGTTTCTTCCATTGATCTCTGTTTGGAACTAAACGTCTACGTACGAATCTACTTGTGCTAGTGAACTTTCGCGTTGATTTCTACTGTGGATTTCTGTTTTTAATACAAGGTTTTGGGATTTTGCTGAAGTATTATCTTCAAACCGATGGATCACATAAGTGAATTTCCCGATGCACTGCTCTTGAGTATATTGTCTTTTCTGCCTGCGAAAGATGTTGTGGCCACGATGGTTTTGTCCAAACGGTGGCAACCGCTTTGGAAGATGGCGCCAAAACTCATATATGATGATGATAGCAATGAAAATTATCCTAGATTCGTGGACAGGTCTTTGCTTTTGCATGAGGCACCAGTTATAAAAACTTTGCGTTTCAATCTCGGTCGAAAGTCTGGTGCCGTTGATATCGGAGTATGGACCAGAGCTGCACTTAAACACTGTGTGCATAAGCTGATTATCAAGACGGGGTGTAGTTTTGACAGTGGAGCAGCTCCTGTAATACTTCCAAGGAGTTTGTACACAGGGTGTAGCATGCTTGTGAAGTTGAAAATAGAGGGAGTGGTTCTTGTGGATGTTACTTCTCCAATAGCTTTCCCATCTCTCAAGAAACTAAGCCTTAAATGGGTGAAATACCCAAGTGACGAGTTTGTCGAGAGGCTTTTATCTAGTTGTCATGTTCTAGAGTGCTTGGTTGTGAAAAAACGTCAAGATGACAATGTGAACATTTTCACCATAAAATGCTTAATCTAAAGAAACATACGGAATAATTGTATTGTCGTCATTTGGTGATTTTTTTCGGTTTAAACTGTACCATCGCTGTTATGTTGGTTTAGTTTGATTTATTGGACTGAAATGACTTTTACCGAATCTGGTTTAATATTTTCCGGTATGGCTAGATTTTATTTCTGCAGTAAATTACATTTTTTTTTTCTTTTTTTTTTTTGTCTTATAAAAGAGCGGACACAAATCAATAATTCAATACATTTTTTTTTGTCTTTTTTTTTTTGTCTTATAAATTACTTTTTGAGGTAAATATTCCAGTCTAATGTCAGCAAATTTCTAATAATTCACTACAGTACACTAATATCATACCATTATATTTATCCTTTTTTTGTTTTTTTTTTAATCTTAGTGCCATGTTCATGTGGTTAAAGCTGATAGAAGCCCATGCTGGAATGAACGCAGCTCAAATTCTGAATGTCTGTTATCAAGTCTTGAATCTTTCCACTGGAAAGAATATAAAGGAACAAACGAAGAGAAGAAAGTAGCATCGTTCATCTTACGAAGCGCAAAGAATTTGAAACCCTTTTTCTAATACCCTAAAACAAAAAAATTCAGATGCTCTATGGAGTTGGTTCTACTTCGGTTTTTATCTTCATATTTTCTTTCTATCTTTCCTTCGTTTTAATAAGTCTTTTACATTTGGTCTTTGGATTTAAGTATTGTTTTGGTGTGCTATTTGTTCAATTTCTTGGTTTAAGAAACGATTGCTTAATTACAGTATTGATTTACTAATATAGCGATGGTGGTGACGGAAGATTCTTGCGGTTTGTTTTCAGTTATTTGTTATTGCATGAGGCTCCAGTTCTAGAAAGTTTGCGTTTTAAACTTGGTAAAAAAGTCCATTGTTTTAGTTATTAACTTTATTTTATTGATGAGAAATATATAAGTTTATAGTTATCTTATTTTTTCCATTGAGTTTAATTATAGTAAACAATACTCTTGGATAAGTTCGAATTTTGAATAAGATCGATAAAATCTTTTGTTAAGACGAAATGCGATTGGTATACAAAACAAACTCTTTAGAATCTATGAGAAAATCTCGGGAATGAATGTGATTTTTCCAGCTAAGAGTATAAATATATAACTATCTCACTCTCACGGTTTAGGGTTTGTCAACTGAGTAATAGTATCAGCTGGTTCTTGAACATGTAACAAAGGTGTTTAATTAGGTATTTTGGAGCTAGACATCTGTTTTATAATTTACATGTACTGGCTTTGTTTTGTTATTATTCATGAATTCGTTTGGGATGAATTAAATATACTCTATCTGTTTACAGGATATTCAGAACCTCAATTTTTGTTATGTTTTGGAGTCTGCTTTGTTGTCTCAAGTGTAGAAAAAGAATCCAGTTTCGATTGGAACAATTGGATAGGATAAGCCACTTGCCTGATGAGCTTCTCTTGAAAGTATTGTCGTCACTACCTACCAAAGATGTTGTGGTCACAATGGTTTTGTCGAAACGATGGAAGTTTCTTTGGAAGTTTGTGCAAAATCTCGAATATGATCACAACATGTACCGAGAGGGTGAGAAATGGAGATTCTTGCAGTTTGTTAATAGCTCTTTGCTTTCATGTGAGACTCCAGTTCTAGAAAGCTTGCATTTCAAACTTGGTCAAAATCATGGTTTTGTAGTTATTGGGGCATGTTATACTAACAGCTGTGTGCGAGAGCTGATCATCGACATTGATTCTTCTTCTACTAAAAATTTAGTCCTTCGTCCGAGGAGCTTGTCTACAGGCTTTGGGGTAAATACACTTACCAAATTGAAACTAAGAAACGCGATTCTTGAGGATGTTGATTCTCAAATTTCTTTTCCGTCTCTTAAGGATTTGAGTCTTGTATCCATGAAATACCGAGCTGGTGATGAGTTTTGTAACAGGTTTTTATCCAAATATTGTCCTGTTCTTGAGGATTTGGAAGTGAAGCGATGTGACAATGACAATGTGGAGATCTTTGCTATTAGAGTACCATCTTTAAAGAATTTAAGGTTAACTTCTACATCAAAAAGAGTTAAAGGCGATTCGCTTGGGTTTGTGATTGAGGCTCCTTCTTTGAAATTGTTGGATATTAAGGATTATTCTGGTGGGGTTTGTGTCATTGAGAATAAAATGCCTGAGATTGTAAACGCATATATTGACGTACAGTATAGCTGCATTGAGAAGCTTCTAGGATCTATTGATTCAGTCCAGAAACTTTATATATGTTTCCCTACTTCCATGGTACGTATTCGTTTTAAAGTAAAAAAAAAAATGAACTAGCTATATGTTCGTTCAAACACAAATGTGGGGTTTTCATTAATCTATCATTGTGTACATCATTTGTAGGAAGCATATCATGGAAGCCGAATATATAGCCAGCTTGTACGGTTGGTGCTTTGTACGTGCCTGATAAAGTGGTTTAATCTACTTATGTGTCTTCTCAAAAATTCCCCTAAACTTACATTTCTCAAACTAGATCGGGTAAAAGGTCACATTTACTCTTTTAACACTAAAAGATTATATATAAGATGGGTCTAATGTGGCTATGTACTTGTAGTATTTTCAGTGTCGGCACCACCAAATTCAGGCTAAACATCCCGGGAAGCTGCCGTGCTGGAGTGAACCGAGTTATATTCCCGAATGTCTCACATCAAGTCTTGAGACTTTTGAATGGGTGCGATACCAAGGAAAACCAGACGAGAAACAAGCCGCGAGATTCATCTTAGGAAACTCTAGTCATTTAAAGACGGCAACATTCTACTACAAATCAATAGATCTTAAAGACAAACGTCAGGTTCTCATGGAGGAGTTGTCAATGTTACATAGGAGCTCAACTTGTCAGCTTGCATTCAAAGAGAGTACGTGATCCAGTCATAGAGGAAACGTAACATTTGGTTACGAAGCAGTTTGATTCAAAGATTTTTTTTTTTAAGACTTGTAGATTTCTTTTTAAGTTCTTATTGCTTAATTTAATGATATTTTTAAGGAATTCAGGGTTCCAACAAGCAAACTTGGTTCTAAAGTTATCTACAGATATAGGTTTTCATCTTATTTTATTTTGGGAATTTAGTGAATAAAACCTCAACATTGGTTGGATCCATTTTTAAACCCTCAACTATTTTATTAGTAAATAAAACCCTGAACTTAAAAAATATTAACAAACTTAACCTGTCACTTATAAAAACATTTTTTGTTCAGATTTTATTCAATCAAAAAATAGTTGAGGGTTTCAAAATAGATCCGGCCAAATGTGGAAGGTTTTTTTTATTAAATTCCCTTTTATTTTTCAAACAAAATTATTACTCGTATGATTTGATTGGGAACTTAAAAAATTGCGTTAAGTAAATTAAAACTTAAAACTGTAATTAAATTCGTATATATCCAATATATGCCAAAACTTTAATATCCAAAATAATATTTAATAATTATCTACCGAGAAAGAGGAAGTAAAAAAAGGAAAAAAAAATTGTTATTAAGACCATTGCCGTCGTCAAGTTTCAATTAGGTTTCATAGGAGACGAAGGAACAGAGTAAGTCATTGTCTTCCCTTGTCATCAATTTTTGAAACGAATCACTTTGTTAAAATATATGTCTTTGTTTCACTTCTATCGTCTTTCCATTCTCTCTAATGCATGCATGCATGGGTATGTTTGGTTCTTTTTCCTGTGTAGGTTAATCGAGAAAGCATAATTGAGATTTTCCCTTTGTCTTGAGCTAATTATAGTCGTCTCTGGTTTTTCGAAATCTAATGGATATAATCAGTCACTTACCTGACGATGTCTTGTTGAAGATATTGTCATTTCTTCGGACAAAAGATGTTATGCGTACCATGTTTTTGTCTAAGCGTTGGGAATCTCTCTGGATGTTTGTACCAAGACTTGAGTTTGACGATACCACTCACTTTCCCACACCTCCGTTTACGCAAGCTGGCTATAATATATTTCGCCAGTTTGTGGACAGATCTTTGATGTCATTCGAAGGTCAGGTTCTTCAAAGTCTGTATCTGAAATTAGACGGACCATTCGCATATGAAGATGTTACGATTTGGGTTAAAACCGCTGTGAAACGTGGTCTAGTGGAGCTGAAACTCCAATACTCAGAGCGTTGCTGGCGTCTCTTTCTACCAAAAAGTCTATATAAAAGTTTTGAAACAATTGTGGTCTTGAAACTTGAAGAAGTTGGTTTGGATTTTCCTAACCTTGTTTGTCTAAGGTCTCTCAAAACTTTATTCCTCAAATCTGTGATTTTCTCTAGCTCACGTTCTCTACTTAGACTTTTACCCAAGTGTCCTGTTCTTGAAGACTTGTACATCGAGCATAGACCCATTGCCACCTTCAGTCAGATTTTCCGGATTGAAGTGCCTACCTTGAAGAGACTATCTTTGAATTACGATGGAATCTACGAACTTGACATAGATGCTCAATCTTTGAAATACTTGTACATTAAAGATCGGTCGAGGAAAAATTCGTTTTGCGAGATTAAGAACATCAATGATTTGGTAAAGGTCAACATTGAGGTTATTCTCAGAAGACCCGAGGAGCTTCTGCATTCTCTTACGTCAGCGGAGCATATGCGTTTATGTTTATCGTATTCAGAGGTAATTTTGTTGGTCTCTTAGTTTTTGTTGTTTCAGCCTTAACATCTCTGTCTTTGAGTTGCTCATATGTTTATTCGGTCATATCTCGTATCCTTGTTATGCAGGTTGTGTATCCTGTTGGTAGTTGCTTCCCTAGACTCAAACATTTGGAGGTATGTTCATGCAAATCAGAGTGGCTCTATTTGTTCATGCGTCTGCTCAAAGATTCGCCTAGCTTAAAGGTTATCAAAATCAATCAGGTGTGTTTTATTTCTAAGCAGATTTGCGTGTTTTAATTTCGCCTAAAATGATCCAACAAGGATTTTACTGAAAATTGCAACCGTATTGATTAACAGTTTCAGAATCATAATACAAAAATTGTCCGGCCTGAATGGTATCAACCGAGATCTGTTCCAACATGTTTGCCTTCAAGTCTTGAAATATTGGAGTGGGACAAATACAGAGGGTTTGAAGAAGAGAAAGAACTTTCAACATATATCTTGAAAAACGCGATTTGTTTAAAGAAGGCGAGTTTCATTGCTAAATCCATTGATGACAAGGAGAAACTGCACATGCTTCAGAAGTTATCATTTTCGCCAAGGGTTTCATCTACTTGTGAGCTTGTATTCACCTGAAATGTTCATGCTAATCAGTGATCACTCTCAGATCAAAAACGATCTTGTGTTTTATTTTATATTTTTTTTGTTCATGACAAGTTATCTGATTCTATTCTTTAAAAGTGACAGTTTATTCAAGTTTCGTTCTTTTCCTTTTCTCTTTTGGTGGAGTTTGATGTTAAAATTTTGCAACGTTAATAGAGAAAGGGTTGGATTCTATACAAGATAGTCAAAATAACACATTTAGTCAAAATAACTAAAACTAATGTTTAAACTTAACACTGAGAAAAGTAATTAAATTTGTATTTAATTTTTATTTATATAATCTAAAACAATATTTAATACCGGCGAAAAGGAAATAAAAGATTTTGTTATTAGGACTATCGCCGTCTTCAAGTTTTCCATTAGGGTTAGACCAAGGAACAGCGGCAGTCCCAAATCTTTTCTTGTGAGCTCTTCTTATTCTCCGCTTTGACACAAATCACTTCCAAAGAATTTTTGTCTCTTTTTTCTCATCATCTACCAATTTCTCTATTATGGGTTCGGCTGGTTCCATTTAGTAATGAGATTCCCATCGTAATCTCTTGTTCTTATGTTGATTCGTCTCTAGTGTCCGGACACTTAATGGATAGAATTAGTCACTTACCTGACGAAGTCCTGTCGAGGATATTGTCCTTTCTTCCGACAAAAGATGTTATGCGAACTATGCTTTTGTCTAAACGATATAAGTCTCTCTGGATCACGGTACCAAGACTTGAGTTTGATGAGCTCACTCACTTTCCCGAACGTGTATCTCTGCGATGTCCAGATCCTGATTATGGGATATTTCGACGGTTCGTGGACAGATCGTTGATGTCACGGGAAGGTCTTGTTCTACAAAGTCTGAATCTCAAGTTAGGTCGACATAGCACATATGATGATATTGAGATTTGGGTTCGAACCGCGGTGAAACGTGGTCTAATGGAGCTGAAACTCGAATACGTTTATTACAGGCGAGGTTTTGTCCCAAAGAGTCTATATACATGTGAAACACTTGTGGTCTTGAATCTGGAGATGGGATGTTTGGATGTTCCTGATCTCATTTCTCTAAGGTCTTTGAAAACTCTAACCCTCAAATCTATGTCATACTCTGACGAGAATGCTCTACTAAGACTTTTACCCAATTGTCCTGTTCTTGAAGACTTAGTCATACAAGAAATTAGTCACAGTGAGACTTGCGAGCTGGTTTTCAAGATTGTAGTGCCTTCCTTGAAGAAGTTATCTTTGATTGACGCTAAAATCACGCAACTTTTGATAGACGCTCCTTCTTTGAAATACTTTCACATTGTAGATCGTTCTCGTTGCCTTTCGTTTAGCGAGAGTATAAACATCCATGAAGTTGTAGAAGCGAAGGTCGAAGTTATTCTGAGCCGACCCGAGAAGCTTCTTCATTCTCTTGCTTCGGTTGAGCACATTCGTTTGTGTTTATCAGCTTCAGAGGTAAACTTTGTTGGTCTCCTGCCTCTTCGTATTCGTTTGAGTATTATGTTGCTCAACTGTATTATAATGTCTCGTGTCAGGTTGTTTATCCTCTTGGGAGTTGCTTCCATAGACTCAAACATTTGGAGGTATGTACTTGCAAATCAGAGTGGCTCGATCTATTTATGCATCTGCTCCAAAATTCGCCTAGCTTAAAGGTGATCAAAATCAACCAGGTATATTTTATCATTGATCTATATTGGTTTTTAGAGTTGAAATCATAATTCATTAATGATTCTAATGCACTGTACATTTCAAACTGAAATCTTAGTGTCATCCTGTTACGAATCCCCGGCCTCAGTGGAAGCAACCTGGCTCTGTCCCAAGATGTTTTTCCTCAAATCTTGAAATTTTTGAGTGGATAGAGTATGAAGGAAGGCAAGAAGAGAAAGAACTTTCAACATATATCTTGAAAACCGCAGTTTGTTTAAAGAAGGCGAGTTTCACCGCTAAGTCGACTGATTCCAACAAGAAACTGCAGATGCTTCAGGAGTTAGCCTTGTCGCCAAGGGTTTCATCTACTTGTGAGCTGGTATTTAACTGAAAATGCTGTATCTCTCAGACCAAACCTTTTTAGATCTTTAGTTTTTGATTTTCATTTCCTCTTTTGGTGTTTGATGTTAAAGTTTTTTAGTGATAAAAAATGTTAGAAACTTTATATTGGGAATTGAAGAAGTTGAAAAATAGTATTCAGCCAATTTTCACCATTTGAGTTGAAGAAGTTGAAAAAATTGTTCAATCCACTCCACCTAAAAAATTGAAAAATTGAACAATTTATAAAGGAAAAATGTTCATCAAAATGTTCATCCACAATTCAACTTAATATTTCAAACCTATTCAATTTTCTGCAACCATTTGTAGCCAAAGTATCGATAGTCTAAAATAATATGATATGTTGGACATGTGTTACAACTGTTCATTTGAGTCTTGACAAAATTAAAAAAATGACATTTAACATAAAAGAGTTCGGTTTATCTCACGACCGACTTTAAAGGGGCATAAAGGAAAATTCACAAAAAAAGCGAACCCTAGATGACCCAGCTTCCCCTATAAATAGGGAAACACATTACCAAGAAGGAGATCCGCAGTCAATCCGCTTGAAAACTTAGCTAGCTCGACTCTTAAATTCCGATCTCTGGTTAGCGTTGTGAGAACTATTTTGTAATTGTGTCGAAATTCGGTTGCGATCAATAAGCAAATCTATAATTTCCATCATAAAATTAAATTTGTGTTGGATCTCTAGCATCAAATGATGGGCACAAGGCATGATTACTAGTTAGTGTTCCAAGGTTAGTCATTTCTTACTCTCTTCTTAATGATGATTATAAATAAATGATGATGATTATTATTATTATTTGGTATTTTACAATCTCAGTTGAATGGGTTTAGTTTAGATTTGATTACTCTGTTTCTATAAACATTTGTTACTTATGAATTATGATAAAACAAATTTGGGAAATGAAAATGGAATCATGGTCTCCTTGTTTATGATTTTAAATTTTCATATCTCTGTGTTGTCAGTAAAATCACTGGATTAAAAGAGAGAGTCCTATGGACAGGATCAGTTCCTTGCCAGATGAATCCCTGTTGCAGATACTTTCATCACTTAACACAAAAGATGTCTTGAAGACAAGTTTATTGTCTAAGCAATGGCGGAACCTTTGGAAGTGGGTTCCTAAACTCGAGTACCTCGATTGTGGTAATACGAATGCTACTGATCATGGAAAATTTATGAGGTTTGTGGACAGGTCTTTGCTATTAAACAAGGCTCCAGTCTTAGAGAGGTTGAGTTTCAAGTCTTTTAGCAAATCCAGTGATATAGATATCGGGTTTTGGGTTAGAGTTGCAGCGGAACGAGATTTACGTGATTTCGACTATTCCTCAGCTCCCTATAGTGAGCCTATAAGATTACCTCAAAGCCTGTTTACGTGCGGAACACTCGTGGTACTTAAACTCGACAGTGTATCGCTTGAGGATGTTAAATTCCCGGTTAGTTTCCCCTTACTCAAAACATTGCACCTTCGTTCGGTGATATTCTTAGACGATGAATCCCCTCAGAAGCTTCTATCAAGCTGCAAAGTTCTTGAAGTCTTGGTCGTGAAACGAGTAACTGAAGACAATGTAAAGAGCTTTTCTATTACGGTGCCTTCACTCCGAAAGTTAATCTATCTCAATGTAAATTCCGGTGAAGGCCTGTTTGCGTTGAATGCCCCTTCTTTGAAGAGCTTAGAGATCGACGGTATTGGTCACAAATGTATGATTGAGGAAATGCCTGAGATCGTGTCTGCAAATGTACAAATCTATAGGAACAGTGAAAATATCCTAGCTTCTCTTACATCAGTCAAACGCCTCTCGCTGTGCTTTCACTTAGTGGTAAGTTACTAAACACTTGAAATTTTTCCCTTTGAAATAGAAAACCAATTTATACATATATAATATATAGTCCTTTATGATATTCTATTTTGCAGTCGCGGTTTCCTACTGGTAAAATCTTCCATCAGCTTGTAGAGTTGGAGGTTTGCACATGCAATCCAAAACGGGATCTACTTATGTCTCTTCTCAAACATTCTCCAAAACTACGAGCTCTCAAACTCTTTGAGGTAAAAACATATCAGAGTTTGGTCGGTTCTTGTGAAGTCTCTCATCTCTAATCTTTATTACTGGTCTCTAATGATATATATATATATATATATATATATCCTCAGCGACACGACTACAGAAATACTTGGGAAGAGGTATATAATTGGGGTGAGCCCAAATCTGTTCTTAGAAGGTTGAAGCTCGGACTTGAAACTTTGGAGTGGGGCAACTACAGAGGATGGAACAAAGAGAAAGAACTCGTGAGGTTTGTCTTCAAAAATTCAAGGAGCTTGAAGAAAGCGACTTTTTCACCTGTAGCCACCACCACTACGGAGGAGAAAAACCGGATGCTTCAAGAGTTGACAGCTTTGGCTAGAGTTGCAACATGTCAGCCCGTCTTTGGCTCAGTATCGCATAGCAGTTCAATAAATCCGTTTTCTCTTTAATCAAAGTCTGAACCCCTTCAGGATTCTAAACTTGCTTTGTTGCAGTTCTCTAAACTTAAACCTTATGCTCTGTTTCTCTTCTTTTCTAAACTTTTCTCTGTTTCTCCTCTTTTCTAAACTTGCTCTGTTTCTCTTCTTCGTTGACCTTTTTTCTTCTCTGTTGACTTTTACATTTATTTTGAGACTTTGACCTTCTTTTGTTTTTTCCTTTTTCCCGAATTTTAGCTTCTTAATTAAAAAGAAAATGAAGAAATTGTTCAAAAACTTAATAAATAGATTAAAAATCAAAATCAAAATATAGAATTAGGGTTCGTAAGTGACGAAGAGAAGCAGCAGCACTTTGTATGCTTGTTTCTTATTCAGATTAATTGCTTGGAGAGTTCCAAATGGACCGTATCAGTCTGTTGCCCAATGATTTCCTCTTGCAGATACTTACACTACTTCCTACAAAAGATGTCTTGAACACGAGTGTTCTGTCAAAACGATGGCGGAATCTTTGGAAGTTGGTGCCTAAACTCCAGTACATCGATATCGATAAGAATGCTGAACCTTGGAAATTGTTTCTGTTTGTGGACAGGTCTTTGCTATTACACACGGCTCCAGTCTTAGAGAGTTTGCATTTCAAGTTTGGTATGAAATGCAGGGACGTAGATGTTGGGTTTTGGGTTAGAATCGCAGTAGAACGAGGCTTGCGTGAGCTGAATTTCGATTATAGTCATATGATTGATGAGCCTATCAGATTGCCTCAGAGCTTGTATACATGTGGAACACTCGTGGTGCTCAAACTGAAAAACGTATCCCTTGTGGATGTTCAGTTCCCGGTATGTTTCCAGTTGCTCAAAACGCTGCACCTGAATGATGTGATTTTCCTAGACGATGAATCTCCTCTGAAGCTTTTGTCAAGCTGTCCTGTTCTTGAAGTCTTGGATTTGATTCGAGCTCCAAATGACAACGTGTCGAATTTCTCTGTTATGGTGCCTTCATTGCAAAGATTTATGTATCTTGGATTCTTTAGTTCTGAGCTTGTGATGAAGACGCCTTCTTTGAAGTACTTTAAGATTTTAGATAATGGTTACAATTGTATCATTGAGTATTTGCCTGAGATCGTGGAAGCACTTGTGGAGGTGATATGTTACAATACTGATGAAATCCTCAGATCTCTTGCATCAGTCAAACGTCTCTTGTTATGTATACACTGCGAGGGAAGATATACTTTACAACAACATCCGATCGAATCAAACTTGTAGTCTTTACGCTTATTTGTGTTTTTACTGCAGCTTGAGTTTCCTACTGGTATTATCTTCCACAAGCTTGAACACTTGGAGTTTTTCACTTGTTAAACATTGTGGGATATACTTATGTCTATGCTCCAACAATCCCCGAAACTTCGATCTCTCAAGCTTAACGAGGTAAAACAAAACCTTTGAAACTATTGAAAGGCTTTGCGAGTTTTCTTGTCTGAGTTAATAAGTCTCTTATGGTCTTACGGTGCACTCAGGTCCATTTTGACTGCATTGTTTCTCGAGATCCTATGCTTCATTGGGATGAACCAAGCTCTGTTCCTGAAACGCTGAAGTCTGTTCTTGAAACTTTTGAGTGGAGAAACTACAGGGGATGGAAGATAGAGAGAGAACTCGCAACTTTTATCTTCAAACATTCAAAGCGTCTAAAGATTGCAACCTTTTCACCAGTTGACCCCAAAGAATTGAGGATGGAACTCCGTACAACAGTTGGGATGAAATATCGTATGCTCACGGATTTGGCGCGTTTGCCAAGGGGCTCAACAGAGTGTGAGCTTGTCTTTGGTTAAGTTAAGCTTTTGTACACGTTTTCCATTCAGTAGTATTGAAGAATTATTAGGGTTTTCAACTCTCTGTGTTGACAGCGAAATCACTGGTTTAAAAGCTTGCATATCACTCTATCAATTTGTTCCTTGATGATTTCCTGTTGCAGATCCTTTTATTGCTTCCTACAAAAGATGTCTTGATTCTCTTGAAGACTAGTGTTTGTGGTTACTATCTAAATGTAGATTATATAATTATTGTATAGTTTATTGAGAGCCAATAAAACACAAAAAAATAATTATGAAGTACTAAATTATTATTTTAAATTGTTTTTTAGATAAAAATAATTATTTTAGAAAATTCATAAACATAACACACCAGTAAATTAATGTGTAATACAAGAAAAGATAAATTACAAAATACAAAAGAAAAGCATTATAATTATTTTAGATATATCTGTGTAAATTTATATATTTATTACTTTAGAATATTACTAGGACCATATATATTTACATTTTAATATATTATTGTGTTATTTTAACGAATAGCATTTTATGTTTATACTAAGTCAACACAAAACATGAGAAATTAATTAATTGAGTGTTTATTAATTCTTTAATTATCAATTTATATATGTATATATATATATATATATATATATATATATATATATATACTCAAAAATAATATGATATGTCGGACATGTGTTAAACTCTTTCATTTGATTGTTGGCTAAATAAAAAATTAAACTATTTAAATATAATATAAAAGAGTTCGGTTATACTCAAAAAAATGTGGAGGGGTAAAATCGTAATTTCACAAGAAAAAGACGAGCCCTAGATAACCGTGCTTCCCTATAAATAGGGGAAGTGCGTTACCAAGATGGAATCCGCAGTCAATCAGCTCAAAAACTCAACTCGCTCGACTCTTAAATTCCGGTCTCTAATCTGCGATATGAGAATTGTTTTGTAATTGGTGAAATTCGGTTGCAATCAATACAAAAATCTTTGTTTTCCATTTTAAATTTTGTGTTGGATCTCTCTAGCATCAAATGATAGATACAAAATAAATGATGGCATGATACTAGTAATGTTCCAAGGTTAGTCTATTCTTACTCTCTCAAGAATGATGATATTTTTTTTTATTTTTTCTTTATTTTCAATGAGCTTTGTTTAGATTAGATTATCTGTTTTAATATAATGATAATACAGATTCGGAAAAAAGAAAATGAAAACTGAATCCTAGTCCTCCTCATTTCTGATTTAAGGTTTTCGTTTCTTTGTGTTGTCAGAAAAATCACTGGACTAAAAGCTGAAAGAGTCCTATGGACTGGATCAGTTCCCTGCCGGATGATATCCTATTGAAGATACTTTCATCACTAACCACAAAAGATGTCTTGAAGACAAGTCTTTTGTCTAGTCGATGGCGGAACCTTTGGAAGTTGGTTCATAAACTCGAGTACATGGACTGGACTGGGAATGGTGATGATTATGCGAGATTTATGCTGTTTGTGGACAGGTCTTTGCTATTAAACGAGGCTCCGGTCTTAGAGAGTTTGCGTTTCTGGTTTATCAGCCGTTGCAATGATGTAGATATCGGATTTTGGGTTAGAACTGCAGTGGAACGAGGTCTACGTAAGTTCGAATTATGGCCTTCCAAGTTTGATGAGCCTAAAAGATTACCTCAAAGCTTGTTTACCTGCGGAACTCTCGTGGTACTTAAACTCTACAATGTATCGCTTGAGGATGTTAAATTCCCGGTTAGTTTCCCGTTACTCAAAACATTGCACCTTGATTGTGTGATTTACTTAGACGATGAATCCCCTCGGAAGCTTTTCTCTAGCTGCCAGATTCTTGAAGTCTTGCTCGTGGAACGAGTACCAGAAGACAATGTAACAAGCTTTTCTATCACGGTGCCTTCACTCCTAAAGTTCAACTATCATAATATAGATTCTAGTGGAGGTCCGTTTGCGTTGCATGCTCCTTCATTGAAGAGCTTAGAGATCGAAGATATTGGTCACGAGTGTATGATTGAGGAAATGCCTGAGATCGTGGCTGCAAATGTTGATGTTATCTATTGCAAATGCGACAATCTCCTCGGTTCTCTTACATCTCTCAAACGCCTCAAGCTGTGTTTACGCTCAGAGGTAAATCACTAAACACTTTAAAAAAATTACACTCATAGTAGAAAACCATGTTATACATAGTTTTATTATATAGTCTTTTATGATTCTATTTGCAGTGGCTTTTCCCTACTGGTAAAATCTTCCATCAGCTTGTAGACTTGGAGTTTTGCACATGTGATACAAAATGGGATCTACTTATGTGTCTTTTCAAACATGCTCCAAAACTCCGAACTCTCAAACTCAGAAAGGTAAACACACCGGACCCTTAAAAACATTTAGGGTTTTTCTTAGTCTCTCATCTCTAATCCTTACTACTGGTCTCTAATGATACATATCTCCAGGGACATATCGCCAGTGATACTGAAGAAACAATATATGATTGGGAGGAGTCCAGATCTGTTCCTGAAACGTTCGTGCTCGGACTTGAAACTTTGGAGTGGAGTAACTACAGAGGATTGAATACAGAGAAAGAAGTCGTGATGTTTATCTTGAAACATTCAACGAGTTTGAAGAAAGCGACCTTCAAATCGACACTCACCACTTTGAAGAAAAAATATGGGATGCTCGGAGAGTTGGCAGCTTTGTCTCAAGTTTCAACAAGTCACTTTGTCTTCCGCTGAAGAGTCCGAAACCCGTCAGGATGGATTCTTCTTAAAACCATTCGCTCTGTTTCTATTATTCTTAAAAACCATTTGCTCTGTTTTCTCTTCTTTAAAAACCATTTGCTATGTTTTCTCTTCTTAAAACCATTTTGATCTGTTTTCTCTTCTTAAAACCATTTTGATCTGTTTCTATTATTCTTAAAAACCATATGCTCTTTGTTTTCTCTTCTTAAGGAACCATTTACTTTGCTCCTATTCTTAAAACCATTTGTTCTGTTTCTATTCTTAAATCCCTATTTGCTCTGTTTCTCTTCTGAAAACCATTTTGCTCTGTTTTCTCTTCTTAAAACCCATTTGCTCTGTTTCTATTCGTAAAACAACCCATTTACTCTTATGGTCTTACAATAATGTGGAATTTTTTTAAGTAGTTAATTTTACATTCGTTATGGTTTATTGAAGAATTATTTCTGTTAAAATAAACTCCTAAAATCAGACGAAGTAAAATTGAAGTTGGAATTATTAGAAAAATTAAATATAAAGGTAGGTATCACCAAAAGAATATACAGTATCGTTTTATTCGTGTGATACCTGAAAATACTGATTAGGGTTCTTCAGTGACGATAAGGGTCCAGGTTATCTATTTCTTCCTTCGTTTTAAATTTCTTGAATATGAATAGCACTGGATGATTTTCTAGAACTGATTTCAATCTCTCTGAAATAGAATAGGGTTGTTTTGATTTCTTTGTAGACTACCACTTCTACTTTTTAAGGTTTTCTCGAAGACAAAACCATATGTTCCACTGAACTTTAGATGCATTAAACTTTGACTTTCATGTGTTCTTATTTCTTCTATACAGTTTAAGAGATGGAAAGCTAAAACCTGGTCTCGTCGTTTTTGTCTCTGATTTAATGTTTTTATCTCTCTGTGTTCGCAGCAAAATCATTGGATTAATTAAAAAGCTTGGAAATATGGACCGTATCAGCTTCTTGCCCGATGATTTCCTGTTGCATATACTTTCATTGCTTCCAACAAAAGATGTCTTGAAGACTAGTGTTTTGTCAAAGCGATGGCGGAATCTTTGGAAGTTGGTGCATAAACTCGAGTACATCGATATCAATAGCAATGCTGAACATTGGAAAATTGTGCAGTTCGTTGACAGGTCTTTGCTATTAAACAAGGCTCAAGTTTTAGAGAGTTTGCATTTCAAGTTAGATCGACAATGTAAGGACGTAGATATCGGGTTTTGGATTAGATTCGCGGTGGAACGAGGTTTGCGTGAGCTTAACTTCGATTATTGTTTCACGATTAGAAAGCCTAGCAGATTGCCTCAGAGCTTGTTTACATGTGTAACACTCGTGGCGCTAAAACTAAAAAACGTATCACTTGTGGATGCTCAGTTCCCAGTATGTTTTAAGTTGCTCAAAACGTTGCACCTAGTAGAGGTGATCTTCCGAGACGATGAATCTTCTCGGAAGCTTTTATCAAGATGCCCTGTTCTTGAAGTCTTGGTCTTGGAACGAGCCATTCATGACAATGTAGCTACCTTTTCTGTTATGCTGCCTTCATTGCAAAGATTAGTCTATGATTCAACCGGTTTAAAAGATGCTGCGTTGTTGATGTATACGCCTTCTTTGAAGTATTTCAAGATTGTTGATTTTAGTTACGAGTGTATGGTTGAGAATATGCCTGAAATTGTGGAAGCACATGTCGCGGTTACATGTAGCAACATTACTGATATCCTCAGATCTCTGGTACCACTCAAACGCCTCTTGCTATGTTTACCTTCTGAGGTAAGATTACACTTGACAGCAACAGCATATGTTCCTTATAGTATAATCGAAATACTTGTTAGTCTTTACGTTTATGTTGTCTTGTATTGCAGTCTCCGTTTCCTACTGGTACAATTTTTCATCAGCTAGTACACTTGGAGTTTTGCACTTGTGTAACAGAGTGGGATCTACTTATCAGTATGCTCCATCATTCCCCGAAATTACGATCTCTCAAGCTTAACGAGGTAAAAACATTAAATCTCTAGAAACTATGAAAAGCTTTCGTGGTTTTTCTCTAATGGTCTTATAATGCACCTCAGACCCATGGCCATTTTTCTGAAGTTCCTACATTTCATTGGGATGAACCAAGCATTGTTCCTGAAACGCTGATGTTCGTTCTTGAGACTTTGGAGTGGAGAAACTACAGAGGAGGGGATAGAGAGAGACAACTCGCGACGTTTATCTTGAACCACTCAAGGCGTTTGAAGATTGCTACTTTTTCCCCACATATCAGCCGGCTCAATAGACTCAAAGTGAAATATAAAATGATCAAAGAATTGGCGCACTCGTCGAGGGGTTCAACAGAATGTGAGCTTGTGTTTGGTTAAATGCTGGTGTGGGCTCTCTCATTCAGTTCCTCAATGATCCCATAGGAGTTTGGATTCATAGAAATATATATGGCCAATTCTGTTATTTCTTATGACTTTGGTATTGACTCTTGTAGACTTGTGGCTACAACCTTTTGGTATTGGCTCATAAGCTATATATTTATATCTCTTTACCTAAAGATTCTGAAGTTGAGTTTGAAGAAACATAAAAGTAGCTTAGGCATCCATATATATCAATCAATATATCATGATCAAACGTTTTTATGTTCGATCTTTTTTTCTTTTCTAAATCACATTTTTATTTTTTTATTAAAATACTTTTAGTTTATTCAGGTTTGATAGATCATTAGGAACACACACAGGTTTCGAAATCTATGTTGCAAACACCTTTTTTCGGACGACAAAAGTGTTTGCAATCACCGTCCGACAGGCATAGTGGCCCGACTTTTTCCCTTGACTCATTCATATCCGTTGACGGTGGCAGTGTTGGTGGGAGATTCTCACGAGCCGCCGTGACAAGTAGCCCTGTGTCATACAAGATAAATTCAGATAAGATAATTTTACCATGCAAAGATAAACAATAGTATGATGGAAATAAACAGATAAGATGAAATGGACAAATAAAACCAGACCATATGACAACATGATGTAGATTGTCGCAGCAGTCATAGCTACGTAGAAACTGATCTTTGTCATGTGTACTGTTTGTTGTGTTCTTATTTTCTTGTGATTATAACTGGAATGTGTTTTTTTGGGTTGTCTTGGCTAAATATTTTGTTGTGACTTTGGCCAACTTATTTATAGGCTAATGTGTTTGCTGTTACACTCTTATGACAAAAAAGTTAAGAAATCTAAATACTTTTTAAGGACACAATCTTCACTAGTTTATATCGCAAAAAAAACCCCATCATCAAAAGAAATAAATTCTAATTGATATCCCCAAGGCTATTAGGTGGATTATTCTCTCCAAATTATATATGGTTTTCTATCTTTTCTAGAAACATTTCTTCAGCTCAAATCAGAATGGTTTTAATTTTTGTGAAAGATGGCCATATGGCAATTATATAGTAAATTAAATTCAGGGCAACCGACAAATAGTAAATTTGACGATACTAGAAGCAAAAGAGTATTTGGCTGAGAAATAATAAATTTGTGTTGGAAGAAAAACGGTCAGGATAAGGAATGGATCAGATTAACACCTAACGTTACACCAACGAGAAGCACTCATGTATATGTATTTAACTTAGAGGTCGATTACAAGTTTAGTTAAATTAAAAGGTGTGATAAGATTATCATTGGCAGTAACATCCTCCAATTTCGTAGTTACAATAACCACCATTTCCACCGCACGTACTAAAACACATTTCGTCCGACCAGCATGGCGGTCCGCTATTGATCACTGCGTTTGGCGACCAACAAATGCATTTAAAGTTTTCGTTGCAAAGACCACCGTCTGAACAAACGTTTGTGCAATCCCTTGTTTGGACACATTCTGGATTATTCTCAAGGGATACCACCATTATAGCCAATAATACTTCTCTCCCATTTGCCAATAAAAGAAAAAAAAAACAAGAATCATCGACATAGAAACCAACTTAAAATGGCGAGGTTTTAATTCATTTTCTCTCATACGTACACGTGCATAGTGACGAAACACAAGATTTTGAAGGAAGGATAAAGAGATCAAACCAGGTGCAAGAAGAAGATAAGTGAGAGCAAAGAGAGCAGCAATGTGGAAAGTGGTCTTCGGCATTGGAAGTGTGCTTAATCGTCTAAATTTGGATAATTGAATCAAATAGTTATTTTATGTTACTCTATATATATATAGCATAATTGGGTTTAGCGAGATATTCGTGGGAACTAAAATCTCCTCTATTCAGATTTCAAAATTGACCTAGTTATTAAATCATGGGAATAAAACCCCATCTCACAACATTCTCAGTATATCCTTCCACATATTCCTAAATTTTATCAAAGTCTCAAGTTAAATAAATTGTTATTGTTACATGAGGTCCGGATAGCTATAAAAAAATAAAATAAAAAGAGTTGATCTACATACATTTGTACTATTTCATAGGCGTGCATGGCATGAAATGAATACATTGTACATTGGTATTGCATGTCATATCTAATCTTATTCGTGGCTCGGCTTTCATATTAGTTCCACGGGTACTGGTAGTTCATACTTTTTTTTTTTTTTTTTAGGCTTTCTATTTAAATGCAAAAGGGGGAAATAAAATTACAAAAGCCCAGCCCGGCTCTAGTTAATCGTTTATGGCCTTAGCCATTTAAAAAGAGGAGCAAAAGCCCAATAAACCCAAAATAGAAAAACACATCTAGAAGATCTTAGTGTGAACCTAGTAGGTGACAAGGCGATGGAATAGTGAACCGTCAGTAGGAGGATTAAGAGGAGGAGATCCATCGCTGAAACATAGAAGAAGCTAGAGCATGGTTAGAATCTCTGAAAGAAGCTATTCTGTTGCGAATGATCGAGTCAATGAGAAGCCTTAACGAATCAGCCGATTTGAAACTCTGTCGATGGAGTCGGTTGTTTCTTTCTCCCCAGAGCAAGTATAGAGAGCACTGCCATACCAGAAGCGAGAGGCGTTTATTCGCCCGTGGGCCAGTCAGCGCTTGAAGGTGATTGAGAGTTCGATCCCAGGAGCGATTAGGTTGGAGTCCACAACGAACAGCTACCGGTGCCCAAACAATCCAAGAGTAGCTACAATTGAAGAATAAATGATCCCGACTTTCCAATGAGTTGTTGCAGAGCAAGCATTCGGCCTTGGTTTGAAGCCCCCAACGAAGCATGCGATCTCTAGTAGGGCACCTATTCAGGACTAGAAGCCAAGCGTGGAAGATGTGCTTTGGGATCCCACCTGAGAACCAAACCACTTTACTCCAAGGGACAATAGGTGAATCTTCTCGCAGTAGGTGATATATTGCTCCCGTAGAGTAGCGGCCGTACGTCTTGCCCTCTAATTCCCATTCATAGTAGTCATTTTGATCATTCAGAGTCAAAGTAGTGAGGAAGGTAAGGAGAGAGACCTGGTTCTCAGTTCGGGCATGAGAAAGCATCCATTGTCCTCGTCGGTACAACTGTGACAAAGTAGTAGCAATTGGTATCCCCATTCTTGACCGGGCTGCACCAGTGAAATACTCCAATAGTTTGCCAAATGGAGACCAATTGTCAGTCCAAAACCTGCAGGTAAGCCCATTCCCTATTCGCATTTTTATCCAATCATACACAACGCCTCTATACTTCAGCAGTTTATTGGCCAACCAAGAGTAGTTTTGCCGTTTTTTCATTGTCCAGAAGTTGTTTAAGGAACCTTTGAGGAAGTGAAGCCTAAACCATGCAACCCAAACCGATCCTGACTGAAAGAAGAGGAGCCAAATAAGTTTGATGATAGAAGCTTTATTCCAAACATAGAGGTCCCTAATTCCCAATCCGCCTTGATCTTTTGGTTTAGTGACTGTTATCCAAGAGACTCTTGCCGTATAGTGACCTTCCAAAGAACCTTTCCATAAGTAAGCGTTGCAAAGAGATTGAATCTTATTTATACACGCTTTTGGAAGCAGAAAAGTTGAGCTCCAGAAATTGGAGATCCCAGCAATGGTAGTTCATACTTTTAAACCTTCAAAATTTGGTTTAATTCTTTCTGGGTGTGTGTAAATTATAACTAAGTCTAACCATCGACTTAAATATATAGCAATTCGCATACACCACATGGCTTAATCACTTTTGTCACCATCGTTACCACTTCGGTCCCAACTTCACAAACACTTTTTTCTTGCTATTAGGTCATTGGCCTTTTTTTGTATGATCTATACAGTTCTTGCTGTCTAGACGATCATTAAGAAAGTGTCAATGTTTTAGTTTAGTTATGTGACGAAAAAATTTAAATACAAAACTATTTAGTTGACACAAACAAACAAAAAAAACAAAGGTTCGTATGGGACTTGACTGTCAAAAAACATTAAGAGTGACCTCAGAGATCTTGGTGGTAAATATCATCAACTGAAGATAAGACTTCATCAAGAGTAGCAAATATTTTAATCACATCACCGGCCACATAACCAAAACAATACTTTAAATCCGAAGTATTAACATAAAAACATCAAAATATGGATATGATTGATGAGTCAAAAGTAGCTGGTTTAATATAATCACATCTTTCCCGTTATAGGGAAATCAATGGGAATCCGAATGATTTTTTTCATCATTCTCATAACCATCCAATCATAAAAAGTTCAAAACACAGAATTTCAAAAAATCCAATCCAACAAAATTCGATAGAAGAAGAGATTGATAGATGTATCTGCCTCTAAATAGCCTAAGCTCATTTTGGTAAAGAAAATTAGGTTCGTAAGAGGCAGAGCAAGCTCACGAAGGTAATTTACGTAAAGCTTACCGGACATATTATTACATATCCATCATCTCTTTCGCCTAACGATAGATTTCTTAATCCATTGCCAAAATAGATTTAAGAAATTTGCAAATTAGGCTTCCCAAGAAAAATCGAATTAAAAACCAAACATGCGGCGTAGAGAACAATGAAAAAGCTTTGTTTTGAATAGTTTGAAGGGGCAGAGAAGAGAAGATGAGTTTAAATATATATGCAATACTGAAAAAGGCGCAAAACCCTAGTTTGTTTGCACCTCATAGGCCCATTCTAATAAGCCCATTAATACTCAAGTTTAAAAGGTAAAAAGATGGCCCATGCAGGTTTCGAACCTGCGACCTTCGCGTTATTAGCACGACGCTCTAACCAACTGAGCTAATGGGCCTTTTTGTTTGCTTATCTGAATCAAACTATAAGTCTTTTAGATTACTTTTGCTCAAAATAAGCATGTGTAAGCGAAACTGCGTCGTTTTATTAAATTAGTGAAACTTGGTTTCTCAGACACTGAGCACTTGATTTTCTCGTGGCCAAATCTGTTTTCTCCGTTCATTCTCCGGTTCCGATCTCGAAGAAGATGAGAGTAGTTCTATTACCTTCCTCTGTCTCCGTCTCCTTGCAGCTATCCTTTCTTCTTCTTCTCCTTGTTTCGGCTATAAGATCGAACTCATCTCCCTTAAGCAATCCGTTTCTCGGCATTTCTCCTCAAGGTTTGGTTCCCTGCTCATTGGAGATCTGTGCTTCGTTTTGCTCGAGATCCTCCACCAAAATTACTCCGATTTGATCTTTTGTTTCTGCCCTTTTTTTTATATCTCGTTGATGTGTAGATGAGAAGTATTACAAGTCATCTTCCGAGATAAAGTGTATGGATGGATCAAAGAAATTCACAAAAGCTCAACTTAATGATGATTTCTGTGATTGTTCAGATGGAACTGATGAGCCAGGTTTGTATCATCATCCCAATTTCTCTGGAAAGCTCTTATCGTGTAGCTTTTTGTACGATATTGTGACTAGAGGATTTAACTATTTCAGTTTCGTTGGGAATTCAAACTGGTCATTGTAGTTATACTTTGAGTTTAGTGGAGTGGAATAAAGTTTTTGCTTTTTTTTTGGGATTATGTATGTGATGGATCATTTGTTTACTTTGCTCTATGTGTTGATAATAATCCAGGTACCTCAGCTTGCCCAAATGGAAAATTCTATTGTCGAAACGCAGGCCACTCTCCATTGGTTTTGTTTTCTTCCAGAGTCAATGACGGTATTTGTGGTATGTTACTGGACTTCTATAATACGGTTTACTTTTAGTTTCTGTTGAGCTTCTTCGTTTCAAGCTATGTGCTTTCAAATGCTATATGGAGGAAGATATTGTTGAAGAATAAAGGATTAATCTATGAGTACTTATGTTTTTTTTTTACTGTGGGAGCAGATTGTTGTGATGGAAGTGATGAATACGATGGTCAAGTGACATGCCCAAATACATGCTGGGAAGCTGGAAAAGCTGCTCGAGAAAATCTGAAGAAAAAGATCGAGACATATAACAAAGGACTTGTAATAAGGAGACAGGAAATCGAACAAGCGAAAGTAGGTCTAGAGAAAGATGCAGCAGAATTGAAGAAGCTGAAAAGTGAAGAGAAGATTCTGAAAGGCCTTGTTGAACAGCTGAAAGGTTTGCCGTTTCTTTCTTTGGATGCGTAATTTAATCTTTTTGTTGGATTATTTTGCAAATGGCATGAGAGTTGAGGTTTAGTTTTCATCTTAGAGAACTTAAATGGACATAAGTAGCAGTACCATGGGATAATCAGTGTATTCGATTGTGAAAGTGGAACCCTACATATTAGTGTAGTCGGATGCTTGATATGCCTCGGGATCAGTTCTTAAATTTTCTCTAACTACCAAAAGGAAAGGAAGAAAGTGAGCAAAACACATGATTTGTAGTTTACGTAGTGAAATTGATTAACTCCTTTTTTATGATGACTACAGATGATAAAGACAAAAATTTTCCGTTGTTCAACTTCTTTCTGTGATTTGACAAGTTTACATGTTTACATTTCCCTCGGATCATTACTTCTGTAGATCGTAAAGAACTAATTGAGAAGGTAGAGGAGAAGGAGCGTCTGCAGAAAGAAAAAGAGGAGAAGGAAAAGAAAGAGGCCGAGTTAGCAGCCCAGCAAGGAAAGGGGGATGCTGAGGTGGAGAAGACAGGTGAAAGTGAAAAAGTTGAAGAAAGCACACCTGATGAAGGGATGCCTGGAGTTTCACAGGACGATGAAAATCCTGGTGACACCATACATCATGATGAGATTGGTAATTACAAGGATTATCCTTCAGATGAGGTTAGTTCTTTTCTTGCAAACTGAAATAGATTTGCAGGCATCTTTGTACCTTTCTTTATTCTACTTTTTAAACAAGCTAAGGAGTCAAACCATGGAAGATGAGCTTATCATACCATTTGTCAATATTTTAGACCAATTTGGACCTCCTGCTCATTCATGAATTGTGAGGTCATGAAATAATTCAAGTTTTAATATGTGAGATGCTTGAAACTCTATTTTTTACTCATTGGCATCTAAACCTTGGCTTTTTTTTTTGTGCAAAAACCTTGGTTATCTTGAACTCATTCACATGACTATGAACCCTCGTCAATACATTCAATGCTTTTTATATTCTTGAGTTCTCATGTTTTGCTTTTGGGGTGTGTAATTCAAGCGGGTACTGAATTAGACTATAATTTCAGGAGCCAGCTGCTGAAGCTGAACCAACAAGTATACTGGAAGAGGCTACTCACACTGATCCAGCAGATGAGGTATGGAAATTTAATTTGATTCACATGCTTTTTCAAATGTGGTGCAGTCTGTTACTTTGAAGTTAGATGATGATATATGGTTGTTTACGATACAGCATGTTGTGGAGACAAAGAAGGAATCTACCTCATCTGAGGATTCCGTCACAGAAGGATCGCAAAATGATGATATTACCAAAAAGGAGGAATCAGACGAGGTTACACCATTTTCTTTCAGTTTCTGGCCAAGTGCTTACAGTTGTCATAAATCTGAGTATAGTTCTCTGAACTTCCGTGATGAGAATACTCTGCCTTTTTGAGACTTGTCTATTGCATTATTTCAATAACTCTTCCCAATCTGAGTTATCTCGGAGATTACTAAATTGCTGATTTTTCCCTGACGTCAAAGTACTCTACATTCTATTGATAGGAGGATCTTGTAACCGAAAAGAAGGAAGAGTTGTCAAAGGAAGAGTTAGGGCGTCTTGTAGCCTCTCGCTGGACAGGAGAGAAATCTGATAAGCCAACCGAGGCAGAAGATAGCCCCGAAGCTGATGATCAGGAAAACCATGACCACACGCCCATCACTCCACATGAAGTAGAAGAAGCTGATGGGTTTGTTTCGGATAGTGACGATACCAGCGATGATGGGAAATACAGCGACCATGAACCTGAAGATGATTCCTACGAAGAGGAGTATAACCATGATTCTAGTTCTTCATACAAATCTGATGCAGATGATGACGTCGATTTATCAGGTCTGCACTATTTCCACAGATAATTATATTATTGAATGATGTTAATCATCTATCATATTTAGTTGACATGATTGAATTTCTTTAATGGATAGAGACAACCTCAAATCCTACTTGGTTGGAGAAGATACAAAAGACTGTCAAGAACATTTTGCTGGCTGTGAATTTATTACAAACCACCCCAGTGGACAAATTGGGTAAAATAATAGTTTAGCATTTCCATTAATAGTATTGTGATACTCTTATTCTTTAGTGATACATCTATATCATTTTGGAATATGCAGAGGCTGATCGGGTACGGAAAGAATACGATGAATCAAGCTCCAAACTGAATAAAATACAGTCAAGGATATCGAGCTTAGAAAAGAAACTAAAACAAGACTTTGGTCTGTATGACAAGAAATCCTAAGCACTTACTTTTACCATTCTTTGAGTTAGTCCTTATATTTTTTTATTACAGGGCCGGAGAAAGAGTTCTATTCATTCCATGGTCGTTGTTTTGAGAGCAAACAGGGCAAGTAAGGATAATCGTAGCAGTTTAGTGTCATCCATTCTTTATTAGCATTATCAGGTATTATAATTATGGTTAGCTTAAGCATCTATTGTTATTACCTAAATATTGGTGTAGGTATACTTACAAAGTCTGCGGATATAAAGAAGCAACACAAGAGGAGGGCTATTCAAAAACTCGGTTAGGGTAAGTATCGTGCCACTCTATATTTCTGTGCATGCTGATCTTTTAAAGATAGATACACTAATAACAATATATTGGTTTCAAAGTTGACAATTATATATCAGTAACTTATTTATCTTTGTTTATATATATATATATATCCCTCTATGCTTCTTTATTTTGTTTCTCTGTTATGGGATTTGCTATAATAGGGATTGGGACAAATTTGAGAACTCTTACCAACTCATGTCATATACCAACGGAGACAAGTGCTGGAACGGTCCTGATAGAAGCCTTAAGGTAAGTGTTTGGGTCCAAGTATCTATAGAAAATAATCAGAGCGTCCAAAGATCACAGACCTTAAGTATACAAAACTTGATGAGTTCACTAAATGCAGGTGAAACTAAGATGCGGGTTGAAAAATGAGCTTATGGATGTCGATGAGCCAAGCCGTTGCGAGTAAGTTCTTGTCTTGGTTACATCTCACGGGTCATCATCCCCTTTTGTCTCCATTTTTTCTATTTCTATCCTTTAATTCATACTCTTGTTACAGATATGCGGCAATCTTATCTACTCCAGCTCGGTGTTTGGAAGACAAACTAAAAGTAAGTTTTTTTTGTGTCATCATCTCGAATCACAAAGCAGACCTACACTAGTTAACACTTCCTTAACCTGGTGTTTCGTCTTGGTTTTTATAGGAACTACAACAGAAGCTGGAGAAGTTGATGAACCAAGACAAACCACAGAATCACGACGAACTCTGATCATTTTCACCTGAAATAATTTTTACCAGATGCACACACTGCGCTTAGATTTATGTCAGTTAGACTAGTAATCTTGCTCAGTCTCAAACGTCAAGAGAGGAAGACTTTTTAAAAAAAAAAAAAGAGAGAGAAGTTTTGGGTTGGAAGAGAATGATAGAGTCAAGTTTACATCATTTGTGTTCGATGGAGATTATAAATATCAAAAAGTATTTTCGACAAACGTTCAAACTTTGGTTAAAGCGCAAAGAACGATTCTTCGATGTAAGAAACACGAAGAAGAACTAAATCTTGTCAAGCTTCTAGAGTCTTTGAATTATTCGGGATTATACTATACGTCCATTACCAGTACCTAGTCCTAAACAAGTGTTAGTTTGGTTTTTAATTTTTCTGATGCTCTTTTAATTATAAGAAGATTCTATTACCAATAGAGACAAAACTCGAAAATAAGAAATTATTGCAGCTCAACACTAATCATGTGTAAACAAATGATAAATCTATAAATTATTATAGTTTTTCCATTTTTTGATATAAATTCTCTAAAACCATGTGTAATCAAATGTTAAATCAACTGTAAATATTGACAATAATGTGCATTTAAAAGAATTAAAAATATCATTAAGAAGATACTTTATGGTATTCGAGAAAAACAAAAAACCTTGGCCCGACAACAGATCGAGAAGGCATAAAAAGGTAAACGAAAACGAATATTATTATTATTAGTGAACAATGTGCGTCCCGGCAAATTAAACCGATGGGTAATAATCAAATTTTGTTGACCAAATCTAAACCAATGACCTGAATTTTACATTTATTCATTTCATTTTTTTTTCACCTCCAAAAGTCAAAAAAAGAGAAGAGAGACTCTTCACTTGTTCATAAATCTCTCTCTCCTTTCATTTCTCAGATTCTCTCTGTGTAATTTTCCTTGTTCTCCAAGCCAGATCTCTCTCCATAAATCTCTCTTCATCTCTCTCTCTCCACTAACCATCCGCGATCCTTGCTTCTGCGTCCTTTTTTTTTGTTTGTTTCTTCACTCACTTTACTTAGCGATGTCGATGATGATTGAGCAAAGGCCGAAGACGAAGATCGTTTGTACTCTCGGTCCAGCTTCCAGATCCGTTCCCATGGTCGAGAAGCTTCTCAGGGCTGGTATGAACGTTGCTCGCTTTAATTTCTCTCATGGATCTCATGAGTATCATCAAGAGACTCTCGATAATCTCCGTCAAGCTATGCTTAACACTGGGATCCTCTGCGCTGTTATGCTCGACACCAAGGTTCGATTTCATCAGTTTCTTTTTTTTTACAGATTCTTTGTTTAACTTTTGCGGTTTTGGGCTCTGTTTCTGATTCCAATTTTATCCTTCTTTGACTCTGATTCGACTGTGATCTGGAATTCTAGGGTTTCTAGATTTTTTTTTGGGTTTATTCTACTTTTTTATCTGAAACACTGACGGTCTATTTATTTTTGCTTTTGTATAAAATGTTTTCGTTCATGCCTCTTTTATAGACATCTATGTTTTGTAAATGGTTTCTGTTTTTTTGTCTATTTATATACCATATTGTTCCTTTGATAGATTTTGTTTCTTCTTATATATCTTTCAACTCTGCTAATGAATAATTCTTACTAACCTCACTCTCATGACTCATGATGTTTTAACTTCTGGGAATTACTAAATTTGTTATTGAGAGTTATGAATCTAGATCTGTGAGGCTCGTATCGTAATTGTTTCTACTGAGTTAGACCAAACAAGTGGAGAAGAGTAAAAGCTTGTTTGGGGACTAAATGTAGCAATTATGTTAGTATTGAGATCTCAAAAAACTAGGTTAAGGTATTAGATACAATATTGATAGATGATCTAGAGTCAGTATGTGGAGAGTGGTGACAGGCAATGTTCTTCAACTGCTGATAGATTTATTAGAGTCAATATTGATTATGGTTTTGTGGCCAGAGAAGAAGTTATAAAATTCAACTCTATGAGTGGATTTTAAATTTAATTTGTTCGCTCAACTTGTTTCTGTATATGTAACGTCACACGTGCTTCAAGAGACAGGACACTTATAATTGTAGAGTAAGAAGAAAATTGGTGTTGATAAACAATGTCCTTGAACTGTTTCTCTCTTGTCTATGATTATGTTGTTTTTAAACAGAGAATGTCATTTTGTGTGAAGTAAACGTTCTTACCAAATTTCAGTTGATACTCTTAACCTGATTTGTCTTTCAGTTGAAGATTTCTCCAGTCATCATATGTCTTGTGTATGTATAGTGTCAGATCTATGTGGTGTTTCCATTATGCTGATCGAGGGTTGTTTTTCTTTTCTCTTATAAAGGGCCCAGAAATCCGAACCGGGTTCTTGAAAGATGGGAAACCAATTCAGCTGAAACAAGGCCAAGAGATCACCATTTCGACTGACTATGACTTGAAGGGTGATGAGAACACCATTTGCATGAGCTACAAAAAGCTGGCTGTAGATGTCAACCCAGGAATGGTCATACTTTGTGCTGATGGTACAATCTCGTTACTGGTTCTCTCTTGTGACAGAGAGAACGGTACAGTCCGTTGCCGGTGTGAGAACAGTGCAATGCTCGGTGAGAGAAAGAACGTTAATCTCCCAGGTGTTGTTGTGGACCTCCCAACTCTAACTGAGAAAGACAAAGAAGACATCATGCAATGGGGAGTCCCAAATCAAATCGACATGATTGCTCTGTCTTTTGTCAGAAAAGGTTCAGACTTAGTCCAGGTCCGGAAACTGTTAGGAAAGCACGCAAAAACTATTCTTCTCATGTCTAAGGTATGCTAAATTAAAATTCTCTTTCTAGTTCCGGAAACTACAGGGTGAAATCCTTAGGTTGTGACTGTTTTTGCTATCTTCTTTATGATCGATTAGGTTGAGAACCAAGAGGGTGTGGCAAATTTCGATGACATTTTGGTCAATTCGGACGCTTTCATGATTGCCAGAGGAGATCTGGGCATGGAAATCCCAATTGAGAAGATCTTCTTAGCCCAGAAGGTGATGATCTACAAATGCAACATCCAGGGGAAACCTGTGGTCACAGCAACTCAGATGCTCGAGTCTATGATCAAGTCTCCTCGACCCACAAGAGCAGAAGCCACAGATGTTGCAAACGCCGTCCTCGATGGTACAGACTGTGTCATGCTCAGTGGTGAAACTGCAGCTGGAGCATACCCTGAACTAGCTGTCCGTACAATGGCTAAGATCTGCGTGGAAGCCGAGAGTACCCTTGACTATGGAGATGTCTTCAAGAGGATCATGCAGTACTCTCCAGTTCCAATGAGCCCACTCGAGTCACTCGCATCCTCAGCAGTCAGAACCGCTAACTCAGCTAGAGCCACTCTCATCATGGTCCTGACCAGAGGAGGAAGCACAGCAAGACTTGTGGCTAAGTACAGACCAGGAATGCCTATTCTATCTGTCGTTGTTCCAGAGATCAAAACCGACTTCTTCGACTGGTCTTGCAGCGACGAATCCCCCGCGAGACACAGCCTTGTCTTCCGCGGTCTGATCCCCGTGCTCTACGCAGGGTCTGCTAGAGCCTCACACGATGAATCAACAGAAGAAGCTATTGAGTTTGCGACTCAGTACGGAAAAGAAAAAGAGCTGTGCAAGACTGGAGACTCTGTTGTTGCTCTACTCCGAGTCGGTAATGCTTCTGTGATCAAGATCTTGACCGTCAAGTGATGATTCTGATGAAATCAAATCACGTTTTTGGCGTTTGGGGAACGCTCCTATAAACGTTTTATTACGGACTTATTCAAGATTGTGATTCAAATCTTGAGATAGAAAACTCAAGTTCTATTTTTTTTGCTTATTACCACTACTCTCTATTGTGACCGGGTGAATCCACTTAACAGCTCCTTTTGGGATATTTTAGTTGTATGGAAACTATTGGATCATACACGTATCAATATCATGATTTCTTTTTGTTTCCAAGTACTATTTCTTATGTATACATATACGCCAAATATAATGGTGAAACATTGTTCTTATTCTTAAAAATGACAGGGCATGAAGACAAAAAGAAGACAGCGCATGAATCATCGCCCCATACATATATCATTCCGACAAAGACTAATCATTATCTCCATTGTAAAAATTTCATCATTATTTGGGGCTTCAACTGAAAAATATGATTTTCATATTTGGAACACTCAGTTTTAAAAAACAAAGATAATGGAAACACACATAATTTGATCATCTCTGTACAAAGTCTTAAAACATGAAAGATTGAATCATCATCGCCTAGACGCCCATACAATGTTTTCATTCCGACAAAGATTCAATCATTCTCTCTATTTTGTAACATCTCCATCATTATTTGGACAGCAATTGACAGACACTAAGAAGACTCAGTCTTGAAAGCAAAAACAATGGAAACACACAAACTGAATTTGATCATCTCTGTACAACAACAATGGATTTGTTTTGTTCCAACAGTCTGAGTGAAAGAACATCATTTTTTATGTACATAAGAAAAGCAGAGAATGAAATGCAGAGTACATAACAAATTTAAGAGCTAGAAAATGAGAAACTTGAGAGAACAATGAAGAAGAACAAGAACAATAACAAAACCCAACATTTTCAGGTTTTGGATGTTTTGTTTTCAACGAGAAGAACCAGATGATCTTGAGTAGAAATTGTTCTCACCAGATTGTGATCCAGAGGATGAAGAAGACGACGAAGAAGAAGAAGACGAGAACAATCCACTGAACGGCCATGGAAACGAAAACCGTCTTCCATTTCCACTCCTCGCATCGTCCTCTCTTCCTCGTTCCGCATTTCCAACATTCTCAACAACGTTTCTGTTATTGGTTTCCCGAACAATTCTTGTTCTAGGCGGTCTCTCGGAATCAGTCTTTGTCTCATCATCATCATCAGCAGTAGAAGGAAGCTCGAAACGACACACGGGACAAGAACTGTGAAGCTCAAGCCAGGGAACAATACAGCGGATATGAAACTTATGCTTACACGGCAACTCTTTAGCTTCTGTTCCTTTCTCAAAATCATCCAAACAAACAGAACACTGCAACGGTTCCATTATCTTAACCGTTGGTAAAGCTTCAACCGCTTCTTTACGAGCAGGTGGAGTCCCTTGCCTATTAGGATCATTCTCAGCCAAATGCTGAAGCAAAAGATCTAGTCCAGGTCCAATGAAGTAATCTCCAAGTGAAGTCAATGAAGGATGGTTCTGAGTCCGATCCGAAGACCCCTGAACAACGACTGATTGGTTATACGGATTGATCATTATAACTCTATTGTTGATGTTCCCATCCCTCTCTCCAGAACTCTCCCAATTGTTATCAGAGCTTTCATACTCAGAAGCAATCCCAGCACGTATCCCTTGAAGCAACTGCAATATATTCCCGGAGCTTCTTCGTCTTCTCCTCAAGATAGATTCAAACTCTCTATCCAAATCAATCTCTCCACCATGTCGCCTAGCTCGATGATGACGATACACATTACTGATATTCCCATCAACATTGTTCAACTCATCACCACCATTATCATCAGTATCTTCACCAAACTCTGATCTCCTGAACCTTCTTCGTCTCCGAGGACTACTCATCATTCCAAGCAAGATAGGAGCCCATAGAGACAAAGCACGGTCTGTTCCAAAATCTGTTTCTGAATCCTGGACATCTCTTATACCTCTGCCACCACCACCACCTCCATTGCCATTACCGCTCATTTCTTCAATGAAACCGCTTTGACAAAAGGGACATTTGATCTCAGATTCCATTATTGGATTCACCATTTGTGAACACATGTGACACCAATACCTAGCTGCCATTGTTTCATCCATGTCTCTCTCAATCCTTCAACCCTCAAATCTCTTGGTTCTGCAAACAAGAAAGAACAAACAGAGATAGATTTAAAATTCAGATCTAAGACCTCTATAAAGTTTATAACTTTCAACAAATAAGTAGATTTTGTCATTAATATCCTAAAAATTAAATGATTTTGACCAATCAAATTAGGATAAGAACATCTTAAAGAAAATGAGAGGTAAAGGTAAGACTTTTTTAAAAACAAATTTGGATAAAATCCAAAACCAAGAATTTAACCCAAAAGAGAGAAAAAAATCTCAAGAACCCAGAATCTTGTTAAAGATCAAAGAGGGAAAACAAAACCCTTGAAAACAAAAAAAAAGCAATCAAATTTCTTACTTTTTTGTCTTCCTTTCTCATATATTTTCTCAAAATAAAAGAAACACAATCCATGAATTAGAAAAAAAAGAAAAAAAAATCATACCTTTAAAATGTCTCTACACTATTTCTTGAAAACCCAAGAAACAATATTTTTCAAATCTCTTCTTCCTTCTTTGGATTCCTCTAGAGAAATTTTGTTAAAGAACCCCAAAGAAAAAGTCTCAACTTTTGTAGAAGGGTTCGAGAAAAAACGGAGAAGGAAAGAAAGAAAGAGGAAATGAAGAAGAAAGAGTGGAAGGAAACAAAAACAAAAACAAAACAACACAACCACGTCCTCCTCTCCGGTCTAAACACCCAAACTCGTTCCCCTTGTTTCCTCTTTACTTTATGTCCTTTTCTTAATTAGCATTTATCATTATCATCTTTCATTAATTAAAAAAGAAACTATTAATCAAGTTTTATAGACTTTTTTTTTTTTTTTTGTTAATTATAGTCTTTCGCTTCCTTTACAAATTTAATCAGTAGCCAGCTGATTCTCAACGCCTCTGTGGTCTTCGTTTTATTGAGTTTTCTTCGTTGGTTATATTGTAATGACTAGTTGCAATGGGGAATATAAAGGTATCTTCTTCTATGTAAATTGTATGTAAATATTCGTTTGATGTAGACTTGTTAGATTAATAATAATGAAAATTTGTACGTTTTCTCCAACTTTTATAAATTAGACGCGTGAGCTTCATTTTCAGAATTGGGCCCTAGTGTGTTATTTCCATTACATCTTCAATAATGTTGTTTGTATTCACAAACTAACTGACATTGTTTTCAACATAATATTAACGTACGTACCAAAAGCTTATCCAATAACTCTCTAAATCAAACACCAACCAAACAAGAGATGTTATTTGACAGAGTTTGACCATAGCTTAGGCTAGCTTCAATCAAATAGTAGCTGACAAGTTGGTAAACACGTACATACGTAGTTTCAAGGTCACAATAGCATACCGCATCATCTCCTCGTAAGTGTGACTGTAGAATTTTTACTAGGAGTAACAATCTCAATAACCAGCTTACGCACAAAACGACGTCTAGCTATAATTCCAAGCCATACTCCAATATCAACAACATTACAAGAATTGACTTTTGGGAAAAAAAAATTACATTACAAGACTTTTGACCAAGTTTGAAACGCGAAGTTTTTATAACTAGTGCCACATGCAAAACAAAAGATCTGAATTTATAATTATTTTGGTCTACATACCATTTATAATTAATGTACATATACAAAGAATTAAAGATTAGCTAGTAATAAGTTGTATTACTGTATTTCTTCATTAGCTTAGCTTTTGGTTTGTATAAGTGCACCACACGCTTATTGATTGGTTGAAGCGGCCTCGCATTTGAATCTGAAGCCTGTAAGGTATCAAGATGATAACAAATTTGAAGGTATCCTTGAGTATTTTATAGCCATATATATTGAACCGGAAAAAACAAACACACTTACATCGTGTACAGCTACACGGAGAAGTTTCACTTGTTTTTTTGTCACAGTGCGAATCTGAAAATTCATTAAAACATACAAGAGATTTATATATATTTAATTACGTAATCTATATTATAATAGAAATAAGAAATTGAAATGAAAAAAAAAAAAATTTGGAAGGGATGAAAATATATAATTAGTACTATGTATATATATATATACATACCACTTTGGCAACGGACCAAATAACATTTTCAGAACAGGGAGGAGCTGTAAGTGATCCGACATATCTATAATAATGTTTTGTTTCAAAACTGAATTTTTTAGTATCAGTGATTCCGACATGTTCCTCGGCCTCATGTGTATCAGTTATCTTCTTCAACTGTTTGTCCAACTAATAATCAATAAAAATAAAAATATAGAATTACTAATGTTTCTTTTGATTGGTAGTAATCCATGATTTTGATTATAAACCGTTACTAGCTAGGAATTAAGGTTAAGATTGCAATAATACCGAAAGGAGAAAAGGGTCAGATGCTCCTATGTTGTATAAGAAAGCAACAACAGCGTAGCGTTCATCTTCGCTCTCGTGCACCAAGTGTTTCTCAAGCGCATACCTATTTATATTTATATATTGTTTAATCTCAAATAATTAACACGTATAACTAAATTCATAACAGTGAGATAATGATTTTTACGTTAATAATTAAGACATGGCATAGAATATATAACCTTTTGCCATTGATTGTATGTTCGGAAGGAGAATGCCAATGAAGCTGTTGAAGTTTATATCTAGTGCCATTGACAGTGACGCCTATACCTTTGTTTCCTCCTTTAAACTTTAGCTGCCACAGTCACCAAAAATGTTCTTATGACCAAAAACAAAATTTTATAACCAAAGAGAGTTCGAATGATTATTAATTAAAAGAAAGAAAATATATTAGAAAAATGGTGTGGTAGTTAGAGATATACGTACGTACCATGATATCATGACCTCTGTTCTTAATGGTGGTGTTAGAAGGCAGATACTGGCTACGAAGAGATCCAAGTCTATGAGTAACGACGACATTTTTGTCCCTAAGATCAATCGGAGATTGCATTTTGCCTTTTCCACACATTTTCCACTCTTCCTTTAGTGTTCCCCATTTCGCTGGCCCCTTCTTTCCTTTCTTCTCGTAGCTAAACTCCGTTTCGTCCTCTATTCCAAATTAAACAAATCGATATGTTTGTATATATGTGACCCTATAAACTAAATTTATATGTCACTGAAGGTGAACGAACATATTTGTACTAAGAGGGGTGTATTCAAAATGGAATTTTAAGAGATTTGAGTTTTATTGGGGTTTTAAATGATTTTGATGATTTTAGGGAAGTTCATATGACTTTTGTAAAATCCTTTCAAATCTCACCAAAAACTATGGGATTTGGATTTCTGTATTTTTAACTAAGGAAATCCTCCCAAATCCTCTGAAATCCTTCAAAATCATTAAAAGCCAAATCCACAAATTGTTTTCAATAACAGTGGATTTTAATGTGGATTTTGAAATCATTAGTTGAATAACAGTGGATTTCATGAGACTTTTTAAAATTCATGTTTGAATAACAGTGGATTTGTAAACTTTTTACAAATCACTTGAAATGTCACTTTGAATACACCCCCCTAAAAACCTACTAAAAACAATAATATAGCTTGCTTACCAACTTCTCCACCTGGTGCTGGTCCTGGTGCAGGTTTAGGTTTAGGTGCTGGTGCAGGCTTAGGTTTAGGAGGTTTAGGTGCTGGCGCTGGTGCAGGCTTAGGTTTAGGTGCTGGTGCTGGTTCAGGCTTAGGTTTAGGAGGTTTAGGTGCTGGTGCTGGTGCCGGTGCAGGCTTAGGTTTAGGAGGTGCAGGTGCTGGTGTTGGTGCAGGCTTAGGTTTAGGTGGTTGACTCGAAACAATGGTAATAGAGATGAAGATAAGGACAAAGACCCAACCTACTGATGATATCTTCATTTTCTTATGCTATGCCTTGAGGAGAGAGATGAAATAAGATTCAATGTTTGTTGTTTTTCAAGGTAAATAAGTAAATATCTTACAACGAGGTCTAGATGACGAAAGAAGAGTTGTATACATAAACAAAACTCAATGCATATGATGTGATTTGTTTATTTATTTAAGTAACTTGTGGAGAATCTACTTTAAATCGGCTGGATATTTATGTGTTTATGTAACTCTCTTTAAAGTGGTTCATAATGTAAATTAATGTATCATCCTTCTCAAGAATAGACAACCAAAAGCAGTTTAACCACAACAGAAAGGATAATATATATGTTACAGAGATGAAGTACACAAAGACCCCATAAATGATTGAATGCATCGTGCATGCGGAAGAATGAAGATACACCAAGGAATTAAACTTATTAAATATACTTCTTTTTCCGTATACTTTATTTCTTCTCCTTAGAACAAAACCATAAGAAACTCAAATATGCTAAATTTGGCTGAGATAAAAATAACAACCATAACAAGATGTTTACTTGACAAATTGAATTTTAACTACTTTAATCAAATGAAACTAACAAGTACGTGATTGCCTTGGCCACAACGACAGCTCTTTAAGGATATCTCAATTACTATATTGTTTGTTTCTCTTCTGTTATTCCTTATTATTTTACCCATATCTCATTGAAATCATCAACACTTTGATCAAACAAAAAAACATATTCTAACTAGCTTTGTGACAATTTTAATTATCTCCTCTAATTAATCAAGAGGTGTTTAAATCACCACAGGTAAGCAAACTGTTAATTTTTTTGGAAAATAGAGATCCTTTCATTCTTTTAGTATGCCCGGAGCAAGAACTTAAAATTTTCAAAGAGCTAACTATAGAAATCATAAACAACTAAAAAGTTGTAACATAGCTTATCTAAAGCTGACCATTACCTCAGCTGAATGCAAGCTGACAAATTGGCGAATATCTTGGCAATAATGACAACTCCTTGTGCATCTCAAGTTTCTTGTCGTCGTCAATAGACTTAGAAGGGATAATAGTTGCCTTCTTTAAACAGATTGCACTTCTTAAGATGAATGCCGCCATTTCTTTCTCTTCTATTCTTTGAGTATAACATTCCCATTTGAAGGTTTCAAGGCTGTATAAAAGACAATTAGGTATCGAGCTTGGTTCACTCCAGCACGGTCGCGATTGGTCATTTCGAAGGCAATGGACCTGAGATAAACGGTATAGGAGTATAGTGGAACATATTAATCTTACTGTTATAGTACTAGAAAATAAATATATACTATCATTACCTGTTCAATCTCGAGAACTTGTAAATTAGGGGAATTTCTGAGCATACGCATAAGTAGACTCAGCCACTCAGCCAAACATGTGCATATCTTTAGATATACAAGAAGCTTGAAGATACTACCATGAGGGTAGGACACGTTCTGGTTAAGGGACCATATAAGTACACAAGCAATATCGATTTAGTCCCCAATATCAGATTGCAATAAGCTAGCTAATATAAAACAACAACATACCTTTGACTTTGAGCTTGGTAAGCAGAGATGGAGATACTTGGCTAAAGTTATAGAACCCAAAATTTGCTCAGTTTGGGAATGAAAAATGTCAACATTTGCCTTCACGATGTTAGGCATAACATTCTCGACGATGTGAGAACCCTGAGAATATTCAACAACATCCAAGAACTCCAAAGCAGGAGTGTCTAAAATAAACCCACTAGCTTTGCCTTTTTTTAGTTTTTGGTGCAAGACTAAGCTCTTTAGAGAAGGCACTCTAACGCTCAACATAACCACATTGTCATCGAGGATTTGTTCCACAACCAAGTCTTCAAGAACTCGACAACTTGATATAAGCCTGTTGACAAATTCATCATTTGGGTACTTCATGGATTCGAGACTCATTTTTTTGAGAGATGGGAAATAAAATGGGGAAGAAACATCATCCAAAAAAATGGCGTTCCTTAGTTTCAATGTCACAAGCATTTTGCAGCATGTAAACAAGCTCCTAGGAAGTGTTACATGAATATGATTACTAGAAGAAGTATCAATCTCGATAACCAGCTCATGCACAAAGTGTTTATCCGCACCTCTAACCAACACTGGTATACCTCCACTATCACATGTTTTTCCAAGTTTGAAGTGCAAAGTTTCTAGTACCGGAGCCTTGTGCAGCAACAACGACTTGCCCACAAAGGTCGAAAATCTTCCATAATCAAGATCCTTAGAGCTATCAATATCGTACACAAGTTTTGGCACAAACATCCAAAGATTCTTCCATCGTTTGGACAAAAACATTGTGGCCATAACATTTTTAACAGTAGGAAGTGACGACATCCCAAAAGAAGGTCATCATGCAACTGACTTATTCTATCCATAATTAAGAGCTTTCGGCATCCGCAAATATCTGAAAGCCTGAAAACATTAAGAAAACAAAAAAAGACGAACTCAGTGATCTGAGATTCTCAGTAACCAGACAAATAGACAAAACAAGGAAGCAGTGTTAAAGCAAAACCCTAGCGAGGGGTTTGTAGAAAGAGAAGCAAACAAAATCCAAACTCACTAATGTTGTACTTAGGATTTGCTCAGGTGCGCACAAATAGAAAACGAAAGCAAACAAAATCAAACAAGACGAGAATCAGCATTACCTAAATCCTCATGCGTGTGCTTTAGGAAAATACCTAAGACGTTATATATATATATATATATATGAACCACGAATCCCCGAATGCTCAACCGAACCAAAAACAATTGGTAAACCGAAAAGTCAAATCGAATCTAAATTTGATTACACTGTAGCCATGACGTTATTCGAGCTAGACCAGGATAGGAAACGAGTGGGCATGGGTTTAAAGCAAATTCAGTAATCATTATTACAAAAGATTTTATTTTCTTTAACGATAGATAAAATTATAAAAATTACAGAACAATTCAACAAAAGATCACAAAAACGAAAAAAGATAATATAGTTGTTCATTGTGTTTCTTTCTTACTAACCAACGCAACAACGTACTAGAGCAGAAAACATAAGAAAGTTGTTTGTTAAAGAACACATAATAATTCATGTGTTTAATAAGATTCAGACCAAACCACTAGAAAACTGAACATTAATTTCTTCACCCTCGGAGCTGAACCAGTAAACTCAGTCAAACGAAATCTGACAAGCAGGAGAACTTCTAGGCAAAAACGACAACTCTTTGATCATTACAAGTTTGTCGCGGTCGTAGCTGGTGGATTCAGGTTTTATAGTAACCTTCTTCAAACAGCTTCCGAATCTTAAGAAATACGACGCCACTTGTTTCTCTTCTTCTCTTCCTTCATAATCTAACCATTCGAGAGTTTCAAGATTCCCGGACACACATTCAGGAACAGAACTTGGTTCACTCCAGTAGACGTTACCTCCACGGTTATGGTGCTGATATAAATTGACGAGATGTAATTAAATGCAGTACATTATATCAACATACAGTAAATACTTAGATAAGTACTAGGAGGGAATACACACTAATCATAAAACACTCAGTGAAACTGGTTTGAAATACATACCCGTCCAAGTTCGAGAGCTTGTAATTTATGTGAATCTTTAAGCACACGCATAAGTAGATTCAACCATTCTGTCTCACATGTGCATATCTTTAAACGTACAAGACAGGGGAAGATACTACTAACAGGATAAGCATCCTGCAAAATTAAGAGACGTACACTAACTGATATATTCTCATAAGCAATGGTTAAAACAACAACTCGCAATTGTAACAAGAAAAATACCTCTGTTGTTAGTAAACATAAGTCGAGATGTTGGACTGAAGTAATACAACTCAGAATAGTCCGAGGAAGAGCATAAGAGACGTCAATATATGCATCTACAATATTAGGCATATCATTCTCGATGACACAAAACCCACCCGTACCATCACGTAAATGAAAGCACTCCAGATTAGGAGCATCTATCATAAACCCATGAGCAAAATCTTCAACTCTATCATCTGATGTATGCAAGGCTAAACTCTTGAGAGAAGCAACTTTAACGGTGAGAATGGTCACATTGTCATCTGGACATTGGTCCACAACCAAGTCTTGAAGAGCATGACAATTTGATAAAAGACTGTTGACAAACTCGTTGCCTGGATACGTCACGGACACAAGTCTCAAAGTTTTGAGGGATGGGAACGAAACTGAGGAAGAAACATCCAAAAGAATCGCATTATTTAGTTTCAATGTAACAAGCATGCTGCTCTCTGTGTACAAACTCCTTGGAAGAATGGCTGGTGATGCACGAGAAGAACTGTCGATTTCGATAATCAGCTCACGCACAGAGAATTTATCCGCAGCTCTAATCCATACATGAAGATCTCCAGCACCACAGATTTTACCAAGTTTGAAATGCAAAGTTTCTAGAGCTGGAGCCTTGTACAAGATCAAAGACCTGTCTACAAACCGCGAAAACCTTCCATAGTCAATATCCTGATGGCTATCATCGTACAAAAGCCTTGGCACAAACATCCAAAGAAACTTCCATCGTTTAGACAAAACCATTGTGTCCACAACATCTTTAGAAGTAGGCAGTAGTGATAATATTCTCAAGAGAAGTTCATCAGGCAATTGACTTATCCTATCCATACTACTCCAAAGCTAACATTAAAAACTTAAAATTAACTTTTTGTGTCTGTCCTTTCACTGAATAATCCTGGAAAATAAAATAAAAAAAATTACAAAGCAATGCAAGGTTAAAGTAAACCAGTACTAGCGAGGTACGACACAGAGGAAAATAAAATCTAAACTCACCTGGAATGATTATTGTTTGAACTCTCTCCTCCTTCAAACACAAAACAAATCCACTATATGAGTCGATCAAACAGATTGCAAGTGTTTTACAAGAAGATTTCTCACTCTCTTTAAACCCTCGGATATGAAGAACGCTAACCCGAGAACCAAGATAACATCATAACACTAAGGAAGACGAAGGATATAGAAGAAGATTGCTCAATCTCTCTCTCTCTCTCTCTTGCCCTTACATTAATGCAGCAAGAGACCTATTTAACCAATGAAGCTTATTACCGAGGGAGAATATGAAGAGACTCGGCACCTTCTATCTTAACTAGTGTCTTTCCTTTTTCCCTTGGATTATCCGAACCGTCTAATTCGTGTAGAGAAGTTCACACACTTGGCGGCCTTGATTGGGCTCTACTTTTTAGAACAAAAGGAAAAATATCAAACCGAAAAACAAAAGCCCAGTTTATCTCAACTAAAAAGGCCTTTTTCCCAAATAACTCTCCAATTTTAAAATTGTTAAGATAAATTATCTAAACTTTTTTGTATAACTCATGAGTCCGAAGACATTTTAGATCCAAAGACTAATCTCCTGGAAGGAAAAAACTATGTTAAAACTTTTGTAATTAGTGTGAAGTTACAATCATATTGTTCAAATTATTAGATGTTTTTGCAAAGGGTTTACACAAATATCAAATTTTAAAAAAATATAAAAGACATGATGATGTTGATGTGTATAGTTTTGTTAATTGGAAGGAAAACATTAACAAGTTTGGAGAATTGATCGTAAAAAGGGAGTTTTAGCAACAACAAAAATATGATAGTTTTAGGTGTCACGATTTTTGTTAAGAGTTGGTCATATTGTTTGTACTGAAGTATCTGCTATTAAATGAAGTGAACGATGAATGTGTACCCTCATTAAAGCAAGGACGCAGGGTCAAAGCAAAACCCTATAGCGAGGTGTATGTAGAAAGAGAAGCAAACAAAATCCAAACTCACTAGCTAATATTATACTTAGGATTTCCTCATGTGCTCAATGAAGCAAACAAAATCAAACAAGACGAGAATCAGCAGAAAAGAATTAGCATATTTACACTAAATCTTCATGGGATTGCTTTAGGAGAATACCTAAATGAAACTGGTTTGAAATATGAACCATGAATCCCAAATGCTCAACCGAACCAAAAAATTGTTAAACCGAAAAGTCAAATCGGTTCTAAATTAGATTACAACAAGTACTGTACTTGGGATCATAATACGAAACCTTTACGTACATGCTTGATAATTCTCAAAAAGTTTTTTTTTTTTATCGATAGATACAAATTCCAGAAGAATTGAACAAAAGATCATAAAAAACTAAGAAAGATAATATAGTTGTTCCTTATGTTTCTTTCTTTCATACCAACGCAACGACGTACTAGCTAGAGAGCAGAAAACATAAGACGCTATGATAAGGGTCTCCAAGCTTGGTTCATCTCTAGAGTTTAAGTTTTAACCCATGTTTTCTCTTTTGAAAAAATCTTTCAAACTCTCGTTGCACTAGTTGTACAAACTTATATTTTTCTTTCAATCTAATTTAACATTATTTTCAAAAAAAAAAAAAAACTTGAACACTTGTTCACCCTTGGAGCTGAACCGGTAAACTCAGTCAAACGAAAGCCGACAAGCAGGAGAACTTCTAGGCAAAAACGACAACTCTTTGATCATTACAAGTTTGTCGCGGTCGTAGCTGGTGGATTCAGGTTTTATAGTAACCTTCTTCAAACAGCTTCCGAATCTTAAGATATATGCCACCACTTGTTTCTCTTCTTCCCTTCCTTCATAATCTAACCATTCGAGAGTTTCAAGATTCCCGGACACACATTCAGGAACAGAACTTGGTTCACTCCAGTATATGGGTAGTTGGTTAGCTCGACGTATATGGTGCTGATATAAATTGACGAGATATAATTAAATGCAGTACATTATATCAACATACATACTTATAGTAGTACTAGGAAATACACACTAGTCATAAAACACTCAGTGAAACTCGTCTGAAATATATAGTACCTGTTCAAGTTTGAGAGATTTTAATTTAGGTGAATCTTTAAGCACGCGCATGAGTAGATTCAAGGGTGTGTTGGCAAACTATTACATTTTTGAAACATAATTGTAAAGGTAGTACATTTACTATTCATAATTAGCAAAATAGTACATTTTTACTATTTCAGATATCTGTACAGACATACAACTGTACAGTAACATATTATTGTAATCAAATATTTGTACAAAGAGAAACAACTACAAATAAACATATTTACACATAAACAAATATACATACATAAACCAGAAAATATCTGTACACATAAAATTATACGTGTATATAGACCGCTGTACGGATGATTTTCCGTACACCGACACACAACTGTACATAAGGATAGCTGGACGTATCAAAATTTGTTTGAAAAAAATTTGAAATTATTAAAAAAAAATGCATATCAAATTATAGAGAAAAAAATATAGATTTTTATGTAATTAAAATTTTATAGAAAACAAATATATTTTGATGAATAGTTTAGTTATTGGATTTAAGGAGATTTTTAATAGTGTCTAAATAGTGTTTAAATAGTAAAAATGTATTACAGTAAAACCTCTATAAATTAATACTCGATAAATTAATAATCTCTATAAATTAATAAATTTCTCCGGTCCCAACTTGGGACCAGTGTAATTTTAGACATATTTCGATAAAATAATAAGATAATAATTTTTTTGAAAATCCTTTGTAAATATATGGTCTCAACAATATTATAAATTAATAATTAGGTAAAATTTTCAAAATATATGCATATATAGACACATAAGTTTTTGTTAGAGTTTATTTCTAATATTTTACTATATCAAAAATAGTTAGCATTCTCTTTCAAGACATAATAATTATTATTTTCTTTGCAATTAATTATATAAATTACTAATTATCATGACTAAATCTTATTTTTAATTATTTTTTGGAAAAAACTTTCCAAATTAGGAAAATCTCTATATAAATTAATAGATTTTCATGGTCCCAACATTATTAATTTATAGAGGTTTTACTGTAGTTTGCTAATAATGAATAGTAAATGTACTACTTCTACAATTATGTTTCAAAAATGTAATAAAAATCCAATTAATCCTAGATTCAACCATTCTGTCTCACATGTGCATATCGTTAAACGTACAAGACAGCAGAAGATACTACCAACAGGATAAGCATCCTGCAAAATTAAGAGACGTACACTAAAATGATACTCATAAGAAATTATTAAAACAACAAGTTGCAATTGTAACAAGAGAAATACATGTGATGTTAGTAAACATAAGTCGAGATATTGGACTGAAGTAATACAACTCAGAATCTCCCGAGGAAGAGTATAAGTGACGTCAATATATGCCTCTGAAACATTAGGCATATTATTCTCAATGACACAAAACCCACCCGTAACATCACGTATATCAAACCACTCCAGATTAGGAGCATCTATCAAAAACCCATGAGCAAAATCTACGACTCTGTCATCTGATGTATGCAAATCTAAATACTTGAGAGAAGGAACGTTAACGGTGAAAATGGTCACATTGTCATCTGGACATTGTTCCACAACCAAATCTTCAAGAACATGACAATTTGATAAAAGACTGTTGACAAACTCGTTGCCTGGATACTTCACGGATAAAAGGCTCAAATTTATGAGGTATGGGAACGAAACTGAGGAAGAAACATCCAAAAGAATCGCATTATTTAGTTTCAATGTAACAAGCATGCTGCTCTCTGTGTACAAACTCCTTGGAAGAATGGCTGGTGATGCACTGGAAGAACTGTCGATTTCGATAATCAGCTCACGCACAGAGAATTTATCCGCAGCTCTAATCCATATATGAACATCTCCAGCACCACAGATTTTACCAAGTTTGAAATGCAAAGTTTCTAGAACTGGAGCCTTATGCACGCTCAAAGACCTATCTACAAACCGCGAAAATCTTGCATAATCAGTATCCTGATGGCTATCATCGTACAAAAGCCTCGGCACAAACATCCAAAGAAACTTCCATCGTTTCGACAAAACCATTGTGTCCACAACATCTTTAGAAGTAGGCAGTAGCGATAATATTCTCAGGAGAAGGTCATCAGGTAATTGACTTATCTTATCCATAGTACTCCAAAGCTAAGATTTAGAACTAAAAACAAAGAAGGTTGACAACTTTTTGATTCTGTCTTTTCACTGAATAATCCTGAAAAAAAAAAAAAGTTACAAAACAATGTAAGGTTAAAGGAAACCAATAGCGAGATGCGAAAGTGGATAAAATATGAAATATAAACTCACTTGAGAAGATTATTTTTTTGAACTCGTTCCTCCTTCCAACACGAAAAACAAAGCCACTATATGAGGCGATCAAAGAGATGATTGCAAGTGGTTTACAAGTTACTCTCTTTAAGTTTAAACCCTCGGACCCCTAATCCGAAAACCAAGATAAAAACTATGGAAGACGAAGAAGATTGTTCAGTCGCTGCTCTTAGCCGTTACAAACTGAACCTGTAACGATGCAGTAAGAGACCCAATTAACCAATGAAGCTTAAATACAGAGAGGCTATAAAGAGTCTATTGAATCAAAGCACTTAAGAACAAAGATTGTGTTTATAAAAGACTCTCTCTTTTATTGCTTTAGAAACTGACTCAAAACTAGAGCTTACAAACAATCTCAATTCTCATAGGTTTACCACACCTTGGCAACTCTATATATATATATATGAAAATCCCTAAGCAAATTTCCTTATTCAAATAGAAAATATAACTTATTCTAAACTTCCTAATCCTATTCCATATCTCGGTAGGATTATCTTTACCTTGCACCTCACCTCAAGCTAACTTCCTCTTCTTCAAGCTTAAGTCAACAGAGTCCTTAACCTTTTACCAAAAAAAAAGTCAACAGAGTCGACTCTTTTGGAAGACACAATTCTGTAAGGTTAAGCACTTCCAAAGACTCTATCTCAAGTCTCAAGTCTCAACTAGTTCGTTTCCTTTTGCCTTTAATTATCCGAACCCTCCGATTCATATAGAGAGAAGTTCACACACTCGGCCTTAACCAAGAAAAATACCAAATAGTAAAAGAAAAGCCCGGTCTAACTCAATCAAAAAAAGGCCTTTTGCCAACTAATACCCCAATTTTAAATTTAGTTAAGATAAATCATATCATTCAAATCATTAGAGTTTTTTTTTTTTGCGTGGCGCTTACACAAATATCAAATTTTAAAATATAAAATCGGACATCACGTCATTTTATCAGAAGACATGATGATATGTATATTTTTATTAATTGGAAGGAAAACATGAACAAGATTGGAGAACTGATCGTTAAAGGGAGTTTTATAAGCATTCTTGGATTGTGTGGAATTTTTTTTATGATGAATTATATATGTTGGATTCTGGTTTGCGTTACATGTTTTGATCATGTAGAGTAGCATGATTGATGGATTAGTAAGTTAGAGAGAATAAGGAAATAGTAAAATTACACCAAACGTGGACTTACAAAAAAAAAAGATTTGACTGAAACACATAAGCAACAAGGAGGAGAATGTCGAAGCGAGAAGTTTAAAGGCAAAACTTGAACCCAAAATGTAGTTGGAAGACATGACTGAAGCTGCACCGGAGCTGTTTTGAAGAGGATCGTAGCTGTCAAAGATCAAACATCAATCATTAGAGCAAGGAGACTAAAAGAGATTTATTTTATTTTGTAACTAAAGTTTGGGAAATGTTTGCGTTGTGTTTCCTAATTATCTTTAGAAAATGTCACTTCCAAAATCAGAAAAATCAAACTGAAGAGGCAAAACACTAACAAAAACATTATATATAACTTGAAATTTTTATTATTATTTCAGTAGACAATGCCTTAAAGAAACAGACTATTGAACATCTCAAAGTCAAACAAAGTACAAAAAAAAAACTCAATTACTCAGGCGGCGGGTGAAAACACAAAGCTTGTTTTTTCCTTTCTGTTCACCTCAGTCTCACCGGCGAATTACAAAAGCTACCGGTGAAAAAAAAAAAAACCTTCCGCCATTCAGAAATTGGTTATTTTTAATTAGGTCAAATTCTTAAAACGTTTTTCCAAACTATGCAAACTCCAAAATCAGTAATAATAAAGTAAAACTTATTTTTTTTTTGTTTTAATAAGTGTGCCTCCATTAAGTCCACGTGGTCATCAAGCATCACCTCGGAGCCCGGAACTGTCTTCCGGTGTAAGTCTGTCCGAAGCTCCAGTTACGTGGAGTAGCGTTGTTAGATACAACTGTACGTCCATCACTAGTTGTCACTTTGAACGAGAGAGCTTGACCATCAAGATTCGCGTTGCTTTGCCAGTTCTGTCCCCAGTTTCTCGACATGCTTTGCCATCCAGTTCTGGTTCCTTTAACGGAGACGGAGGTAACATCTCCGGCGCCGGCTACGTTGGTTATGAGTACGAGGTTGAAGTATGAGTGACCGTTGATGGTGAATCGTATCCCTCCTTTTCTCCGGCAAGCCACTCTGTTTCCGAAACAGAGCACAAAGAAGATTAATTAGTAAATAGTAAATAATTATCAAATTCTTTGGTAAACCGAACAGAGCTAAACCGAGATCGGTTAACGTACCTCCGGTATTGAACGGGGACGACGCCGGCTTTGTATTTAGCGATGCGGAGGAAGATGGGCTGAGCCAAATCGAAGTGATGTTGGGGAGGGTTACACCAACCACCGGCGTCGTTGGCCTGAGCAAAGTTCGGTGGACAAAAGTTTGTTCCCGTGACGGTGATTGTTCCTCCGAGACACCATTTTGGGTCGTTTACGCATTTTATCTGAAAACACGCACCGCAGGTTTGACCACCGTTGAATAGAGCGGTGCTTAGAGCCGCCGTGTTCGTGCCGTATCCTTGACTGTATAAGTTCCCGTATCCACACGCGCCGCCTGATCCCCACAAAAACACCAACAACACAAAAGTAAGACTTGTGTAATATACAAACTTACGTAAGTGCATTATTATAAAAGTGTCTATATTTAAAGATTCTTATAGGTAAATTACATAACTGTTGGTCATATAAAGTAGCATATATATTTTGAAGATTATTAATTACAATTTCAAGTTTGAAGTTATGTTGGTGAAAAATAAGAATGATACTAAAAGTGTGAGAGAAGAGTAAGAAAATTTACCCATGGTGCCAGAAGCATCAGCACCTCCATAGAAAGTGGCTCGAGCATTGACCCAACCACTACCGTAACCATCCACACTCTTCCACATTATCATCATCATAAGACCCATTGACATGATCACTTTTCCAACAATCTCCATTTTCTCTGCCTTTTTTTGTCCTACAGAAGAGAACTATAATGATAAGCTAAACGTAGTATGGAAGAAGACGACGAAAGAGTGTGAAAAAGATTCTTACAGTGGCTTCGAGGAGAGAAAAAAAAGGAGCCACCAACTAAAAAAAACTAAAGTGAGGTTAGAGGAGAGGAAAGGTGTTGCAATGTTTGTTGTGAGTTGTGCGAGATGGGATGATTATATATAGAAACTTCTGCTTGGGAAAAGTAATTATATTTATATGTTCTATTATTATAGGCTAGTTAATTAATGTAGCACTTGCAAGTGAATTTTATCAGCTACTATATTTTACAACATTTTTTTAGATAGTAGTATAGTACTACAATTATTTTTAACCTTACTTTAATTGTAAGCTCGAATTTAGTAACGAGCAAGCAGCATCGAAAGTGCCAACTTCTTCACGAACTTTTAGAGTAAACTAATTTAAAAAGGGTTTACTTTCTGATCGGAGACCTCATATTTTGGGCCTTGGTTGACCATTTGATCTTACAGTGTCTATAATTATAATTTCCAAAATCCACATACGCTTTACATTGAAAATAGTAAAGATTTTTTGATAGTTCTGAATCATCTTAGATCGAGATCAAACTTAATTTCAGTTTTTGTTTTCCTATGTAAATGTTCCATAATACAGCAGTAGTGGGCAAACTCTGAGTTAGTAAAACTCTTTACATTTCGCTTAGTGAAGCCTAAAGGTGTAAGTAAGTATATCAATACATGCTCATATGACGCTAGCACATAGTATATATCATTATATGGCCACTATATGTTGCGAGATTCCTCTTCGTTATCACGTTGGCATCTAACAAAATTGTTCAGAATAATCAACGGCAGCATGATGCTAAAATATTCGATTATATTTGCATATTGGAAAAGTTGACCAAACCCTAAAAAGAAGTTAATGTCTTGCTTCAAAAACAAGGTTTGATTGAGTAGTTGCAACTGGTTTCTATTTTCTTATAGAGAAAGTCGTTAACTGAAAACCGCAGGAACAGAACATATGCTTTTTTCCAACACATTAAACTACTTTTTCCAAAGTAAACAGACCAAAAAAAAAAAAAAGTAAGAACAAAGCATTAGCATATTACACAACAGATAATTCTAAAAACACAAAGAAAAACAGGATAACAAAAAAAGAAAGTAAAAAGGTGCAAATTAAAGAACACCGACCAAATCAAGTTTCTTTAGGTTTCTAGTTGTCTTTCGTTTGATTCTGATTTTGATGAGGTATTGGTTCATATCGGATTTTTTGTTCACGAATCTTTCACCCACTATATGAATTTACGATCCCTAATGTCTATCTCTATATAACTATTATCTTTAATCAATCCTTATTTTTTAACCATCTAAAGTTTGGAACCCATGGTTATATTCTTTGACAACTTATATATTTACAATAGATTTTAGAATATGGAATCAAGTCTGACTTTTGGCGACTATTTCGTGCAAATTGAAATATATTTTTTTACAGTACAAAGCAAAAATCATTTTAAAACCAAAAATACACATGAAAAAAATTTGACCACCTAAATTTCAGGATCTATATATATTAGCTAGTGACCTTCATGAATCATGTGACACAAATCGTCTAACTTAAGATTTGCTCTCTCAGAACTTATTATTAATCCTTCACTCACAATTAAATCACCTCCCACGTTATTTCTAATCAATTTCAGTTTTTAAAAATAACTTTGTGGATTTTAAAACGTACGTCCTAAAATAATCAAATGTATAGAACTGATTAGTAAACGCATTACAGTACTAATATGATTGTTTATATTTCAACGATACTGAAGATATATATACTCTTACGTTTATGCTTCAAATATAATTTAATATAATAACATAAAGTGCATGTATATATTCAAAGTGATAAAGTGTCATAGAAATGGAAAATGTATTCAATGAATAATGATGATTTTTTTTTTCATAGAATAATTATGATTCATTTTTTTTTTTTTTGCAAATTTATTATACTTCATGTTAATAACTATGCTAAACTAATTGATATGGGGACATAAGTGAAGCAAGCAAATCATTCAGACTGTTCTCCCCTTTACAGCTTAAATCATCAAACGTTCAATACTTTACAGCTTCAATATCACAACTTGACGACAACATCCAATTCTATGTATATTAAAAAGACACGATAAGCTTTTTATCCAACAACCAGATTAGTTAAGAATTGATGAAACTTAATTAAAAATCATCATATTAATTCTTATTGGTTGTAATTATAATCTTCATGGTTCGTTTTGTTTCTCAATAATTGTGTCTTGCTAAAGAGAAGCTAGAAAAAGTTGCTTTTCTTCCCACACGCATGTAATTTTTTTTTTGTTATCATGATCAGCAATTAAAATAAACTCACCTGAAGAGTTAATTATTTAGTTAATTTTGTAAATATATGATGAGTACTGTCTTCGTATACACTACTTACCTATACAAACTGACATTGCTAACAATCTGTTTCATAGAAATGTTACAAACAACTAACAAGCACTCGATGATATATATAGTAATTCCAATGCGGTTCCATCATAAGAAATTGGCAAACAAACAAACACACATAATCCAAATTAGTAAGGCAGTTTAATTAACATGCATCAGAATATCAGATCAGGTATTATACTATTAACATGCATCGATAACACACCATGTATTACATAATCTTAGTGAATCAACTCGTTTTTGTTCGATCTGATATTTTGTTGGATTTAATCATTTAATCATGCTATCACATGCATCATTTTATTGAAGAATTGTATAATAATATAGATGCTATACTTTTTTGTCTTTTTCCGAGCACATAAATACTATGTATTTCTAAATTATTAAGTTTCGGAAATAGTCAAATTAAAATTATTACTATAACTGAAGAAAAAAATGTATTAACTTATAATTAATAGTATGTATATATGTGTGTGTGTGGGGGTTTGTACGTATTACGTCGACACCCGAGCTTAATTAATGTTGCATATTACGTATTGTTTAATAATTTTTTTTGTTACTTATCGTTTAATCGTAATTGATTTAGGTTTCGAATAAATGTTACCACAAAATATAGTAAACAGTTAAAGTCAATTTCATATTTTTAGTGAGTAACAAATCGCTGTAAATCAAAAACTATATTATATTAAAACATTATTTATATATCTTTTTTGGTTTACGCTAATAAAAAATATTTATAAATGACAAATAAACTGTAGTTTGATTTGATCCATAAACTAATTGTCTACTACAAAGTCTACAATCACTCTAACCATTCGAACCACTAAAATATAAAGTTTCAGAAAATGAATCTGAATTTTTCATTCCATAATAGTATATTAGTAGTATTTTTAAAAGAAAGTGTGCATAAAATTTGGGAAGCTCATGATTTCTTGCCGGGAAAGTAGCATGAAGTAACAAAAAAACGAAATCCACACATAAATGTTGAATCAAAAGTATATTACCGACGTGACCACTTGTCGTTTCCCGCGCTCCGCGTCTCTCTCCCCTTCTTTAGCAATTTTTTCTCCGACAAGAAAAATTTTAATCTTTTTTTTTCTGTTTTGCTGTGTTTTGAGAATTTCGATGTCTGAAACTAAACTTTAATTAGAGTTAAATTTGAGGTTTTTTGGACATTAAATGTGCTCAACTTTGGACAAAACCACCCCACGTCTTACCTTAAATGACCCGTACCTTTCGGATCGTTAACTTTTAATCCTTTTTTTTTTTATAACGTAAGTTGTGTTATTCATCTAAACGTTATGAGAAGATAAACAAATATCTTAATTTTATTAAACTAAAACAATAAGGCTTTTACATGGGCCAAAGCCCCAATCATAAACTTGAAACCTTCCAGAGGCATAAGAGGCGTCGGTTTGGCCCATATTTCTCTACTCTACCCTTCGGCAGATTTCTCGTCCTGTTTTACCCTTTAACCGGGAACCGGAATTAACCATCAGCGTCTCTTTTCCTCATTGTCTTGAGTCTTGACTCCTGAGCCAGCCGCGTTGACTCTATGCTCCTCTGGCTTCACGTCTCAGAGACGAGAAGACATTAACTGTTGATCAACTCAATCTGATCAAAGTTCAAATCTTTTTGTCCTCAACCTTTGTTGCTCTGTATTTGTAAATCTATCTCTTGTAAAATTTCATGAATCTTTTCGGCTCCAGGATGCGAAAGATCCCCTGAAATGAATTTATACACTCTGTTTCCAACTTCTATGGTGCTTTCACCAGCTGGTTTCTTCACACCGATCCCTTTCATCATCTTTCTCATCATCCTCGACTCGTCCCACCTTCCTAAATTCGAGTATAGATTGGCTAAAAGCATGTAGTTGCCGCTGTTATTTGGTTCTAACTTAATCAGCTGATTCAAAGCTCTTTCTCCAAGCTCAAGATCATGATGAACATTTGAAGCAGCAAGAAGAGATCCCCATATTGCAGCATTAGCCTCGAATGGCATGCTTTTTATAGCTTCTTCTGCTTCTCGGAGTAAACCTGCTCGTCCTAGTAAGTCAATCATGCAGCCGTAATGCTCTATGTTTGGTTGCATTCCATACTTCGATATCATTGAGCTGAACAAACGTTTTCCGAGGTAGACCCAACCGACATGGCTGCAAGCTGATAGAATTGCAATGAAAGTAACATCGTTCGGTTTCACGCCAGCTTTAACCATACGGTTAAACATCGCTAAGGCTTCAGTTCCGTGCCCGTGCGTAGCTAGCCCAGTAATTATAGTCGTCCAAGTTACTACATTTCTCTCATTCACTCTCTCAAATACCTCCAACGCCTTTGTTATATTCCCTGATTTCGCATACATATCAATGACTGCGTTGTTCAGTGAAACCGCTCTTTCCATCCCTCGGTGATCAACATAGCTACATATTCTTTCACCCAATTCAAGTGAAACAAGATCAGCACAAGCTGAAAGGGCAGCCAAAAGCGTAACTTCATCAGGCTCAACATTCTCCATCAGCATTCTCTGAAACACTTCAATGGCTTCACTAGGTCGTCTACTCTTAGCATATCCAGAGATCACACAAGTCCAAGAAACCACATTTCTTATCCAACAAGGCATCATATCGAGCAAAACCCTTGCTTCATCCATCTCACCAACTTTCCCATACCCTGCTAATAACGCATTCCAAACATTCACATCCCTCACACGCGTTTCATCGAACACCTTACGTGCATCTCCCAAACCCCCACACGAAGAATACATCTGAATTATCCCTGTAACAACATGAACACTAGAATCCAACCCAAAAACCACAGTTTGCCCATGAATCTGTCTCCCAAAGCAAACATCAGAAACCCTAACAGCAATCTTCAACACAAACGGGAAAGTAAACGTGTCAGGCTTACAACACAAAGCCCAGAACTTTCTGTAAACCGAGACCGCAAATGAGTTCGCATTGGGTTCGTCGACGAGAGATAAAGCTCTAATCATGGTGTTGTGGAGATAAGTATTAGGGAATGGCTGGTGGGTAAATACAGAGTAAGCATATCGGACATGTCCAGCATTGGAACATGCTTCTATGAATTTGGCAACGATGAGGTTGTCTCTGTTTAAACCGGTTACGAGCATCAAACAATGAGATTGCTTTAATGTTTTGAGTTTGGTTCCATGGAGTTTCAAAGAGGAAACGAACCAATTTAAACCACCAGAGCTTAAGCTCAATGCAGTGATTCTCTGTAACATTCTCTCCAATCATCGAGTGTAACGGAGTGTTAGGGACACTATAAACTATTTTAAAGTTCATTATTATTTGAAAAGAACCAACCATTTTCGTATAATACATAGTGATTAATTTTTACAAAGATCATTAAGAAAAATCACAAAAAATTGAAATTAATAAATCGTATCCTTATTTAATCCAAAATATATAAAATTTGCATATTAGGATTATTATTGTTAATTTTAGTTAATTCAGTGTGTTAGATAAGATTACACGAAATTTCACTCTGTTCGGTTTCTTTACTAATATAAAAGACGTAACAGTGTAAAAGTTGTAAAACACGTCTCGGTTTATATATATGGCCAACTCTACAAGCTTATGTACACGAACACGTACTTCAAGAATTACAAAAACACATATAAATATATAACTCATACTGATGATTGATGAAATATACCACAAATCTTATATGTAAACGAACGAAACTCACAACTTACGTTCCCGTTTCATAGCTATAATTATAATTTATATCATCAAATTCGGATAGCGGACAACACGACGACTCCATAGAAACAAGTTATGTTGAGAAATTCTCGGTTTGTAGAAGCACGAGTTTCATATCTTTTGAAGAGCTCATGGGATAGGTCCGGTCCAAGGTAAGCATCGACCATAGGACGAATAGCAGCTTGAACCAAATTGGCCCTGGCTCGTCCGTACGAAGCCGGATCTTTCTTCCACTCTTCTTGTTTCTCATCCGAGTGTTCAACTATTTTCATGAACTCCATTTTCTCTATCTTGAAGCCACCGCAACGGTCAATCCCGGCCGCCACTTCCTCAGGACTTCTCATGTACGCTGGAATGTTGAATCCGTCTCTTGTCTCTTCATCTATCAAACCCTTTTGTCCAAAAATACATAAGAGGTTTTAAGTGATGTTTAGCTAGACAAAAAATATATATTTTACCTAAATTGTGGAAAATCAAATGAAGAAAACGTTGAGGATTTCTTTATTTCTTTTGTAAAATGGATTGTAAGAAACAAAGTTTTTTTTTTCTTCTTTTCGTATTTGAAATATATAAAAACATGTAAAAAAAAAACTTTCAAAAAAAAAAAAAAACTTATTTTCATGGTAGTTGTGATATAGAGTGACAACATGATGAACAGTTATGTAATGTAATCATTGAAAAGATACACGTGTTCGTAATATGAAAATATGTTATAAGGAGTTACCTCATCTATTAAATCTTGCCAAGCTTGTTCCATGGTAGTTGTGAAAGGATGTTTGGTTCGAGTATCTTGGTCCCCAAACTGACTACTTGTGCCAGCGGGACGACCACCCATTAACACAAACAACACTCCTCCTTTCACCATTTCTTCTTTCCGACAGCTCAAGAAATCATCCAAATCTTTGTCTGATTGCTCTGCGTATGCTTCCACCACCTCTTTCTTTGCTCCTTCTATCCATGTTTTCCCTTTGTTCCACGTTCTTGATCCTTTCTCCAATACTTTCTCTGGTATCTACATTTATATTTTTCACATGCCCACATTTTATAACCGACGTACTAAATTTAAAGCTATATGTAGTCGTAACGTACGTATATTCACTATATGAATTATGTTTCCTACCCTTTGAAAAAGAAAATATAATAATGACCTTAAAATGAATAAAAACCTTATCATACTAAAAAGATATTCTAACATTAAATTAGTAGATTGCTAAAAAAATAATACGTATTAATATGTCAAACCGACGTCATTGATTAATTACGGTTAAAACATTATAATATAGAAGATAAAAATGATTAGTAGATTAGACCTGAGAGAGCCAGTGTAAGGCACTTAAGCTCACAGCGACATGAATCGTTCCTCTCGGGAAAAGCCGATCGTAGAAGGAACCAGCAACGCAGCTGGCGAAGTATTTGGCCAGTGGTTCAGCTTTCTGTTTCTCAGTCAACAGCTTGAACAACATGTTAAAATCATTAGAAGGCAGATCACAGAAGAAAGCCTCAAACTCCGGCAAGCGACCACCACCGTACACCGCCGTGTATCGCCGTTGTAAAGTCTCGACCACCGTGTCAACGGCAGTAAACGTGTTGGAGCCGGTGGCGCAGCCGAGGTCGGTGATCCTGATTGGAGAAGTTTGGTCGGAGTTGGAGAAGAGTTTGAAAGATTTGAGTAGTGATGAGATAAGGATCGGTTTGCTTAATGTTATTGCCAAAGCTTGGCTGTCGGAATTGTTAACGTAGCTGAGGTCACCCTCGCCGCCTTGCATAGCGAATACACGGTGGAGATTAGTGGTGGTCCAGTCTTGCGCCGTCATCGGAAGGCTTGGTGACTCCATGAGAAAGTTCTATCGTACGTTTCTTTTTTTGAAATCAAAAGAGAGAAAGTAAAGATTGTGGTGTTGGACTTAGAACTTTAGAAGTAAGAAGGCATAGAAGAGGAGGCTTCACATTTATACTCAACGCACATATACATATACATGTCTATACTGTACACACACACAAACATTCATGCATATTAGAGAAAGAAGAGTTTTGGTTGGTAAATATACTACTAGTACTATGTACATATGTTTAATACTCGTGTGGTTCATAATTAATGGTTAATTAATTATGTTTTGTTTTATGGAAGATATGCCGTTACGTTATTCAAGTCTAGTTTTAATACTAGTAATCATGGGTTTGACGGTTTCATAAATTCAAGCGGCTTTCGACTGATATCTCATTAGTTGACTTTTTGGGGAGCCTAAATTTCACAATAAAAGGCTAAATAATACTAATATATGCAAACGTATCTTATAAAGTTCTTTTTTTTTTTAGTGGAAAGTATATGGTTAATCAAATAGATATAGTCTTTTTGCATAACTATCAACTAATGTGGTGGTGACTAAATCTTAAATAAACTGATGTTGATTTTTGCGTATTTGAAATCATTTGGTTCATCAAGTAAAATAGTAATATGCTATTTGTTTAAACACATAAAATGATAAAAATGAGACCATTTATATTTATATAAACATGCTCAAAGTCAACACTATTTGTCAATAAGCCTCTAGAATTTGATGTATGGTATCGATATTAAAAAGATATAACGACTAGCTGCAACACAATAACGCTATATTTGTTCTATAAGTTTTAAATTGACTTTATTGTAAGTTTATAACGCTTGCTAAACACATCATTATTAATTTTATAAGTTTTATTCCAAGAAAGATACCAATCAGCTTAGCTGGAACATATATTAAACTAATTGATATATCAGTTTCAACAATTTATACTTTTTTAAGTACACTGTTGCTTGTTGGTACCAATTATACATTTTCAGTACCATTGTTTAAAAAAAAAAAAATTAAAAACAACTTTAGTAAACGGCGTGTATTATTAACTCGTTTCGGACAAAGCATGTATGTTAATCTGTTTGTGGTAAGATATGTTACGTTATAATATTGCTGTTGATACATATTTGCAATCTCAAATATCACAATGCCCACATAGGTAAAAAAAATTAATCTACTGAATTATATGGAATGAATGAATTACTGATTATATAGTATGCTTTCCATTAACATTATTGATTTTTTTTAATATATGCATATATAGGCATATAGCTACATATACACATCGTTGTCAATCTTTAATCATATTAAGAAAAAAGATGGGCAGTGACGTTTTACATTGTATGTAGCGTTATTTACGAATGTCTCTGTATCTCTGCTCTCTAGATTCTTTCCCTCATTTGATTATTTATCTTTTCAGGTTCTCTATTCTTCTAGAAACAGATCTATCTATGTCTCTGTTTATCCATCTTTATCTTCCTCACTTTATATATATTCTTGCTTGTAGTGGATCAAGATATATATATTTATTAACATAAGTAGACTAAAGATTTCGTGGACGTCTTTTGTATAATCTTATCAGCATATGATTAAATGTGAAAATTATTACATAAACTGATAGAAACGTACTCGATACATCTATTTGTATTGTTTTGGCATAAACTAATTGAGTAAGAGTGGTTTTCATTGAAACAAAGATAGCTTATCATAATAAGAAACTTGGGATATATTAGCAAGTTCATATATATGGTACGTTGGTGGTTGATGTGTTACATCTGTATATATCACTGTCTTTTAAAAAAAAAAAAAATTAATTTGTATTTTACTTAGCTGCTAGTATATATGTGTTCATACTTACAACTTTTAAAAAAAATCTTAGATACCTTCACTTTAATTTACTTTGTCTCCATAAACATATATAGTCGTTTCTCACAACCTCGACCACTTTATCTACTTCCATATCGTCGAACCTTCTGTAACATGTTTTATGAAAAGACTGTGTAATATTTTTTTTTATCATATGGATCTAAGCTAATCAATTTTTGAAGACAATATCTATTTTCTAGCTATTTCCTTAAATTATGGTTTCTATCTTATTATATTTTTACCTAAAGTAGTTTGTACTTTAGAAACTTTGTGTTTGGTATAATTTGTGTTTATGTTCACTGTCCAAGTCATAGGAGTCGGAATGGTTAATCATTTGGTTCCTTTCAGATAGATAAAAATATAATAATATTCATTTGTGTGACTAGTGGATTTGTTCTTCAATGATATCTTCTTTAGGATTTTAGTCGGAATACAATTTCCGGTTTGATGATCTTAATTCATAATAGAGACAATTTCAGAATTAATTCGTTGAGTTGTCGTCAGTCCAGCTGATCGATCTGGTGATAACAAAAAGAGTTCCATAGTATTAGTATACAAGTTGATCACTTGTATCAATGAGAAATAATGATTTAGTAAAGAATTGATCCGAATGATTGATTTATTTTTGAGTTCGAACTGAAAACATTGATCTGGCCCTAAACACAACCACTGGTACAAGTCTACCTAAAAAGAAACTAAAGTAAAAGGGGATTCGCATAAATTTAACTTTTTAGAGAAAATGGACCTTTGACTTGGGGTAGAGGGTTCAATTAGAGGATGAAGACTTGAAGTGGTCCTTTATACACACCTATATATAGAGG